TTCTACGTAATATTATACGTAATGTTCTACGTAATGTTCTACGTAATATTCTACGTAATATTCTACGTAATGTTCTACGTAATAATTGATGACAATATATTGGTCCACATACAATTTATTGGTACCAACGTAAGGATGCTGTTGTGAAGATAATTCCACGATCAGCTGGGTCAACCAGCTTGCGTGCATGGCCCAGATTGTATTTAACGTGTGCCGAATATACTACTAGTGTTTACCGTGAAACCTTTCTAGACTCTAGAGAGTAAGGGTTATTCCCCCTGTTTGAATATCTAGATAGGGGACCAGCACCTGGTGGGACACTAGACTCTAGATACCAGACAATAGACATAGTATAAAGGTCACATGTATAGGGATTTATTAATCAAACTTGAACTAACCAAACTAACGAGAAGGATGCAGGAGGGGGGGAGTGACAAATGTTAAGAGCAAGGAAGAACTTTGTCAGGATCAATAATGAGGCCTGTTGAACTGGGTTAATTTTAAATGTCAACAGGACGCAGATTTAATGACTTGACATCAGTTAAGTGATTGAGTTTGATCGAAATTAGCTGATGGTATCTGCCTTCGATAACCACACACATTCAGACGATCAAATATAAATTATATAGTTTTGCTTCAAACCGAAATTATCGTGTATTTCAGTAATATAACACGCACTTTAATCAAGATATTAAAAAACGAATCAAATCAAGCAGAACCAAAAGTATCAGACGCTTTCACAGTTACTATTCCTAGCACACATCACCCATGAAACAGCTGCTGAAAAAGAGAGAAGAAACTGTAAATTTGTAAATTAGAATCCAGCTTACTCCCATCCTTGGTACTTATATTTAATGCTCAATCTGATTAATATTAAAATCAATCACTGGTCAAAGAGCCGAGAGTGTCTTGACGGTATCTCAATGTCTCGACATGTGTAGAAATGGGTACTGATCAGAAAATCACCTTTGTTTTCACTTTTCTTGCGCATTAATTCATTATGTAAATGTCTTTGACATACTTTAAGCTGCAGTTTACATATGCTCGCCAAACCCCTGCCATAGAACCAAGCTATCAGAATTTAGAAACAACGTGCCGTTTATCTCAAAAGATATCTCATGATATTTTCCAGGCGCCAGCTGTGAGAACCAGACTATTTCTGAGAAACAGTCTATAATTCTAAACTACTGTACCAGCTTACTAAACACCTTCACGTGACACTTCAGTACTACAGTAGTGTCACGTGACACTTCAGTAGTGTCGCGTGACTGTACTGTATGTGTACTTTCAGTCAGAGGCAACATATCATACAATAATCATGATTACACTGAAGTTCATATTATACAAATTATTATAAATCAATGTACATGGTAGTTGCCAAGAATCTAATATGCTTAAAGTTAATCTATGATGATAATAAACTTAAGACAAATAAACCAATCGTCATACGACATACACTAATTAATGAGGAACTTTTGGAAAAAGTCAGTCAGGAAAAGTCAGTAAAGCCACTGAGAACAGACAAGTTTCGCTCTGAAGTAAGAGTATCCACGGCTACTAAGTACAGACAAGTTTCGCTCTGAAGTGAGAGTATCCACGGTCCCAATTCAAGGCACACTAAGACAGAACAATGAAGTAATGTGGTAAGGGCGTCGTGGCTCCATTATTACGTAAATAAGCATGCTTTATCAACAGAGTCTCAGTAGACACTTAGCTTTCGCCCTGCTTCACAAATACATTGTCTTTACTACGTGGCCGCCACGCTTTGCGGCCACGCAGATCCCCTAGAGAAAGGGTGCAACTATAATTCTGTGTTTTAAAGACGGTCATTCAGATAAACTCTCCTGTCTGAGAAGACAATATTAGTTCCTATTGGACTAGTCTACTATTTAGATACCGGGATGGGAGTAAGTGGATAGCTCTTACGTTTCTCAATCTTTGTATTTCTTACTGGTTCTGCTAGTAACATGTAGTATACAACTAATAGAATGCAGGGAGTAAGTAAGGCCCAGTAAGCTTTCGAACATTCTTGGTTCATTACAAGAACACAAAAAGCTCTTTAGAAAACCTTGTACCGAGGCATAAACGTGCGTTAAACGTGCTATTTGACTTAAATCTATCATTGTTGACTGGATCCCTTAAACAGCAATATTTCTATTTACCGTACTTACATATAATACTAGGAACCCTTATTTACCAGAAATTCTGGATGTCCGATAAAATAGCTCAAGTTTATCTTCCGCCAAGAAATCCAGTTTTATTCTAATAAAAAGAAGAGCCTTTTTTTCTTCTAATTTCTATGGTTCAAGTTAAAATCGTTTAAATTTTCCATCAGGGTCTCGACTCGTAAACTAACTTGTTTCACAGAGATGACTATATATATACTAATACTATATAAATAGGTAAAACATAAGTCCCACTGATAATCCTGACAAGGTGATAAGAAAATTAAAAACACCAATCTTCCGCTCAGACAATTAGTACGAGACTAACTTTACGTGACCTAAGACTGAGGTACTGTTACCAAGACCGACAACAAGAGAAATGGTCCTGAGAGTGACTGTAGGGCACATAGAAAGGCTCGATTTCAAATGATTGATAAACTTTATAAATAAAGCATATGTGCTCGGTTGCAAAATAGTGCCGACCGTTTATACCATTTGTGGAGGAAGCTGTGGCGTACTTCCCCTTTAGTTCTAGTATACAGGGCGATTCATTTTATCAAAAGGAGCCGCGTCACTCAATATATTTTCATATGTCGCGCAAGATATTATGCCTTTTTCTGTTAAAATGCCCCTTTGTGGGGGGAGCCCTATCTTATCGCACTTCGGCGAAATCTTGCGGCGAGATAGTCACCTTCGCCCTCCAGCCTTTTCATTGGTCCAAAATAACTCTGGGGATGCTGCAACTTTAATATTTAAAAATGAAGCACTCATTTTATTTGCTGCCTGACCAATGGAAATACAAGCTGCATCAAGCCTGCAATTTTGAGCGAATGAGGGAGGAATGGGGATACGTAGCCAGCTGCTGGATGGTATAATTGAGGCACGAGAAAGAGGTGGGGAAGTGAACAATTGGGCTAGAAATAGACCAGGCAATTTGAGACTTTTTTATGAGGAGGGACAACCAAAAGGTAGCATATTTTTAGAAGTTACAGTAGTGGCTGCGGTACAGGCTACCGAGCGAGAGGTTGATTATGGGGCCGGGCAGGAACCGACACAATTTAATTTTAAAATGGTTGAAGAGTCAATTTCTAGTTCTATGCATTTAATTGGAGTTGTTCAATAAACTACTTCTGCTACAAAAGTGAAATGTGAACATCTATATATAGATGTTGACTGTATATCTACAGCCTAAAAGGACACACCATGAGGCAATCGTGGTATGTCTCAAAGGGAATGCTTGCCTAATAGTAATCTATGGGGGTCATATAACATTTTTTAAGACTAAGACAAAAGTAAAAAAGTTTATTTTGCCGGGACAAACTAATGTAAATTCATAAAAAAATTGTGAAGATTGAGCTCAGAAATTCATCACGAAATTGCAAAAAGTAAAACCAATTCGACACATTGCAATTTCGTGGAAAAAGAGATTACTAATTAAGTTGCAACCTGCAACCATCAAAAGATCATTAGACTGGAAATTGAACTATTTTTTATCGGGATCGGATGAAAATTATACCCCTCGTACAAAAAAATAGAGCAAAGGTGTTAAATAGTTTGAATCGTAGAAGAATGCAGTCATTCTGAACTCCCATTTTTAGCACCAATTACCGATAGCAAATTATGCAATTTGCCTATTTGTATTTTATGTATCTAAATCAAATTGTATGCCTATGGACCTTTTTCTTTTTTCGGGCCTAGACCAAGTGTTTTGAAAAATTAATTCCGTCAGCTTGAATGTACCGAATATGTGTCTCTGTCACTCGGCCAGAAGCGAGTGTCTCTGTCACTCGGCTAGGAAGCGAGTGTCTCTGTCACTCGGCCAGGAAGCGAGTGTCTCTGTCACTCGGCAAGGAAGCGAGTGTCTCTGTCACTCGGCTAGGAAGCGAGTGTCTCTGTCACTCGGCTAGAAAGAGAGTGTCTCTTAATTCGGCCAGGAAGCGAGTGTCTCCTAATTCGGTCAGGATCCTGAACACAGAGGACGTCATTCCCGGGGAAGAGGGAGTACCAAACTTGAAACCGCTAACTGACTAGTTTCGGCTTTTTACAGCCATCCACACGGGAGTATCACCTCAACAAAAGTCGAGATTATGATAGATTACAGTATGTTATCTATAGGGTTCTAGCCTTGGTTCAAAAATACCAAAACCCAGGTGACACCAATCGCCATAAGACCCGAAGAGTTCTTTTTGGGTCTTATTTTTGGTATAATTTAAAAATAACGCGCCCATTTCAATTCAAACATCAAAAAGTAGAAAATTTCCGGTTGACGAATAGTAAATCAATTTGAAGCAGGGCATTTTAATCGAAGCCCGCCATAAAAGCTGGATACAGCTGCATTTTTAATTAACAACTACATTACATTTTTACCTTAACTACTTTAGCTACAAGAAAATAAGACAATGTCAGTATCAATTCGCAGCTCAAAACGGAAATCCACGTCATAGACATAATATTATTTTAGACTTAGACTTTACAATTCTATAATTGTACAATGAATCCGTCTTAAAATTACTCGAAAAACAGAACCAGATGGGATTGTGAACTTAGCAATAAATTTATCACATCATTCTCACTTTTTTGCACTGAAATTCGAAGCTTATTGGGTATAATGCTATTTTTATGAGCATATTTTATCTTCAGTAACACCACGAAATTTACCTGAATTTCATCTTTACACTGCAAAGTATAGATACTCCCCGCAATTAAGTACATCTAAGCTGGAGACAAGGACCCGTAAAATTACACATCCAGAAAATAAAGTTTGACAGATGTTAAAATGATTTGATTAGACGAGTTCAAATCGGATCTTGACCTGATTTGAAGTTTTAGGGTGACAGGTGCGTAAACGCTAGTCAGACAGGAGAATTAAATAAAGCCGTCTGTATCCTCTCTAAATTACCACTTATTGATATTTACCTAAGTTTGTGCCACGTCCCAGATACCTTTTTAGTTTTTTTTCCCACCCGCAGAGATCGAGGATGAAGTGTGTTTTGGTTGCTGTTCTGGTTCTTATCGTTGTAACAGGTTTGGAAGCGTCTCAGACACGTAGATTATATATATTTCGGGAATACCTATTGCTATTATTGACAAGCTAACCTTTAACAAGAAGACGCATTCCTTTAATTAAATTAAAGTAATGCGTCTCCTTTTATTATATTAGTAATCCATCGAGAGGTACTTCAGGCACAATCCCAGAGAACTCGAAACTTTAATATCGATATTTAACTTCATAATTATAAGTTGTTCCTATCGAATCAACATGAACTAATACTTACCCGATACCAAACCAATATTAAATCGTTTAATTTAATCCAACGTTGCTATAATATCTCGACAGCATAAGTTCTACAGTACGACATTACAGTGCGACGGAAGAACTTTGCGGGCAACGCAAAACGGAAGAAACAATCGAAAGTAACGTTGTTTCTGAGTAAACAAATTGCAAGTTCACGTGACAAACAAGGCATATAACCACCTTCAAAGCAAAATTCAATCTTCTCAAAATTAAATCTTCTGGAGAAGAATGCTAAGTGCTAATAATAAACGGGAAATCAGCAGAAGTCGCTGCGAGGCGACTTTATAACAAGGTTATAATAACCTATAACCTGAAATTTAATTACTGCTAATCAGGAAACTTGCCGCTACGAGATGATACTATCAAAATTCCAGACTCATGATCTCGTTCCTTGGACCTAAATCTCCCGATTTGAAATTCTCAGCTTATTTCCGTTCATTTCCGATCTTCTTATCTAATTACCACACATATTATGAACATCGTCTAACCCTCCTGGGTATTTTCAGCCTTATACAGCCCAAATTCAAGACAAATTCGATTTTAGTCCCTTGTGCAATGACTAGCGGAAGTCACGGAGCCAGTTCATCAGAGCAAAGATCAGCAAATCGATGATACGTCAGATCGATTTCATGGCAAATGGACGACAGCTCCCACGGCCACGGGCTTCGAAATACTGAAATAATACCCACGTTTAAGCATACCCACGTCCAAGAAATGGCACTTAGGAGACTGGATACCGAAAGTGGCGTGGGCAGGAGTCACGCGGCAGTGTGTTCAGCCCGTATTCATGCTTTATTGCTTTATTTGGTGCTGCGACAAATGCTATAACAATACTAGGTCCCATGGAAATGCCGCCCACATATTCCTGGCTTATTTCCTTGTGCTCAACTTTAAAGCTTGCATTATGTTGCATTTTTGTGTGTGAGAATAGTAAATCTGACACACGTGGTAGCTGCAATAATCCGCGCAGGAAGTTTCTAGGAATCGAAAACGCTCTTAGTTCTTAGGTGCGTTTAGTAGTAGTCTTAAATGCACGAAGGCATCCTTTATGGAGTTGCAACCAAATCGAAATAAAAGGAAGCGAAAATCAGGGATTTGGCTTCAGCTGCGTACGTGTTATGCAAAAGTTAAACCTATCACCAAACCGGGGACTAGCTGTGCTAGTGCATCACAAGAGCATAGAATAACTGGATATTACGGATAATGCGAGCGGTCTTGCGGCACTTGTGACACTGAGGTTGTGGCGGCTGGATAGGATTACAGTTCCACATCAGGAAAATCTGAAAATCAGGACAATCTCCTTATTCTTTAAGTCCAAGTGCAACAACGACATGGAATTTAGTAATTTGACATCTTGGAAGATGTCCCGGAGGTCAATGATTAGGTTTCTGTTTCCGATGATTATGTACGTGATCTATCATTTAAAGGGTTGCATTTTTCTGAGACTACTGTATGGAATTTGGCTAAATGGAATTAAGTGCGAGCCAAATGCCAACTGATTAGTAGTTTTTGTGTCGGAAGTATGGCCTAAAGTTATGAAAAGAGTTTAAGAGTTGGTGGTCAATTTAGATTTTTAGAACAACCTGGAAAATGACTTTAGTAATTTTCGTTAGCAGGCTTTAAACCGGGAGATTAATAGAATAACAGTGTTCCAATTTCTAACTTCTCTATTCGAATTTCGATTACAAAAACAGAAAAGAATAACCTTTAGGACCGTGCGAGTATTAAACATAACAATGGAGAATATAAATATTGCAATAAAAGAATGATTCCACCCTGTAACATTAACAACGGTCTGACTAAGATTGATCGTGATCTGAATAAACCCATAACCGGAGCCTTGTCCTCTGGGGATCACGGTTAGCCCCAATAAAGTCACGCGACCGGCAATAGTTGAGGGTACTGTACTAAACCCGGAAAAATATCAACAGTGACCTCAATTTTCAATACTTAACTCAGGTGGTCGTTCGGTCTCTTGAAGTTGAAACGATTGAGTGCGCGCCACTCACTTACTCAGCCTAGCATATGTGCACGTCCAAAGAATAGTTCGATACATTCGGTCTGTCATGTGACACAAATTCACTCGTTTGATTGGGGAAACGTTCCTACTTAATCAATAATCACTCGCCAAAATGTTAGGGTTGGGATTAGTGTTTATGTAAAACTGTTTGGCTCAGCTGTAAAACTGTACAACTTCACGCTGATTGACGAATGTTTATGTATCAGTGAATAGAGGGTCACTCTTTGATTGCTCTATGTATTTCAACCCAATATACTGATTGGTCCCTGTATTTCAGAGGGACTATGGGAGTGTGCGTGGACTGGGGAGGAGTACCCCTGCGATGGCGTGACTGCCTGTAGCTACGGCTGCTACAAAGACGCATGTTGGAGTCAGTGTAACGGTAAGAGCCCATGGGAGCGTGTACATTGTATTGTGTATTGTTTTATTAGTGCTTTTATTGTTCAGATTGATGAGTTGTTGGAGTTGTTTTGGGAATTTAAAGGATTGTAACCGGGATGCGGTGAGGTTTTCACCTTCTATAATCATCTGATAATGTAACAATACCTCGTGCATCTTGGAAGATTAATCAATGTTTGGTATACATATTGTTTAAGATTTTATCTTCCGGTATAATGTTATCTAGGTTAACAATGAGTAAATATTACGTGAACAGGTTGGGCAAAAATAAACACAATGAAGAGTACGACCCAGATCCTGACGTTCCCAAAATGGTCTAACCAAAATAAAAATCTAGGCAGTACTCAACCGCGTGTTGAATCTGACCCAATCTGCAGTTTAATTTTAACGGCACTAAACATGACGTATTTGCAGGAGTCTGTTCGAAGAACATCAACAACCATATCTGCAACGGATGCAAAGAGTGGTGCTACGTAGAAGCCGACAACGATTACGGAAGTAAGTTAAAATAGTCATGACAAGACTCAAAATCATTCACAAACAACTTAACAACAACTTAGCAACAACTTAACAACAACTTAACAACAACTTAGCAACCACAAAGGAAAAGCCTCATCAGAATAACAACGATCCGTAACACCATAAAATAGAAATTCCTAGTTAATGCAATGATCGATGAGAAAGAAGGACACTGAAGTTTAACGATATGCACGATACACCATGATAAACTGAAGGCACATTTCATGACGCGTTCCTAAATTTGACAGTTAAATCAAGTAAAGCCTTCAAGCCTGTTCGTCAAGTAACGCCTTCAAGCCTGTTCTTCTGTACAATCAAATAAGGAAGAAATCACTAGTCAGACAAACTTCACAGCTTCATTAACATGTAACATGCCAATAATTTTGGGAAGGCTAATATCTAACCACGCTTCTTGACGTCACACAGTTTATGCAAAACATCTCTCTCGCTGAATATAGCGAGAGAGAAATGTTGCTAATACGCTTGGGAACCTCAAACGTTAATTCACTGAGCATTTATCTGATCATGATATTGGAAACGTTTATCAGGAGAATTGTGCAGTTAAGCTAATGTAAAGCACAACTCGTAAATCAGGCAGCTAGTTTGTGAGTAAGAGTATTGCGGTAGTGCCACTGCCAGTTCACCGAGGACCGCTCCTAGCTGACCTCGATCCCAGTTTACGTAGAGCTTTGGAGCTTAAAGAATCTAAATCGATAAGAGCACATAAACTAGGCATCTAGCGTTATAAGCTTTGCCCGTAGAGTGAGCCACAAAGTACACTATATATTAACGTCGGAAAACACAGCTCATCGAAAAACGTGTTGGTTAACGGTCCTCGCCTCATTGGAAATGACCTTTCAGCTCTATTAGTATTAACTGATGGCTGCTTTTGAATGGCAAATAATAAATAATAAATATCATTATGGAACATGACTATCACCATTTCAGAATTTACTGACCATAATAATATATAAATACGGAAATGATGTAGAAATAATGTATTAGCTTGCGTTCACTGTTTTAGCCAGTGTTCAATTTCTAAATATACAAGAACAAGACTTGGTTGCTTTATAATAGACTTTTCGGAGAAGAAGAGTTGTGCAGATCCACATTATTTTCATGAAGGCTACTTATATAGACTGTCACGTGTAATTGTTTGGTGGATTGGTCGCTGCTGAAAGCTGATTGGTTAATGACTGCCACGTGTCAGATAAAACATGACTCAACTCCTCACTGTCATCCATGAAGCCTGGAGCAAAAGCCATTAAAACCTAGTGAAATAGGAGTAGTAGAAAAGTGCTAAAACTAAAGGGTCAAGGCTACTCAGGTTAAAAAGAATGTTCCTTTAAGCAGCTCCTAAAATACCCGTAACTGGCGACTTATTTTAGTTCTTGTTTTTTATGTGGCACAACTAATTTCCTAACTTATTCCTCAACGGCTTGCTAACAGGTCTCTATGATGTGACCGACCTAGTTTGCTAGACAGTATGAATTAAGCTTTATAAAATACCCGAAAGCCCACCAGTTTTGTATGAATAAAATAAATATTAATTAATATCAATTGTGTGTCCAAGAAACGGACGGGATTTCGTATATTCATTATTCAACCATTCGATTTTTGCTGTTAAATCACGAACATACTCTAACAGTAACGAATACTTTAGCGGTTGCAATAAGAAAATTAAATACCAACAGTTATATAATAATGTTGTTATAATGTTATACTTATAGCGAGCGGGGACCTGTGGCCTGGGAGTATCTTAATTGTCACGAATATCTTAATGAAACCTTAAAATATCCTTTGCGAGATATATCCAACTAATCGAATACTGCAGAGTAATACGGGATGTTCATTGTTCATGTAAAAGGGGCCATCTTCACAATGGATAGTACAGTGCGAGCTCATACCCAAGGCTCCACACCATGCTCTGGGATAAAAGCTGGGTTCATTGTCTGAGTATGGTCCAAGCTTTGAAGAGCTGTAGAAGACCTCCTCCAACTCTTTAAGTTCCAGGAACCGAGATTGCAGCTAGGGGACCATATAAAGCATACATAATATATTATACATTACATCACACAGCCATATTGCTGGTTCCCGTATTTTATCCTGACATATTGTCTTTTGTAGACAAGGTTTAGACTGGCAAGGCACTTCCAGATACTGAAGAACGTTAGGGTCTTTCTGTTGGATAATGTGAAAACAGCGCATTTATATTTGAACATTTTCCAGTTTTAAGTTTGGCAAAAATAGGGTGCCCCAGCCAAAATAAGCCAAAACTTTAAGTAGCGTGAAATTTACAGCGGCTCTGAAATCGACTCAAGAATCATAAATTGGCAAAATGTCTATTACCTAAAGACCAATCAAAGTTTAAGAAAATTAGCTTCGAGTGAATTAGGTACGTGCTGAATATTACACGTAGTAGAACGTAGTAGTAATACTAACCAACATTTATACCTCAACTTTAACTAATAGTACCATCGAGATTCTTGAGAAATTCCTAAGTGAAACAGCGGAGCAACAAGAAAGTGTAATTTGATCTAGAAAGAAAGAAATGTAGAACACCTATAAGAATAAATTACATCCCTCAACACCAAATAACTATCAACAGGGGCCACGGACTGGCTGGGAAAAAGAACAATACGGGGTATATTTGAAATGTCACGTACCGAACTTCAGATATTATTAACATAAATAGTTATAGAATCCAGAGGCCCATTGTTCGACACGACCATATGTCTTATACAGGCTTCAAGGTAAAAGATAATGAAATGTATAATAGCCGGTCGGAATTTTACCTATTTGCCAATACATATTGATTAAGTCATATAATCATTCATATATTATGACGCAGTGAAACTATCGGACTCCGATGCATGGGGACTTGCCACCCCATGGCAATATTAAGATATATTGACTCTGTTACATCGTTTCCTGTTAATATAAAACGCCGTTACAAATTGATCTGGGATCTGGCAATACTACACCTCAGATCAATAAAATATGATACAGTATTGTATAACTAGACTCATGTAAATGTCTAATAAAATATAAAATACAAAATATGAGCGCTAGGATATCTTGTTCCGATAGAGATTAGAAAAGCTAGTGTGTACACAGTACTAGGATATACGTCACAAGCTCTGTGATTGGAGGATTACAAGTCACGTGATAATATAAGCTCTTCTGTGATTGGAGGATTACAAGTCACGTGATAATACTTGTATGTACTATGTATAAGCTCAGCTCTGATATTAGTTATTACTGATATTACTGATATTACTGATATTACTGATATTACTGATATTACTGATATTACTGATATTATTGATATTACTGATATTACTGATATTACTGATATTACTGATATTATTGATATTACTGATATTACTGATATTACTGATATTAATGATATTAATGACATTAATGATATTAATGATATTAATGATATTAATGATATTAATCATATTAATCATATTAATCATATCCATATACATTTATAATTTTCCATATCACAGATATAAATTGGTAATCAGACGTAAAATTCTAGGGAATGGCTAGCGTTATAATTCTAGTTCAGTCCAGGATATGTAAGGTATTTCAATGTAATTTAGTTAGTAATACTGCATTATTTTGCCTGCCGTTGTATATGTTGTAAATAAAACAAAATATGCACTGGGAACATCTTATAGTGTCGAGAGATTTAATGAGATAGGATGTAAGGGATGAACTATTATTTTAATTATAGTAAGTCTAAAATCCTCCATTTAGCCATTACATACATACATTATTTATCCAATATTTCTAATTACCGTCGGTTAAAAGGTTATCCAGGAATAAGGCATAAATTCCGATTATCAAACCCCAGCTGGAGTATTAAACGATTATGCGTAAAAATAAATTCCATGTCCATAATATTATAGTAGCACTGGCCACTAATACCTAAATACACTAAAACTATATTTCATCTAAATATAACGTTCAGTAAAAATAAAGGAGCGATCAAAATCACATCTCAATATTACTTTTGAAATAGAATATGAAATGTCACGAATTAGCCTAAAATGGTACTAAAATTACCCCAAATTCGCACTTATAAACGAATTGGACTAGCCACATTTGGCGTCACGTGACATCGAAGGCCCCATCATTCGCCAACGTGTGAAATAACTTAACTCATGACATTGGCCTCATGACAACAAAAATGATATGACTTTCGCCAGAAGAAAGGCCCGCACACGATCCTTGATTATTTAATTGCTGCTCGGTTAGACTTAAAATTACCAAAATTATAAAATTACGACTTAAGGCAACGGCTGGTATTTAGTTTGCAGGCGAGAGAGCCGTTATGGTCCCAAACTCATAAGAAAGGGGGGACATTTTAAAATAATTCAATATTAAATCCCCCTGGTACTAAATTACCCTGACCAAATGGTCGCATTTAAATTGCTGTACTCTAAAAGTAAATTGCAACTGTGTCCACTAATTTATAATTTCCTGCCTCATATCACCCATTCATAATTTTCTGAATTCGTACCACTCCGTCACGACCACTGAGATGTGAGAACCGACCGTTCCGTACAACTACATCCCCCTCATATCAAGTAAGGGTACTTCACGAGATTCCAAAGCGCTAACTACAAAAAACAGATCTAAAGAAAATATCCTGAAAAAAGAGAAAGACGAACCATTATAGCCGAGCGGGAATTAGTAAGTGGTTGGTGGAAGGGGGAGGGAGCAGCAGCTGGAGAAAAAGAAGAATAAAGACGGGGGACATGCTGCCATCTGTTCGGTAGATTTGGAGGTTGTATAACCGTGCCATCTTTTGTTCCGGGTAACTTCTCTCCTATTTCATGCCATTTCACGTGTGGCCTGAGTGTCTGGTCTCTCCACCTCAGTACCCATACTTTACAACCATGAGATCCTAAATTAGTGAATAATGAGCTGAAATCTGAAATATAACAATGGCGTAGATGAAGGACTATTAATTAGATTGATTAGGTGTTATTATTATATAATGTGAGGGGTAATATGACTAACTGTGCAGAGGGAGGGGGTAATTCTTTAGTCCCCACTGTTGTAGTAAAGTAATACTAACGAGTTTAACTCTAAATACGCTGAAAATAATAATGCTATAAACGTACTCGCCAAAGCTATGTAGTGGCGCTAAATTCACATTTTAAAGTTGCAAATCATTGACTTTTAGTTTTTCCCGTGATCCTGTGATAATATTAATATAGTGCCAGCTATAATACGACTCACCACATCAAGTAACCGTCTCACCTAATCTGCTGACCTACAGTGTAAATCAGCGGACTAATTTCACATCTTCTTTAAACCATCAACTTAATAAATCTTGCCACTAACTACTACTCATCGACACATAGGATTAAAATATTCAGAAAACTTGGCCGATCGTCCGAGCTCTATTTGGGGTGTCATTAGTGGTCATTAGCCACTAATTAGCCACTAATTTAGTGGTCGCATATTTGAACCAGTACGGTCTGTGTTTTTTATATGAGCACGTAGGTTTTATATAACATTAACATGTGTCAAGTCAATTCTCTCTTCTTCGAACTTAAAGACTAGACATTTTCAACTTTTCAGGCAGTGTGCCAAAAATGTTAGCTTACTTTCGTAAAAATATTTATTATGTACGCGACGAAATTCACAACGGACGGGCAACGGACGGTTTTCATGAGGGCAAGCCACTTCAAACGATTTATGAACTTAATCTATAACATACCACATACGTGACCTAATCTACTTGAAACATTAATCAACAGTATCTGCAACATATGTATTGGGTGGCAAAATTTAGAATTCAAGGGGAGCAATGAGCAGTGAGCACGCAATTTCATATTTCCATTTGATAGTTATCAGTTTCCTATTCCTGTTCTGCCGCTGTGAAGCGACAGGGGGCATAGTAAATGAGTAAATACCGTTTCAAATTTATCCATTTGAAATTCTTTTCAAATATCCGCTGATTTGGAGTTTTGTAATTTTATTGTGAGTCTCGAAGATACGGATAATAATAAATGTTAAAGGACAATTAATATTTAGTCAAGAAGCAATTATTTATTGAAGGTTCGTTTAGTAGCAATTTAGTTTATTTAAGTGATCATTTGTTCGACAAATAACCTGTAAATTTTTTTCATTGTCTAAGTGCACCCGGTAAATATGCAGCCCATTCAACAAGAGCACAGGTTATCACTGATTAAATGAATAGAGCCCAATAATTTAATTTCCAATGTGATGAGGTGGCAAAACCTGTGCTTAATTAATAATTACCGATCCCTAACAATAATCACCTGATAATATCCTTTCCACAGAGTGCAGAGAGCATGCTGACTGTAAAGAGTACAGGACAAACTCATGCTGGAGCACATGCACGGTTTAAGACGCGCATGACGACACGAGCACGTGCATTGTGTAAAGAACTAAAGAAGCACAGGACTCGACCACAGGCGATGATATTGGGAATTATATCCTAGATTATATCTTTATTGAAAATAATGTTCTAAATTTTATTCACGATAAAATTATTCAGTTTATATATTTGCCTACAACACACAGTAAGATTATTTTGGGTAATCTTACTTTTGATGAATAATACAGTAGCATCTAAACCGTGCATCTAGATTCAAGTAATACTCAACATTTTATTATGAAAGTTTAAATATCATTCACATTATATTCACACTATCTTCAAAACAATTAACAAGAAATGTCCTGCAATTAATATTAATGTTAGACAAATAATAATAGTGATAATCTGTTGTACCATGAACATTACGTTTTGGTATGTATGGAATGGTAACATGTCATGCTCGAGGGTTTTGATTTGATTCAAGATCTGCGAAAAGAAAAAGATAGGCTGAGGCTTAAACAAAAATCTGTAAATAAAGTGATAAAACTAGTAGAAATTCTAAAAATGTAGTTAGCTATTACCTAAAATAGTTATTACCACCATAAAATGAAATCAGAAGAAATATCTATATCGCTTTAAAAACCATCACAAAACTGTTAACCCATTTCCACATGATTGAGTCTACACAACTATGCTTAAAATCGAAACAAATTAAAATTTCCATCTAAGACCCAAGTCTTTAGTTCTTTACCTACCAAGAATTCCTTTATCTTTTGGCTTCAATCCTCACAAACTTAGTGTATATTTTATTCTAGAATTCGGCCGAGACCACCATCATTAACTTCCACATTTTTCATCTGAAATACAATACATATCATTGATTTTAAATTACCGTCCACATCGAAAAAAGTTACACAACAACCCCCTGGCCCTATGTGGTTTTATTAGAAACAATAATTAGACCTGCACCGTTTTAAGACACCTGTAAATCCCTCGGGGGCCGGGGGCGGGGTGGGGGCCGGGAGGGGCTATATGGTGTATGGTGTACTAATATGGTGTATTTTTACTGAGTAATGATCCTCATTAGCCTTCCTTACTGTTGTATTTTTGTGATGAATTAAACGATAGCTATAAGATAACCATCTATAAGATAACCAGTGAGCAAGTTCTCTCATTTTCATGGAGTAACATTCACCAGAATTGGTTGTTTTAATTGTGTTGTGACTCCAGCGCTAGAGTATTGACTGGAAAGTATTGTAAGTTAACCTTGTGAGATGATGGCCGGTTCTCGTAGCTCCAGAATAAGCATGGCGGGATCTCTACGGTACATGTTAAGTAGCTTCGTACCGTCAACCTGAAGAAATGAGATGTTACAATTCATATTAGATGGGATCCATATTCTGATTGGGGTTATTAATATTCATTTTAATTGTGTTCATTTCTTATTCAGATTGGGGATGATCAATATTCAAATGACCGATCAATATAATGCAAATGGTTAATAAATATCCAAATTGTTTGCCAAAATTAGTACGTTCGAGGTGCCTCCAATTTGGCTATATATACTGTATAAATTGATTAGATCTGACACCAAAATAAATATTGAAGGAGCCTTTGATTTTTTAATTAAGTAACTTAAGTAATCTGTGACTCTAGAAGAAGTATCTGTTAAATTTAAGATCAATGATCAGAAGTCTGTAGGCTAAACTTCGAAGGTTATCGGTGAGATAAGCTCCCTTTGATTATTATGGAACTTGACTTCAAATAACAATTCGAATTGATGACCTTTCTCTCAAATGAGAATACATAAAAAGATAATGCGATAATAAATTTCATTTTAATAAGCGAAATTTGTTTACAGTAGCAAATAGTCCCCTAAAATTCAACAATTTTCTGTACGAATTTTGGGTACTTTTCACTGGGTAGATTTTCACTTTCACTTTCACTTTTTTTAGTGACCTTGTTTAATGTTCAGTCTAAACAGCTCGAACATTCTTTTAACCGCAAGTTTCAAAAATTTACCATTTGATATTATGACTATTTTTTCCCCCGTTTTTTTCCTTCACTTTTGTATCCTCATAGTTCTACCCGAGTTAGTCCCAATTCACACGTTTATACATTAACATTTCTCTAGGGCTGATAAAAGCCTCCACATTAAGTCACATTTATAATTATATACAGATTTATAAAGTTTATTCCTTTTGTAATCCCTCTGTTAAAAGGAACCGGAAAAGTGCTTTTATTGTACTTAAGCTGTACACCTAGAATTGACGCCATTCAATGCTGTTCTGGGTCCACATCAAAGGGCCGCAGAAAAACCAATTTATACTGCTACAAATGTCTCTTTATAAACGCTACAATGATCAATACTATACTAGGGCAACATTGACTAATACCCAAGGTCAGACAAACCACTACACACTACTCTCCCAAGCTATAGACTAAGCTAAAACGATCATTTAAAAGGTTATAAACCTTGTTGATGAAGAGAGCAGGAATTTTAACGTCATCAGTTCCGTCCCCGGACATGGCCAGTACTCCTGATGAGGCGGGTTCAGCGTTGTCAATAATAACTGCTCCGATAGCTCCAGCTTGTTCCGCGTTCCGGACCTGAAGCAAAGACTTTTCTTTGTGGTGGAATAATTTTAGGAAAAAATTTGGACGGATTTTGACAGACTATATTTCAACAGATATAAATATGAACGCTAGGGTCTTCAGCGTCCACACAATGTCCGTTCAAGTCTGATAAGGTAGGAACCCGCATGACAATAACAGGGCATCTTAACGGAATATATCTAAAGTTGAGATTTGGATGAGAATGTTGTGGGTACCTTGTCGATGAACATGCAGTTGCCTCTGTACATAACAGCAACCTTGCCAGCTAGTTGGTTAACAATAGCAGCACAGCCGTCACTAGGCTGAGTCTCCTCCGCTGTTCCCGCTATTCTCAGTCCATTTGACAGATCAGTACCGAACTGGGCTTTACCTGGGTTGCAGTGAATATGAGGAGTTGGGACAACATTGTGTACAGGGTGCCGGGGGTGGGGAGCCTCCCGGCACCCTGAATCTAAATTTAAGAATTATTAGGAATCAATAAAAGATATTATATTATTTGGAGAATGTTAGCAACAGCAGTGTTAATTTCAGGACATGTAAATTGTAAACTATGCTGTATGCAGTTCCACTTCTTGCTATTGAAAGTTACCACCTTCAATAATCAGGTAGCTTATTAGGTAACTAATGAAATAATTAGTAAATTAGTTTAATAATTAGGTAAGTAATGAGCTAATTGGCAAAGGAAAGCAAAAGGAATTCAGCTCTTACCAGCCTCAAAGGTAGCAGTTTCTTTGTTCAGTAAACTTTGTACGAACACCTCCTTAGCGGCTACTACTTGCTGCTGAGTGGCTGAAATAGTCTTGAAGTGACAAAAGTCTTCAATAGTCTTCAATAGTCTTCAAACTACTGATCATATCCTGTACCATGTATCACAATATGAAATTAGTACCAAACCAACAAAACTAAATAATATCGTACCCTGTGCCATCTGCTTGGCATGATCGGTTATCTCCTTCATGAATATCATGCCCTCGACTCCAAGTTGGTCAGAGTACGCAGTTGCTGAGTTGTGGACCAACTGAAGTTTCTCGCCATCCATAAACTCGATAATGATACCCATACTTCGTAAAATAGCCACGTGCTCGGGGTTTTTATAGTCGAAGTTGGACGCTTTCAGAGCTGCGGTTATTGTCCTGGGTCTGAGATGGGAAAAGTATTGATTATCCTATCTTTCTCCAACAATATCTGATATTTTTTATCTTTCTATTTCTGTAATATTCTGTAATATTAGAAGTATTGATTATCCTATCTTTCTCCAAAAATATCTGATATGTGGGTATTACATTATCTTTCTATTTCTGTAATATTATTCGCTGCTTATAAGGAGGGAGGGGAGCCTGCCCATTTGACCAAAATATGAGGAGTAAATTGGCTTGGGTTTGTCCCCCCTTATTTTCCTATTATCCGGGGGAAATCTATTTTTGTAACACTCAGTTATCCATGCGGGTAATACCCGAACTTTGATGTTGACGATGAATAGCCCAACATTATAAACAATATTATATTAACGATATTATAAACATATACATATATTACCAATGAATATTAACATAACACTATAATATCCCAACAAAACAAACCCTCTTGATAAAGAGACAATGTGTACAACACACACAGTGCACAATAAGGAACATCGCACCGGGGGATGTGGCTAAGATAATCAGATATCTCACCCTTCACCTTTTGGGTCTCTCTCTCTCTAACGACCAATTTTAAAATGTGGCGGTTCCTGGTGGAGTCACGGAAGAATCTCATCAAAACAGAGTGTTACTCTCTGGTGACCTGTATTTTTATTACATGAGGAACACTGTGCGAGAGTAATGAATAATGTGCAGGGTGAATAACCTCCCTGTACCCAATGTTGTCAACAAATCTAAATGAGAAGGCAGAATACAGAATACAGAAAAAACAAACGACAACAAAAGCTAGCTTCAAGAAAAAGTACTATACATGACTGAATTACTCACATCTTTGATGATTTTTTCGATTTGGGCCTGAATTGTTTTTTGTTGATTCTTTAGCGATGGTCTGTTATTTAATATCATAGTAATTTAATGCGAAAGTTATCAAACATTAATGTCATAATTTATTATTAACAGATATCAGAACACAAATATTCAACGTATTTAGAATTTTCCAACAATTAAAACATTTACTTGTAATTGTAGGGTTGATCGTCCAGTAGAGATATATCGACCCGCTCAGAGTTCGCCAGATACCCTCTGAATATGCTGTCCCGCAGCCACGACCAGGCGTATATACCTTTATCAGGACATACTTTAGTGCTTGCTTTTACCTGAAAAGTGAAATATTATTTAGAACATAGCAAAGGGAACTTTGAATGTAGTATTTAACAAATTCTCATTAATTGAGTTTGGGGGACTTGGGGTAAGCAGCATGGACAGTTTTCCATATATTATTTTTTCAAGATTAATTCTTAGTTTATTGATCCATTTAAAGTGGACAATCTGTTATTTTTCTAGATCTCTGGGTTCTTATTTTCTCGATTTCTAATTATATTCTTATTAAATATCCTCGCAGCTTGCAGAGCTGAGGCAGAAGATAAGTTTAACATGCCATTTAATTATGTTATGTCATTGATTGTGGTATCCCATTTTTCGGGGAAAACAGCTGCATTTTAATAATAAATATTGCAATATATATATAATCGAAAATCGAATTTATGATTTGAATTCATGGGAACATGTTAAAGTGTTAAGAATTGACGTCAATTGTAAACTATCGAATAGTTAATATCGGGATTGAAGTTTTACGGTTTCGATAAGCATCACATAACTGGTCAGTTACCGATGCAATATGAGCATGATCGTATTAAACCTACGTTACTTCCATAATTTTACTGTTCGACTCTCCTGTGCAGAGCTACCACAGGGGTCTCAAAGATTTTAGGAACCTTGCTGCAGCTGATTTTAAACAATCACATTCACTGACGAGGTCATCCTCGAGGTGATAACAAAATATGATCTCAACGATTAAAGTTCAGGTGCAGTGGTGGTATGTAAACAAAGATGCCAAGGATCGTAACATTTAATTACCCTAATTAACATTTAATTACCCTAAAAACCCTAATTACAAGCCCAAGGATATTCTTCCTCTAAGATTTGTCTGCTCGACTCGCAGATCACATAAGGGACGGGAGCTCTTGCAATGCATAAGCAATAAGCAGAAGGTTACATAACAATAGAAATAGAAATGATTTGCATAATCAATGTGGAATATGATATCGGGAAATGTTGTTATCTAAGAGGGAACAAGTGAGCTCTCGGTAGCATTCAATACCATGAATCATGATAGTAATTTAAAAAACAAGATGAGTATTTAAAACAAGATGGGGACTATAATTGTAACGGTTTAAGTGTATACGTCCTTATTAATGTAGACTCCGATTTCACTACACTGACAACATTCACTTTTTTGTTTTATTTTTTACTTGAGATCTCATATCATAAAAATTTACCATCGCGATACAGGTATTAATTTACCTCCCTGCGGTGAGACACCGCTTCCCTCCATCGCCATGTTTAAAGCTCTACCATAATCTGTTATACTTCAGAGTGAAGTAATTTATTTTATGCTTTAAAATTGTTATTATTCCAGTACTAGTATAACTAATAAATTTTCTAATCGTGAAAAATCGTGTAATTTCTATATAATTTTTGGCCAGAATTTTAAAAAATTGCTAGGAAAATCGACTATTAGCCACATTTGAAAGATCGGAAGATATTAAAATTCTTTGAAAAGCAAAAGATTTCACATTAGCCCGATGCGGGGCTCGAACCCGCGACCCCGAGATTAAGAGTCTCGTGCTCTACCGACTGAGCTAACCGGGCACTGAACATTTAAATATCAGGTGGTTCAAATTTGCCTTTCAGTCGTGCATGGTTTGCCGCGCATGCTTTTGTTGGGGATCGGTACCAGCCAATGTTTACTTATAAATACATATAATAAGTGTTATCAATTCAAAGTAAAAAACTCACACAAGATTAGATATTATTGAAAAGATTAAAATGGAGCTTATCGAACAAAACATAGCTGAGCACAGATAAAGTTGCCTTAAGGATTGTAAAGTTGAAATTATCATATTAATGCACTTTTGGAGTGGAAAAAGGAGTGGAAACAGGCGCATAGCTATAAGCTACAGCTAGCTAGCTATTCCAAAATTTTGTTTTATGACTGTTATCAGTCGCATAACATCATGCCGTTGTTGCAGGTGAATTGTCGGTAGTCTAACTGAGATGATATGCAGTGAAATTGATTCTGTGATGCTTGAGGGCGTGCTTATGGTATTGAGACAGAGTGCAGCATGGTTTGTTATCGTGATAAGAATATACACATATTAAGAGTCTGTAAGTAGCTTGGAATTTAACCAAAATAAAGATCGACTATTGCCCACATTGATTAAATCGGGAAATAGGTGAATTTAGATGTTAATAGATAAACCCTTATAGGTACAAAAGAATGTGCGTATGCCATCAGCCCGATGCGGGGCTCGAACCCGCGACCCCGAGATTAAGAGTCTCGTGCTCTACCGACTGAGCTAACCGGGCACTGGCCGAAAACAAATCAAGTCCTTCAGAAATTCCTTTTAGTCACGAATGGTTTGTAGAGCTGAACGGAAGACAATCTATCCAATTAAATGTTCAAAGTTTAATAATAAGCGACAACCCAAATATGTGACTGGTAGCATGCCCGCTATTGGAAATGGAGGTGTTATTGTGAAGTAATTTTTCTGATGTCATGTGGACAAAAAAGTGTGGTTCCATTTTTCAAGTTATCGAATCTGATCTACAACTTCGTAGTTTGGAACGCTCGTGCAACAAATGCTCATTTAGTCTTTTCGCAGACCTGAACCATTCGACGTTCGCGCGCGCGGTTCACGCCTTCAACTGTGATGCCTTGACACGTTGCACCATTGTTCGGTTTTGTTTACCGCTATTTATAGAGGCATTAAGGCATACTATGACAATCGGTAATTAAAATTTAGTAATTACTACTACCCTTCTACAAAGGTCTTTGGAACAGCACAATCATTAAAATAACCCGGTTTTAAGTAATTAATTAATTAATTACCTTTTCATTAGAAAATAACTGAATGTGTAGAGGAATTATATGGGCCTCTGTAGTCAATATGTAATCATCTATAGGTATCCCTATGTCTTCGTCGTCAGCGAAAAGTAGGTAGAAATATTTAAATGTTTCCGCCAATACAAAAGAATCCAGTCTGAAAATATAAGTAGAATTCAGATAATGAAATAGAAAACTGAAAAGGTTTGCAATGTTTCTGGATATTATCGAGATATTGTATGCCTTATATCTGAATTGATCACAGTAACACAGGGATTTAAATTATAGAGTACAGGTAGTAAGGTAGTAATATCGTAAATGTTTGCACGCTATTACGCTATATATGCTAAATTCACCGAATCAAAATGTGTTTAAGAACAGCAGTAAAAAGTGCAATGGATAATGGATATGCAGATTGTGCTGCACTTTTACCTCAGTTAATCAACATTGTTTTCACTTACCTATCTTCAAGTTCACCGCTGGACACATGTTTTAAGGCAGCATAACCGCAAACAACTTTGCACCTGTTCTCGATAGCATTTAATATTGTAATAGCAATATCCACATATTTAGGGTCTCTAGTGGCCTGCAATTTTGAAAAAATTGTTAGAAAGATTGACAGAAAAATTTGGATTGGAAAAATACGTATGAATGAAGAAATCCGCTGAAAAGGATGAAAACTCATGGAAAACAAAAGAATGTGCTTTCGCCATCAGCCCAATGCGGGGCTCGAACCCGCGACCCCGAGATTAAGAGTCTCGTGCTCTACCGACTGAGCTAACCGGGCGCTGAACACAATGCATTCCTTTAATACATAATACTCACTTTGTACAATATATAGTTGCTTTCGATGAGCTCCGGCCGCATATAATATTGCGGCCAATACACTTGCCCAGTCACGAGAAATGACTCCGGAAGCGTGTTCTGATTTACAGAGCTAACTTTTATATAGTGAGCATGAACTTCTGCTGCCTCATCCACATCACCTAATGAACAAAACTATCATAGCATAGAGAGAAAATGTTTTTTTTGGATATTGGAACTGCAAGAAAATAATCTGTCGGAAAGTGAACTTAGTTTTAAATTGTTCGCCAATTAAATGATGTTTTACTTAAATTAACCCAAATTAAAGCTACATCACGGAGCGATAACTTACCAGCAAGTACCTGCAACCCAGGCCAAAACGACTGCAAGGCATCTTGGTGTTCTTTAACCCTGTTCTGAGGGGCTCCAGAGTGAACGGACGTCATGTACTTCCCTTTCTTCAAGTGCTTCTTAGTCGCTTCATATTGGGTAGAGAACATATCCCACAACTTACTGTCTCCTGATATGATGTAACCTAGAGGGAGAAACGGGTACTCTAGACATTAGCGTTTGAAGTGTTCATGAAATAAAGAAATAATTGAATAAAGTATGGTTATTTCTTCTGAGCTGTGTTATTTTGCGGGGTCAATCAACAGACTATTATTCGGAAATGAATATAATGCAATTGACAGACTGTAAAGAACACGACCAACAACCGAGAGTGTCCCAAAAAGTTACCTTTCAATATGTACTCGTAGTAGCTGTCTATCCCAGCCCCAACTCCTGTATCTTTTCTAATCCAGTTACCACTGTTGATACTTATAGTGGAGCCCGGCAGATCACTAGCTGAAAAGAAGACATGGTTAACTATAATAATAATCCTATAAAGGGTATCTCATATTTTTCGTTCATATTTTTCCAATCTTCATCTGCTCATTCTCTGAATTATCGGTAACGTTTGGATTAAGTTGGACAAATTGGACACAGTATACAGATTAGATGAGATGTAAAGATTTAGAATTTGTCAAAGATCAAAAATTATTTCCAATCGAGAGCCTACAAATTTAGTTATACCACAGTCTTTTAAAGCACTCATAACGATCCAGAGAGCACATTTTAGGAAAATTACCACCTCAAAACGAGTTACTGAGTACAGTAGATAAACAGAAGTAGTTGTGGATAAATAAACTGAATTATTGACAGCCACTCACTGTGTTGTTACACTATGATGTCACAGAACAATACATCACATCGTAACCTCATCACTTCAGCTCTAAGTTCACACCCTACACCTTCTCTTCAGATGTTAGCTTCTTAAACAGCCTAAGTTAATTCTAGTAATAAATCACCCACACTTTACATGTACCTTTAAATTTCTTCTGATAGAGGTAATCAAGAGCTGCCCGTGCGTACCCCTCGTAAGAGCTGTTACCTGTGTACCTACTGAGTGCAGCTAACTCAAGATACAAGGTACCAGCACAGGCTGTGCACGTTTCGTTATCCTTCACACCGTGCGTGCCGTGTCTTAGGTTTATCTTGGGGATTGGCAGTCCTGAGATTTGATGGTTATAGTGGTGAAGTTTGGGAAACTTTCTTTTATTTATGAGAGATTTACATGGTAGGATAAACCAAGGTAGGATAAACTAAGGTATAATAATTTGTTTAAATTATGAACGTGATAAATTACACCGACCAAATTTATAACTATGAGAATGTGACTTGAAACTCACTAATATGAACATTTACACTAAAATAACTACTACAAAGTCAAAACGACAGTGCAAAAATTATTATTAAAATAACCTGTAGGAGTATCAAAAGCCGGTATGAACCTGTCAGCTAGGTCAACAGCTAGCAAGAGCAACTCGTTTGAATACCAAGTGAATTTACCAATATTTTGCAGGTATAGACATCCTGCATGACCTCCTAACAAGCCCCTGAAGATAAATATTAAAACTGTGATATTTGCTTGTTGTTAACCCTTGTTGTTTTTAGATACAGATGTTTTGGAAGAGCACTCAAGTATATTATTTAAAAGTCAGAATTACAACAAATTAACTGATTACTAATTACTAATTACTAATTACTAATTACTAATTAACTATTATAACAGATTGACTAAAACTCACCCTAATATTCGGATATTTGCTTCAAATAAGTTAACGGTTATATCTGTATCAAAAGACAGGCCTCGGATCACAAGCTTCACTGCATCTTCAAACTTTTCATACTCCTTCATCACAATCAGGGTGTCCAGTGTGTCAACGAGTGTCAACATGTACCTGCACAGGTATATGTCAAGATACCAGCTATAAGTAAAGTGTTGTGATCGTATCATTTCATATTTTTGGAAGCTATCTGTGAACTTCAGTATCTAATCCTGCTGGCTGCTTAGGCAGCTGTTCTCCAGTTCTCTTTTTGCATGTAATAATCCAAAATTGATTTTCAAATATTCCATTATTGTCTGACACAGTTGAGCAAAAAACCCTAAAATTTATGGGCAGTTGCAGATTTTAGATAAAGAAAACTCTGCATTATAATAGAGATCAGACGGAAATATTGTTTGAAGAATGTTGTACAATTAAATGGAATGTTGTACAATGGAAAGTCATGTTCAAATCGGATAAGTTCACTTTTAAGGCAAAACTTTTTTACGAGACCAGTCCATGAAATCGAGTGAGTTAGTAAATCTGTGTGGAAATGTTCTTGACCACCGTCATCAAAGGCTCATCAGAAAGTTGGATACACATTTTAGGATCACCAAAAAATTCACTGTCATAGCACCTTCAGAGCTCTTTGAGGCAATCTGAATTGGATTGGGAACATCCAGTGGCACATCTATATCTTCTCCTTCTCGCATTTGAGAACAAATTGATTGTAAGCAGGTTGTGGTGAATTCCTGTTTGGATATACCTTTGGCAACATCTGTTCCAAACCATTTGTTGCAAGAAACTGTGACTGTCCCTCCTGGTACGAAAAATGGAGCCTTCTCCTCAGGCAAAATCCTCCCATCTGTTATGCTGATCTCCTTGCATGGGATATTTTGAAGCATTTTGATCCCAGTTACAATATTAGCGGTGGACGGTGATATTCTGCGCTGCCAGTTGAAAGAAGAATTGATGGGCAGAATGATGGAACGGAGGACAGGAAGATGCTGCCTCAGTGACCAGACACTCTCAGTTCTGGACACAGCAACTTCTGGACACAGCAGAATCTTCTGACTCATGTCATTTCCCTCACTCTCATTAATACAAGCCTGTAAGACGGCAGTAGGAGAGATTCCTTCGGCTGTCTTCACAGCCGAAAGACACATGTTCCCTCCGTCCACCCTTAACTTTACCACGTCACACCCTGAAACCTTTTCCTGATCAAGAGGTATAATTTCCCAATGCTGGCCTGTCTCGCAGTTTGAACTCCAGAACAACTGATATCCCATTCTCGTGGAATGGTCGGTTTCTGTGAAGTTCACCTCAACACACATCTTTGAATCGCTGCTCTGGAAAACTCCCAAAGACTTTGGTGAGTTAAACCGGTCCTGATCGATCACGTTTATATCGGACCACTTTGAAACATCACAGTCCTTCATCCACAATGTAAAATGGGATGCATTGTTGGTCTCGTAGATCAGGCGGCTCCTCTCACCCTGATACAAAGAACACTCAGATAGACCATCTAGGTTGAACGAAAACGTGTTACAGTCGTTTTCATACTTGCAGTAATCCTGACATTCGTTTTCGGGGGTCACATCAAGCTGCAGGATCGGGTTCGACTTTACAGCAAGACCCTGTGTAGAAAAGTTGTGGTTTCTCTTCTCAGCAATGCTGGCTGAGGCGAAGATAATTGCTGTTGCAATGACTGCTAGTTTCTTGTGTGACATGCCGCAAAAATAAAGTTGTAAATGCAGAATTTTTGGCCCTTAAAAAGGTTGGTCACGTGTGTTTGAGGTCTTTCAATGTGACAAGGGCGCTCCATGTGTCCACAATCTAACAATGTGCTACAAAGTTGGATAAAAAGATTTCAACACGGGTATTGTTCAAAAAAAATATATTATTCAAAATGACATACTATTCAAAATAACGGGTAGTATTCAAAGTATTATGGTATTCTTTGATATTCAGTTTTTATTGCACCACAAAATATCTATTATAACCTAAGATCATAATGCTGCTTTGCAAGTGCGTGAGTGTGCTACCAATCTACCACAGTACAGTGCTACCAATCTACCACAGTACCCCTTTCGGAGTTGGAGCACGTCGGAGTTAGCGAGGACCTGTTCTCGGTGGTTAAATTCTTTTAGGGAGTTATTCCCGTATGGTACCTTAGCCCCTCACTATTAGTCGCTTGGCTGTGGTGGAGTCTAACAAGTGACTAGGTGAGCAGGCGGGCCGCAGCACTCTTGTTGTCGGGACCTATCTACAGTAAAACTATCTATTTGGTCTACTGAGAAACCTATTTTGATAGATCCATTGGCACTCAACAACTATGATGACATAGTATCTGCTGTCCTGCATTGTCAAAGTTTTTTATAGTACACTGTTACTATGCAACCTTCTAATTTTCACCCAATTTGTATGAAGGCGGTCAGGTGAACACAAAGACATTTCAGAATTACGATAAAGATATGATATTATGATTTATATGCAATTTCTTGCTTCGATGGCTTAAATATATCGAGGCACTGGAAGCTGAATTTCCGGAAAAATCTTTGATGAAAATTATGAAAATAACTACCAACATTTTCAGTTATCAGCTTTCCTCGACCAAAACCCCCCCTGTTTTGACTGGTTTCAATAACCAATAACTTAAATAAATAACAAAAGGTAAAAGCTGATCATGTTTCGATATAGAACTACTATTCTAACTTCCATATTTTAAAATAAAGTTACATCTACCTTCCAAGTGCATCGTCTACTTCACCTCTGCTTTGTGATAGTCCCCTAACTCTTCCTTTACATGACAATGGCATAAGTTCATCAGCAGGAAATGCATGCATCTGAGGAAGTTTTTTAAAACTTTATTAATGTTTTTCATTTATAAAAAGTCACAGTTCCATCAACAACCCGGTTCATGACTAAATGAGAATTAACAATGTGAGATAAATGTTCCAAGAAATGAGGATAATTTATACTCACAACACTTAACATGTCTAGTACTAGTGTTGTAAATCTTAACTTTAATTAATGTTTTTGTTTCTTTTAAATAAAGGTTGCATCTATTGGGAAAATTCGAATCGAGGTGAAAGTTATGCAAATGAAATTTAAATTCAATATTTAATGTTACCATGTAACTGTCGTAAGCATGAAAGAACATCTTTTTGGTTTGTTCGGCATACTTTGCTTTCTTCAGGTCATATTCATTATCCTTACTCTTTTTCTTTTTTGCTTCAGCCTGATGAAACAGAATGTTGCTAAACTAAAAAATTCTACTTTATACAATTGTTTCAGATCAATTAGACTGAAAGTTGTCACCAATGTAAGTATACAGGTAAACAATTTACTGCAGAGTTTTGAGGAAAGCAAATGGCTCAGTAAATTGGGGGGTGGAATTACCTTTAAGTAGAAATCAACCATTTGTTCACTGGGCCCTGTCTTAAGCATTGGTCCAAGGATGTGCATATTCTTTGCAACGACCTCTTTGATCTTTTCAAATCTACTCTTCTGTTGTTCATCATGACAATCGACGGAGAAGAAGCTGAGTATTATCAGAAGTACAAGTATTGAAGAGCTGAATCCATGTTTCATAACAGAAGGATTTACCCCACACCTTTTTCGCTCATCCGACCCCACTAATATAGAATAAAACCTTGTGAAATATTGAAAAAGTTTTATCAATGTATTGAAGAGAGTTACCATGAGTTAATGTGTCCTTCGCATCAACTCATCTTTCTCAAAATCAAAGCTCTCAAATCACTTACAATATGAAGTACAAATTCGTGGATACCTGAGAAACTGCCAAAGGATCCCCACCAAAACTAGAATCTAATTGAGCACGATTTTGAACCAGAAGCATATTATCTAATTCATTATTTGTTATCAGGTGATTGGCTTACCAGATCACGTGATTAGGTGACCTGTTAAATTGTGAAGGCAGCCCAATTAAAGTGTCGTGTCAGATAAACCCAATCAATTTTGTTAACAAAATACACAAAATGCTTGATAACTTCGTCAATTCATATCCATTTTGCCTCATTTTTTCAAATCAGATGCAGCAATTAATTATCTACAGTAATCTGAGAAAATTTGGCATCTAGCATGTTCAAAAAGAACAATATAGGTAATTTAATAATATATGGGCGTGATCTGAAATATTTGAATTTTCGAATTTTGGCGACAGAGTCCTCAAATGAGTATTTACAGCATGCCATCGACAAAATTACAGGTCTCAAATATGAAACACGGCAGTGGTATAATCTAGGTAAACTATAGGTAAAAATATAATATTAATCATAAGCTAAAATGTACTAATCTTTGTATTCTAAATGGGGAAAGATATATGTCAGGGTCCAGGGATGGTTTGAGTTTTGACAATTACAGCTGAGCATATCCATTTCATGATCTTCAGAGTGAAGTGTGAACCCCATAATGATCCAGTAGCTCTCCTGCATAGCTCTCTGTTCCGTTCATTGTTAGAGGGCCTCAGAATTCCCATTTCCTCCTTCAAGTGAACATTACAGCATGTGTTTTGAGTGTACTTAGCTTCAGCATGTTATTGGTGCACCAGTCCATGATAGCTCCAAGACTTTTTTGGGTCATCTTTCTGAGATGATCAGCATCAAAGCCCTTGTTGCCACATGTTCCCTCTAATCAGGCTAATAAAGCAAGATCTTCCGAAAACCCTTGCAGGTCACATGGGATCTTGTCTATCATGCACAACAGGACACTGTCAACCTCCAGGTTCCATAAAAATCGAGACAAGATGCCACCTTGCGGACATCCTTTTCTTATGACAATGGATTTCATTTGTTTAGTTCCTCATTAGTGGTGCTATTAGAGTCCTACCAGAACTTTTTGGTTTAGCTCTGAGTATATCTATGATGGAGTAGATGTGTATATATTTGGTTGTTAATATTTCATACAATGTTGGTAGCAGTTTCCGTTACATATGTATTGTGCTCAGCACAGGAGGGCCAAAGTGCAAAGAAACAGCTGCTAACTGCTGCTCACTGCTGCTGTCGCAGTTAGCAGCAGTGAGCAGCAGTTAGCAGCAGTGAGCAGCAGTTAGCATCAGTTTCTTTGCACTTTGGCCCTCCTGTGTCTGCCAATCGCATCACTTGATTTAATTGAATGTATATAGTTGGGAATGTATATATAATAGTTGGGAATGAGGTAGTTGTCTGTTCACAGATCGCCCTCTAAACTTACAAGGAAATATTTCCTGTAGATCCTTGGTGTATAAGCAACATTTGACAGAGCATAGTGTAGAGTGAGCCAGTGACGTAACAAAGGGCCCCGCTGACCTGCTGTGCGGGGGGGGGGGGGCGCTGTTTTAGGGGGGCGCCAAATCGTCGTTTGAATGTGGGACAATTTCGAAAACTTAACTAAAGTACTAGCAAAACTGCGCGTTTTGCTCTAGATACACACTTTTTTTAGAGATTTTACCGGCATATCCTCTAAAATTACCTAATTTGTTCGATTTTAGGGAGGGGCACCAAAAGGGCAAGGGGGCGCCAACAGGCAACATTACGCCACTGGAGTGAGCTATGTGCCCATCCTTGGAGAACCCGGTGGATGTCCTTGCTGTACAGCAGTGTTAAACAAGGAACTGAAACCAAGGGGTTCCGTTCAGGCCCTTCACACTTTGTTTCTGTCTAGTTTTAATGTACCGTCACAATAGTGACTTTAATATATGTATTGTTTGAATGACATTTCTATACTTGTACATCTTAAGCTCTTCCTCCATATGCCATAACTTTATCCTCCCCATCCACTTGAGTGGTTATGGTTCTGTAGGATTTAGAGCTATAAGATATTCAGATGCTGTGGGATATATAATAATAATAAGGCATCTCCCTACCCACAGGTGAACAGATCCATGAGTTGGAGGACGACGGCTATAAGTATCTCGGAATACTAGAAGCTAATGATATACTACACAAAGAGATGAAAGCACTGGTTACAAAAGAGTATGTCAGAAGAGTTAAAAAGGTTTTGAAATCCCAGCTTCATGGCAGGAATAGTATACAAGCGATTAACACCTGGGCTGTACCTGTGATAAGATATGGAGCTGGAATTCTCTCATGGAATGCTGGGGAGACCAAAGCCTTAGATGTCAAGACCCGGAAACTGATGAGGATACATGGAGCTCACCACCCCCAAGGAGATGTTGATCGGTTATACGTCAGCCGTCAACTGGGTGGCCGTGGGCTACATAGTATAGAGGAAGTCGTTAAGAGAGAGGAGAATGCACTCACCACTTATGTGGTGAGAAGTAGAGACCCAGAACTGATTGCTCTGAAGGACTACTTTGTCAAAGACAAGATACTCTTGGGTGAAGAGATAGAGAAAGATATTGACCGAACACAACGCGAGGAAATCCGCAAGGAGAAATGGACTGCTAAAGTGATGCACGGACAGTTCCCAAGGCAGATGATGGGTACAGCAGACCCGTTAACCTCTTGGAACTGGCTCACCCAACAAGATTTGAAGAAGGAGACAGAAGGATTGTTGATAGCAGCCCAAGACCAAGCACTTAGGACTAATTACGTGAAGCACAGGATTGACAAAACACCTGGCTCTTCTCCCCTCTGCAGACTCTGCAGAAATCATTACGAGACAATAGACCACATACTGAATGGGTGCCCAAAACTTTCACAGACAGAATATAAGTGTCGGCATGACAAAGTAGCTGCCGCATTGCACTGGAGTCTGTGCAAGGAATACGGCTTCCCACGCAGTAAAAGGTGGTACGAACACCGGACAGAGAAGGTGCTGGAGAACGGACAAGTCAAGATATTGTGGGACTTCCATGTCCAGTCGGACCACGTTATCGAACACTGTAGACCGGATCTCCTCCTGGTAGACAAGGTAACCAACGCAGCAACCATCATTGACGTTGCAGTCCCAGGAGATACCCGGATCTTGGATAGAGAACAAGAAAAGATTCTGAAATATCAAGACCTGAAAAGAGAAATTAAGAAGAACTGGAATTTACGAAAGGTCACAATCGTCCCTGTGGTGATAGGCGCATTAGGAACTATCACCATAAACTTTCGTAAACACCTCGACGCAGTCCACTGCAATCTGAGCATCTCTAATCTCCAGAAGACAGCTCTGCTTGGATCAGCCAGGATTCTCAGGATGGTCTTAGACATATAATATATTTGAGTGTATAATACACTGTAAATACTCTTTTTTTTAGTTTAATTTTCACTGGGTACTCTAATAAACACTTTTTACCTGGTCCTCTTATTTTTCTTCCCTTGCTATGCAAGCCCTGTCTCTTGTTTATACAATTTTTAACTCGTATATTGGGTAGATTGAGTATTTATTATGGATTTTATATTGTTGTTAGCCCTGCTGATTAGTGTATTAGTAATGATTACCTATCTGATGGACTACGGTATATACAGTTGATGGTAGTTTTCTCTTATTTTTCTTCTCTTGCTCTGCAAGCCCTGATTCTTGTATAAACATATTGTTTGATATAATATTGTATATTTTTGTATTGATTGTGGTATTTTGTGTGCCAGATTCAGCAATGGGTTCTTGCTGAATCACTGTATATTACACTCTGTGACTAGTCCCTTTGATCCATCTCTTGCCCTGCAAGCCCTGTTTCTTGTCTATACAGCATATAATAATTATCATGTATCACATTGTAGTATGTAATAAACATTTGTAGTAGTGTAGGATTGTTTGAATTTCTTTTTGCTATGTTTTATAATATTTATTTGTATAATTTGTGAGTGTTTCTCCCGCTTTTCTTCCCTTGCGCAGCAAGCCCTGTCTCTTGTAAAAACAACCTTGAAAGTTTTGTAGATACATATAGTTTCTACACCTTTATCCTCTGGTCCCTAGGGTCAGCTGATCCCGGGCCAGAGGAAAACTACCGACTGCCAAGGTCTGACGCCTAGGCAGTCGAGACCTCTTATTGAGACCCTTTATAATAATAATAATTCTATACAGTTACATAATTGAAACAATTATGGCCCCTTATTGTGGGCAGAGTATGTGTCTTTGTTGAAGTGTCCTGGTATAAACTTATCTGAGTGACTGCATTAAAATAATTTAAGGAGAGTTCTCTTAGAACTTTAAGACAATAGGAATAAATACTAGGACCTAATAAAATCAAAACAAAATGCAGCCATCTAATTTGTTGTTAAGCTTTCTCTTCTCCTACGGTTGACTAGTGGAACCATCTTTGGCGAGTATTAGGAACTTAGACCATTACAAATACCGTGCTGTAAGTTTGCAAGGCATGTGGACTAAGTGGGTCGAGAGTACTCAACTTAAAAGTGGGTGTTGAGAATCCTCAACTATACTAAAGATAATAATGTTCAGAAGATGAGGCAGTAGAGTGAGTAGTAGAGGCTGAAGAAAAATAAATGTCACAAGAGATTAGCACTATAATAAACATCTTTATGATATATAAGGAAGCGCCTTCGTTTCAAAATCTTAAGGACAACAGTGATTTCTCTCCGGGGAGACAGAGGTGCGAGAAAGAACTTGGTCAATATAGATAGTCTATTTTTAAACTTGGAGCCACAAGGCCAAGGGTGATTTTCAAATGTTTCTCCCAATATTTGAGATAGGGAAAATATTGAGTTTTTGAAGGGTTTTTTTTATATAGGGTCATTGTGACATTATGTTTTGTGTGTATACTGTTTGAAAAAAAATTCCTTTTTTAGAGCTATAGTAGTCAGGTTTTTTAACGAACGCATTACAGATCGTTCCAATACCTCCAGATGTTGTGAAGACAAGTACAAATGGGACCCTTAACAGTTAACGGGTGATACTATTTGTTCCAAATATTATATTCCACATATTATATACGGTGCGTCTTGGTAGGTTATAAAGCTACAAAGGGGCCCTTGCCCTGTTTTTTCTTTTTTAATAAACAGTAAAGCCCGAAGTCCCCAGGTTAAATAAAATATGATAAAATACGCTATCACCATCATCAGGGTTTGGGAAATTGAGCGGCCATCAACAAAGGAAAAGCGGCCGCATTTTTTGTTAAATATTGCGAGTATGCGTGAATAGAGTATGGCGAGCATAAATAAAGTATCATTATATGTTATAGCAGGTGCACGTTACCATGCAATTAACACGAAAAGGCTTTATCTACTATTTAGCTTGCTATAATATAATAGTCTCTTGGTCGGCCCGGTTCATGTCATGCTTAAAACATTAAAGCTAGGAAGGAGCGCCGCGCATACAGCATAGGCATAGGTTTTGATTTCGATTTGAATGGTAAGTATTTTAAGTTAAGGTGCACAAATTTGCACGTCTGTGGTCTGACAAAAATGGTTATTTTGTAATTATATTTGCTCACAGGGGGTCGTTCACATATAATTACGTTATCAGTTTTAAAACAAATTTAGAGCATATCCAACCATTGCATGAGACATTATGTTACATTGTCATACGTTGTATGACCCGCCGCGCACGAACAACGAAGTGCGCGGCTCCCCCTGTATCGTCAGGACGATAAAGGGGAACGTAGTGAAACGACCGTGGGGGTACGGTCGCAACGGGATACTGACCATTGTTAATGATCTGGCCCGGCGCGCGCTACTTCGTAGCACTTGCCATAGCACTAACATTTCGAGAAGAAAGCGGCGCGCGCTACTTCGAAGAAATTTAGACGAGTAACATCCGTCAAACGGGATACAAATGTTACAGCTAAAAGCAGCGTATTTTGCCCCATTTTCATTACTATATATATCAACTAGAACTCCGATATCTTTGAGGACTTCGCCGCGCCGCGCGAACTAGCATTTTTGCTTCGCATCGTCGATCGTTCCTTTGCTTCGCAAAGCAACGATCTCAATGGATTGACATCGTCAATCAATCCGATATAAATATAATATCGCCATGACCAAATTTTTTGGACAGTTGTGAAAGCCCTATTGGAAGGTCCTCACAAATTTTCAGAATGATCTCATTCAAGGAACCGAAGATATGACAGAATAATATAATACAACAAAAATCAACGAATTTCGTCAAATTACGGGACTTATACATTATACACCTACTTTTGCTCCAAAAGCCGCGCACCATCAAATATCAAATATGGCACCTAGGCGAAACTCACTCATCATTTCAAAAAGGTATACAACAAATTTGGTACTGTGAAAATTCTCACAGTCTCTAGAAAACAATGTTACAAAAATTTTGAAAATCCGAGCAAGTTTATTTTATCGTGCACCCCGCCACCCCCTAGCCGTGCGTCTGTCCGCCGCGCGTTCAATCTAGATCTAGATAGAACGATGATCGCATCATATTATGGTCAGAGTCAGAAAGTGCCGTCTAGCTAGAACAAAGACTCCATCTCGTAATTGATCACGTAACGCGTTACGTGCCTTTTACACTTTCTATTGTAGGCCAAATTGTAACAAGTTACTCAGTTAGCTAGTTACCTTCTTTTTTCTTTTGATTGGTCGGCGTCGACTGTAAGCCTTCCTTGCGGTGGCTTTCACAACGCGTCCCCATTCTCCAACTCCTGCTGCTAGAGAGAGAGACTCCCAAGTTATATACCATAATTATATTATACATAGATATCGACAACAGACTCCTTACCTGGGGACCTCAGGCTATTATGTTCATAAACATATAGAATAGAGATTAGGCGGAATGACAGGCTGAGCGCGGCCCAGTAACAGACTCCGAGAATCTTGAAGTTCTGTTACCACCGCCCCTGGTGCAATCCCTTACGGGTTAACGATGAGGAGACAGGGACTTCCAGGGACGGTCATGGCCTGCTACATGCAACTCGTAGGAGTATGCAATGTTCCTGTAACGTCACTGTAGACCACTCCTCAGCTCTGTCGTTGTTTTGAGTGTCCGATCCAAAAACCAAATCCTAGGGTACTCGAGACGTGGAAGCCTGTGAGCGTGTTAGAGTCTGTTAAGTGTTGGAGTCCTAGGGCTACACGAGACGTCGTAGCCTGTGAGCGTGTTAAATCATAGGGTTACACGAGACATGGTAGCCTGTGAGCGTGTAGACCGCTCCTCTATTGTTGTTTTGAGTGTCCGATCCAAAACCAAATCCTAGGGTACGAGGCGTGGTAGCCTTTGAACGTGTAAAATCCTGGGGTTACACGAGACATGGTAGCCTGTGAGCGTGTAGACCGCTCCTCTATCGTTGTTTTGAGTGTCCGATCCGAAACTAAATCCTAGGGTACACGAGGCGTGGTAGCCTGTGAACGTGTAAAATCCTGGGGTTACACGAGACATGGTAGCCTGTGAGCGTGTAGACCGCTCCTCTATCGTTGTTTTCAGTGTCCGATCCAAAACCAAATCCTGGGGTTACACGTCATGTGGTGGCCTGTGAGCGTGTTAGTTTCCTGCGGAAGGTGTTATTTGCCTGTGGGAAAAGCGGTTATGCTGCGGTTCTAAGGTTAGTAGAGGCTATTATAGCCTTTCCTTGTTGTAGAGATGGCTAGTCCCTTCCTTTGCATAGGTTAGAAACACCCATGCACCTCCCGTTCGAGCCACCCACCAACACCGCGTGGAGGTTCGGTGAGGTTTTTCGTGGGGCAGCTAGTTACCTTATGGCCAGCTATTTATACTTATAGGGAAATAGTAACGAAGAAAATCAAGGAATTGCTCCTAAAACGGATAACCACATTGGAAGTACATAACAAATTTAAATAAAATCTGAGTTGAGAACTTATAATGATAAGTAAATTAAGCGACTCACACAAAACACACTACCAGTGTTAATTATTGTTATTATGGCAATTATTAAGTTGGTACCATAATCATATTTGACGCTAATATAAACTTAAAGTAAAAATGTGATATTGCCGACGGGCTTAAGACTGGAGAAATAAAATAATAAAACACCTCGAAAGAAACATAAATATTTTTTCAGCATATAGCCTCATAGTCACAGCACGTGATTTAGTTTATACAGCTAATCGCAATCTTTGATGTCGTTACTAGACTGGGACTGATCCATACCGCTCATCTAAGTATCTTTAGGGGTCGTCCACAAGTTGGTTATAACGTTTTGGCTAATTTTAAGCCACCTCGCCCACCCCCCCCTCCGTAATCAGCTTTACACAGCTATTGTGTTGAAATTACACGCGTAATCATTTATAACTCCCCCTCATTGGTTACGTAGTATGTGGACGCCCCCTTATTGTTAATTATTTTTTGTTTATTATCAATTATTAATTTCGCAATAATATTTAACGCAATTCCATCATTATGTTTTGGCTGAGATAGCTATTCGGTGCGAATAAGAGGTCACCCCTTTCTACCGAGAACAACACCTAATATCGTCTAAAGCTTCTTTCCCCTAATCAAACATATAACATGTCCGTGAATAGTCCTTGAAGTTGAAACGGACATTAAAAACCCTATCCTAATTGCAATAAATATAAAGAGTTTGTTTTCGTCAGCCCTCTAACACTTCCCAAGTCATCACAACTACAAGCACAACCAAGACTTCTAAAATCAAGCTGAGTTTATTGTTTATAATCACAATAAAACGTCCAAATGTCTCAGCTCTCATCGTCACTTTCATCTTCGCTGGAGATATAGAAAGTCGGTTTACTTGAAGGTTCGAAGTTTTTAGTTTGTGAGGAGGAAAACATGAATTTTGTTTGCACGGGGGTGTTTTCTCCCCAGTCTGTGGGGGTACGAGGAGTGGGTTCGTTGGGGGTGCAGTAGGGTGGGGAGTCGGGCGACTCCTGTTCGGATACCGTGTTGTTACGATCCGAGAATAATTCATCGTCCAACTCTTCTTCGTACCAACTCTCTGTAAACGTAACATGTGAGGAATATAAGCGGGCTAGATTGGCTACAACTTACAACTTACAAGTGCAAACATTTCATAATAGAGATTGAGATCCATCAGGCTCCCCAAAAGGGTGAAGTGTTAACAGCATACTTAAATGAAGACTGTTTTATTAGAAAATACAAAAGTCACCTACCACCCATATCCAGATCAATGTTCTGAAGGGCCCTGTCCAGCGGATCAACATCAGGACTGGACGGAACGACAGGTGAATGAGGGGAGGAAGATAGACTATGGTTAGAGTTTATTCTGCGGAGATGTTCATTTGCTTGGGAGGAGAAAAATCCGAGATTCATTGCACTGCTCTTGTTTCGTTTGAGTTGCTGTGCTGTGAAGAGTCTGTTGCTGCACCCTCCACTCTTCACCCACTCGTGGTCAAGCACTTCTGGGGCGGTTAATCTGAAGTAAGGATTATGTTATGACTTATGAGAGGACGGAGGCCTATTTGTTGCATTTGGGGGTTATCGGTTAATACGTGACGAGCATTCCGTCATAGGAAATCAGAAACAATGGTAAACGAAAGTAATCATCAGGAATTATCACTTAGTAATATACCTTTGTGTGGCGTCTTTCTGCAGAAGTCTGGATATCAGATTCTTCACACCACCACTCACTTGTACGTTCTCATCAAAGTTTAACGTGGAAGTCATTATATTGCGAAAGAGTGAATCCTGGCATTCTTTGCACTCATCGCCAATGTCCCATCCACAGTTGAGTCCACAACGACCCACGAATGGAGGCTTCCCGTACACCATAATGTAGATCAACACACCAAGAGACCACATGTCACAAGACTTATCGTAGAATGTACGGTTTCCTTCAAACAGTGATACAACCTGAAACAGGAGGATGTTAGAGGATATTAGCAGGTCCTTCAGTGCCGTTAATATCTACGAAAAGGTTTTAAATAGGGCGGCCATGTGTAAAGTAAATGGCTTCGATCAAGATCGAATATATATTTGAAGAGTAAAAACAAACCTCTGGAGCCATAAACTCTGCACTCCCAACAGGTGAGTCCATGAGCGGAGTGGAAAGATAAGGGTAGTCGAGCTTCTGTCCACCAAGATCAAAATCACATATCTTTACATCCGTGAAATTGTCTCCACATAGAATGTTTTCGAACTTCAAGTCCCGGTGAGCAATACCTGTCGGAAAATAATTATAAATTATAAAATCATTTTCTTGGTATGTACTTAAGAAATATTTGAGAAGGACATATTATATATATGTTATGACGTATAAAGTCATAGAAGTTACTTGAACAACCGATTTAAAATAGTGTACGTGACATTGCTGTAAAATTCAAATTTGTGGCAGAAGTCGGTCGCGCGCAGCAAAATAAACAGTTGACAAATTTAGCGCGGCATAGCACTATATGCTCCGCGCCCGCTCAACAAGTCTGCCACGCGCCAGAAAATTACGCGACAAAGAAAACTGTTTGCGCAGGCTTCATGGAAACCTGTTAGTGCAAAACATTGCAGCAACTTGACATGCATTACCTAATCAACAACAACATTTAACAACAAGTAAAGTGGTCTACGATACAATATCGCCTTCCTCACTATAATGTTAATAAATAGTGACACGTCAAGAAGCAATGGTGATGTTATGAAATTAGTTCGAAGATGTTGTCACTTCGCTTCATAACAACATAAGTACAGCCTGTCAACAACAGTTTTGTCATCGCCCATATTCGAATTCTTCAAGATAAGATGAGTAGTACCTTGGCCGTGAAGATGTTTGATCCCAGACGTGACACCTTGTACCACCTTGGAAGCATCTCTTTCAGTAAACATTTTGTGTGATTCTATGTGGTTGATCAGGGCTCCTCCACGCATCATTTCAAATACTAAAAAGAACCTGTGAAATATGAAATATCAGAGAATGGTAGATCGGTATTAGTTATGGGAGAGATTAGATAATCGTATGTTAGGAATTGCTCACAACGAATATAGCTTTTTTTAATTAAATTTTCGATGATTTATCCACAAAACTTACTGATTATCTCCCTCGAAATATTGCTCCAGCTGGATTATGTTCGGGTGACCTTTACCTCTGTATAAAATCTCCACCTCCTGCAATACTCGAGCACGGGTGTACCAATTCTCCTTCTGAATCACCTGAAACATAATTACTTTGATTTCTAATTAAATACTTTATGTAATTGAATGCATAATTGCATTGATTACCATGTTATGTATTACTGATTTAACGATAATCTGTTCTTGAGTATATTATTTGTTTTCTAATCGGAATTGGTTGCTATCGTATGACCTAGATTTAGATTTAATCTAATTCCAAGTGGAGTCAGATCATCGTGAGGTATGCTAAAAATGGAATGCTTGTTATGTGATATCTCCGAGTCAGAGTGTCATAAAACAGGTTACTCTAAACTAAACAGTCGTACTACACAATCCTTATCATGGCATAAAGGTACTAGACACCTTTAGAGATTCTGCCACATTTAAATATTTTACTTTAAGATCATGGGATGTTATACTTTTCCGTTAATCCTAATCGAAATCAGAAATTCATAACAATTGTTGATTTTCAACATCATAACAGGCTCAGATATGAGCTTTGGTATCCGAAGAGAAGACATAATAAAAAGTAAATGATATTACAGCTATTAGGTCGTATTTGAGTAGACCGAATTTGACAAAGTCTCAGAGAGAGAGTACCCTTAGCCAGATTGCTTTTAAATGCACGAGAGAAAAGCTTCTGGAGATGAAATATTTGAAAATTAGAAAACTCTGGGTTGGACTGACCTTGACTGCATACTCCTTCCCGGTTTTTCGTTCTCGACATACCTCCACCTGTGAGAAGGCACCCTCGCCCAAAATTCGACCTGTCCTCTCAAACTGATCTGAAATAATATTTTACTGAAATGTTATTTTACTGTTCCCACTGTTATACGGTGTTACCTCTCATATTTTGTCCTTTAGTTAAGCTATTAAGCTAGGCTTGATTAACGATACCAGAAATTTGTAAAGTAAATGGCGAATGATAATGACACACACAACGCCACAAAGATATTACAGCTGCTAATCTAGAGTGTTCTAGTGAACAAAAAGTCACGTACCCTCGAAGCCAAGAACATTAACACTAGCACCGCGCTTCCTTCGCTTAGTCTTCGGTTTAATATTGACGTTTAGAGGCAGGGACTGGGGCGGGGACAGGCTCTGTTGGTTGGACAGGGACAGCGGGTTTTGTGGTGAAGCTCCAATACCACTGTCGTAGCCGTCAACTTTCTGGGGGGAGGCGATAGTTGAAAATATGTTAAAATAGGTTAAAACAGTTAACAAATCCGTTAAAACAATAGGTATACACTATATTACAGTATACATGTTAGGTACTTATCTGTCAGAAAAGTAGGAATGGGTAGGAATACGGTGACTAATGAGCAGTAATATAGTGCAGTAATAGAGTGCAGTAATGGAGTGCAGTAATGGAGTTTTTGTTAGATATGTATATTGTATATGATAATGAAACTATGCTTAATATCATTCCAGAAGATTGTTTGTATTTTATGGCACAGGAAGACGGTTATTCGACACCCAGCCCAGGCCCCAGAGAGACAGTGATATTTCCACAAATATGAGGTATTTACTGAATAAATTTACAAGGCCTGATAAAAGACGGCACATCACCACATTACTTGATCATTGTCACACAAATACTACTGACCAATCCCGCCCTCATACAAATAATGTTCGGTTGTATTATTGAACACTCAGTACAGAGAGACAGTAAATAGTGATATATCGTGCTGGACGCCGTCCTTTCTCCTTGCAGTTATAAGAAATGCTGCCCCTCTCTGTTGCATTGTGGTAGTTAACTGGTAGTAACGGAGTTATAACTTTCACTTTACTCACAAAGTGTAACGCAGTTACTCAAACTTCACTATTAAGTATCAACTATGAAGAACACGCTAGTAATCGGAAACTGTAACTATTAAGATTACGAATGGGGATGTCTGACATGGCAGAGCAGTTTGATGGTTTGAGAAATATCTAGATTTTTCCAGAATCACAATATTGCCACTATGAGACAACTTTTACCCTTATTTGGACTAAACCCACGCGTAATGTTTATTTGATAGCTACCGGAATTTTACGAGACGTCATATATAATAGTAGCACGTTAACTAACCGACTAACTAGCCGACTAGCCGGGTTATTTGGAATCGGTTAGGGCCAAATATAAAGGAAACCTGGCAAATTCTCTCTCAACTGAGAAAAATTTAAACCATTTTAAGCGGAGCCCGTAGTACTTAAGTCCCATTTCAGCACCACTCGGCAACGTGGCTCAGACTGCTCTAGAATTCTAATATAGTTCTAATGGCAAGGTTGTTAGATTTAGTGGCAGGCTGGAACAGAGCCTAGGATGTTTGCTGTAGTGCCTTTATGAGCTGCCTTCAATCTAGAAGTTAACAGCTTCATTTGAGTTTGTCCTTGGTGGATCCGATGAGTTGGCTGTTCGCCTTCGAAAGAGATCTTACCTTAACCTATCTTACTTAATGTAATTCGGTCAATCGCAATACAATAACAGTTTAACAATAATTTAAAGTTCTAGATCTGTTTATAAAGATCCTGACGCTTTTATAATATAACAAGAGTTACCGCTCAACTAACCTTAATGTGCATTAACGAATCATAGGACTAGTGTAGCTCACTACACAGAACACAAACATTATGGAGTTAACAAGAAGACACTGAAGGTAGTTGAATCAAATGAACACAGAGAGCACCTGGTTCTTTCTCTCTCTCTCTCTCTCTCTCTCTCTCTCTCTCTCTCTCTCTCTCTCTCTCTCTCTCTCTCTCTCTCTCTCTCTCTCTCTCTCTCTCTCTCTCTCTCTCTCTCTCTCTCTCTCTCTCTCTCTCTCTCTCTCTCTCTCTCTCTCTCTCTCTCTCTCTCTCTCTCTCTCTCTCTCTCTCTCTCTCTCTCTCTCTCTCTCTCTCTCTCTCTCTCTCTCTCTCTCTCTCTCTCTCTCTCTCTCTCTCTCTCTCTCTCAACGCTCTGACAATGTAACATGTACATGTATATGTATTATGTAACACATGGGACTATAGCATATAACTATAAGTTGTATTAGAACTACTATTATATAGGTTCACACGCGTTCAATCCCGGCAACTTGTACTCGAGACCTTGTTATTATGGAAATAGAGACCTTGTTATCATGGAAATAGAGACCTTGTTATTATGGAAATAGAGACCTTGTTATTATGGAAATAGAGACCTTGTTATTATAGAAATAGAGACCTTGTTATTATGGAAATAGAGACCTTGTTATTATGGAAATAGAGACCTTGTTATTATGGAAATAGAGACCTTGTTATTATGGAAATAGAGACCTTGTTATTATGGAAATAGAGACCTTGTTATTATGGAAATAGAGACCTTGTTATTATGGAAATAGAGACCTTGTTTTTATGAAAATAGAGACCTTTGTTATTATGAAAATAGAGACCTTGTTATTACGAAAATAGAGACCTTGTTATTACGAAAATAGAGACCTTGTTATTATGGAAATAGAGACTTTGTTATTATGGAAATGGAGACCTTGTTATTATGGAAATAGAGACCTTGTTATTATGGAAATAGAGACCTTGTTATTATGGAAATAGAGACCTTGTTTTTATGGAAATAATCCAAGTTTCTTCCTCTTCCGGTATCACACGTAGTGTATAGAACCAATTTGCTTGTTTACTGTTGAGGTGGGATTATTGACCACTGTAACTGTGGACACTAAAGGTTACTGTAACTGTGGACACTAAAGGTTACATTGAACTACGCGATTAGTACGCTGTACTGAAACTTAGCATATAGTTGTACTTATAGTATAGCATTATATGTGACTTCGAACTTTTATTATCACAGTAAGTGCCTTTTGTACTTAATATTAGGGAAAACCCGAAGATAATTACGTAAAAGTTTACAGGGGCGAAACATATTTGGTAATACATAGTTATGTGTATTTTAAAGCATGGTAATGGCCAATGGGGTTTTATTTACATCAGAAGGGCGAAGAAAGACGACGTAGCAACAAAGACAGGTGTCCTTGAGGAAGTTCTTGAGGTGATGGTGCCATCGTGGAGTAAAGCTGGCTTGCATGGGACATGCTAATCACACTAATCACCTTAATTAGCAGATTGTAATTAGTAAATAATTAGTGCACTGTTAGTGGGTGATCGAGGCAGATATATACAATAATCCGTATAGATCATCACCGGAGTTTATCGAAATAAAACGTTCCTATGAGCAGTCGTTGCAAAGCAATGAAAACAGAGCCGGTCAAAGAAGAAAAGAATACTAAAAAGTTATGCAAAAAAAGCTGTGTAATAGCAGTAGTATATAAACTTAAAATACTCAACAATCATAGCATACAGTGCAATAAAATATTTTATTAAGTTTAGCAGAAGGACTATGACTCGAAACAGAAGATCAATATGAAAATAGAGATTCAACTGGAACTCTATAACAACTGTACAAGAACTATAAAATAGGAATGTCGAAATAAACGCATAACACAAGGCAATGAACAACAAGAGCTATGCAAATATGTATACCGTCAACAAAATAATATGTAGTCATAACAACAGACTGTAACTACTAACCTAACCACATAACTTCAGCACAGCGTCACGAGTGCAACTACTTAAATGTGATGTAATTCCTGAGTTCTTTGTATAAAGCTCATGTTCAGCATATACATCAAATATATAGCAAATATATAGCTCAAATAGCTATGATGAGGTCAGCTGTTACGAGTAACCGGTGTACTAGCTCATGGTAAACTGATAATGTACAATGTACATTAGTTCCCTTACAATCCATTGTATTCACGAGGTACACAAAGTAAACAAAACGTAAACAAAAATGTTAAAAATTGAATAAAAATTAAATAAAAATTAAATAAAAATTAAATAAAAATTAAATAAAAAGTTAACAAAAAGTAAAGACAAACTACCACCAGTACAGTATACCAGTAAAGCCTCAACAGACGCCATAGTAACAGAAGGGCAGATCTGCTAATAATACTGTAGCTGGTAGAGAGTAGTAATAGCTAGATGAGGTGGTTAATGATATGCGCCACATGTGTTGGTGGAGCTGTTACACTCCTGTTACACTCCTCACTCGTCATTACTACCACATCATACTGAACATTGTACCGCTGTGGCAACATTCCGATATAGGGAGGGACGTGGGGGACAGAGGAGGGGATAGGGAGAGAGAGGAGGGGGCAGGGGGCAGGGGGCAGGGGGAGGGGGAGAGGAGGGGGCGAGGAGGGGGCAGGGGGAGAGAGGAGGGGGCAGGGGGAGAGAGGAGGGGGCAGGGGGAAAGAGGAGGGGACAGGGAGAGAGAGGAGGGGGCAGGGGGAGGGGGAGAGGAGGGGGCAGGGGGAAAGAGGAGGGGACAGGGAGAGAGAAGAGGGGGCAGGGGGAAAGATGAGGGGGCAGGGAGAGAGAGGAGGGGGCAGGGGCAGGGGGAGAGGAGGGGGCAGGGGGAAAGAGGAGGGGGCAGGGGGAAAGATGAGGGGGCAGGGGAGGGGAGAGGAGGGGGCAGGGGGAGGGGGAGAGGAGGGGGCAGGGGGAAAGAGGAGGGGACAGGGAGAGAGAGGAGGGGGCAGGGGGAAAGAGGAGGGGACAGGGAGAGAGAGGAGGGGGCAGGGGGAGGGGGAGAGGAGGGGGCAGGGAGAGAGAGGAGGGGACAGGGGGAGAGAGAGGAGGGGCAGGGGGCAGGGGGGAGAGGAGGGGGCAGGCAGGGGGAAAGAGGAGGGGCAGGGGGGAGGGGAGAGGAGGGGGCAGGATTGTTATAGGGGTTTACTAGTTTTAGTAGAACAATACTGTTTTCTATTTCTACTAGTACGATGTATAATTGTGGTAAAGTATCTATTTTACGCCACCCTATCTTTAAAGAAAATGAAAAAAGAAAAGGTTGTACAGGCCACCCGTTAAGAGTACTAGTACAATTTTACTGACAAATATCTTCCTTCAAGAGAAAATGTCAGATTAGTCTGTCACCGTGATGGAATTAAATGTCAAAATGTAAATGGTTAAGTCTCATATATAATCCATGTAACATTGACTTGAACATGACTGTCACTTACCATTGAACTGATCGTTAACATTGGTGGATGACACAAAACTGAGTCAATTTAACAACCTCGAGAACTGGAATACTGCAGAACATTCTAGATTAAACACGGTTATAAACGTTACTCAACTACCGCGTGAGATTGCTTTATTTGATAACCAGTATTTAATGAACCACTTTAGTTGGCTTGGCGTCATGAACTCGTTTAGTTCAAAGCACTTAAATTCAGCCGCAGGTTGATCAGTTTAGAGTTACCTAAACTTGTAGAATGATGTAATCTTTCTGCTTTGACAACTGTGCACAGCGGTATTACTACTAGTGTGCAATATACATGTTATTACCCTTTTAGCTACTCAAAACTATGGTTTCCTACACACAGTTTACATTGGCAAAGTTTATTTTGAGTTTTGACTTGCGCAAGGATCAATTCTCATTGAGCCTTGTTTGCGTGAGAAAGCCTCGAATTGGTTGTAAAGATTAAGAAATTCTCAACATAGCACACTCACAAACATTTCAACATTAACACAGATTCCATGTCATGTCACGTGTTTATATCAAACATACGATAGTTAATGTAAAGACCAGATCTATATTAAACTATTAAGCATTGTTGTGAACAATGGACGGTGTGTAATTCTTGATCAATTTATAACAATGCACGCTGAAGTCGTTAAAGACTGTAGTCTAGTGATCTAGATTGGATTACAATTATGTCTACAAGTACACTTTCACTGTACATTTGATGAGATGTGAGTAAATAATGACTAGTTTATTTCAACAGAGATAAGACAAATCTCACTGTACTCCAATTAACAATTAGCACCTCTTGTTGGTAAAAATAATGGTTACAACGTTCAACATTCTCACAGATATGAAGCAAGCATAAGGTATCTATTACGTCAGCTAGATATTGACCTCTTGAGACCCCCTCCGTTAGCCGCCAGTTTGTTATTATGGTGTAGACATTTAATTTAATTAAGTTTTTCCAAACCCTGACTCGTGTAATATTTGAACAATCCCTTAACACATTCCTGTGTAGTATATGTTCTCATGTGTAATGTGTAATGTGTAATGTGTAATGTGTAATGTGTAATGTGTAATGTGTAATGTGTAATGTGTAATGTGTAATGTGTAATGTGTAATGTGTAATGTGTAATCATATATTGTGATCTCATGGTTTTGGAACTTGCACAATAATACATCACCTCACTTTTGAAATAATGGCTTGAACAAAAACAAGAGTTAAAACAATAACAAAACATACCTGATCAAAGTTGTCCAGTTTTGAGTTGGTTCTCAGCTCGTTCAGATCATGTGAAGATAAGTTCTCGTCTCTAAAACAGGGCTCCCTCTCCTTCTGGACCACGTTTCCTTGATCTGTGAGGAGTTCAATTAGCTAATTAGTTGCTAAATAATTAGCTAATTAGTTGCTAAATAATTTGCTAATTTAAATAATTTGCTAAATAATTAGCTAATTAGTAGCTAAATAATTTGCTAATTTCTCGACAATTATTAGATTTTCAAGTCTGATTGATTTATCATTAAATGAGCAGTTTAAGTTATGTGTGGGGATTATGAGTGAAAAGGGGAGGATTGAATTTTAAAAGTGGCTATGTCATATCTCAACCTGCTCAGTATGACTAATTGGGAATTTAAACTCTTGATATCTCCGACGATATGTTTTCATAGCTTTTAGCCATCAAGACAGAACAGAAGTTCAAAAGAGCAGGTGACTTACGGTACACTTCGTTCAAATATGATAATCTAAAATTCTCGATGCAGGAAATTAGGTCTGAATAGCAATAGTCACGTACATTTTGAGTCGTCTGGCCTATTACATTATGTTCTAACTGGTGCAAAGCCACCTGCTGAACTTATCCACTATAATGAAATGACTAACAGAGACTAGGGAGCAACTTATTCATGTAATCCTTACCATTATCAGGCAATTTGCACGATTCTACCACATTTGCAAAACACATGATGTTTTGTGTGTCAAGCCAACAAAATATGCTACCGTACAAAAAAGTTACAAACAGGAAATGAGTACTTTAAAAAATTACGCGCTGCATAAATATATTCACATTTCCGTTATCGAATCTACGAGAGGGACTCACTGACTCAGGTGTTTCTCTCTCTCTCCAGCTCTATGAGTTCTAGAACATTACGTTATATTGGCATCGTGTGATCACGTCACACAGTGGTCTCGTTGCAGTATACATTAACACAATACTCTAGAAGCTTCCTGTGTGTTCACTCTACACTAGACTATCACGTGACTCACTTTAACACGTTCTCTAGATGGCCCTGAGGGATTATTCAAAACCCCAACCCTAACCCGATCCCTAACTGAAGAATATGCTGAAACCCTAAACCTAACGAGAAATTAGACTCAATTTCAACTGTCGGTGGAGGCCCTTTAAGAAAAATCGCGAAGTTCGTTTGTGGAGTTATTTAGCACGTTCGCTTCATGAAAGGATCAAGTCTCTAAATTGTTTGGCAGGTGGTGCGTGATTTAACACATTTAAAAGAAGGAAAATATATAACAGTGAATTTTATCTCACCGCGCTGCAGGTGGCGCATGCATATTCAAATATTGAGGAATATTTAACAAACCATGAATCTTATCTTAACAAATAACACAGAAGCAGCGTGTACGTGGAAAATCAGTTTCATTAGAACCACCCGTTAAACATCCCCATCCAGGAAGTTTTAATTATCCTCAGTCCTGTTTCCCCCCTAACAATTTTCTTATTCCCTAAAAAATGTCATGTCTTCTAAAAAGTTCCTCTTAAACACCAAATCCCTCCAAAATTTCCTAGCAGATTATCTGCCGTCTTTCTGGATGTGAAACAATTCTACCACCGATCAGAAGTCAGGTACGAGATGTGCGGTGTCCTTGTGCTTCTCATGACAAAGTGTTTTACATTTCAGCTCTACCACATTTCAGCTCTACCACTGTAATAACAGGAAGTGTAACTTTAACCCTAACAAAAACCCAGAAGTCAGGAAGCTCAAACTGGTGCACGAGTTATTTAAATCTAATCTCACATGTGATATCATGTATCAAATCAAGAAACCTTGATTGCGGGCTAAAAATTACATACATATCTAAGCCTTATATCTCCAATAAGAGAATAAGTAATATAATAGTTCTTACAGTTATGTGTAAAAGTTGAAAGTTGCAACCACGTTATTTCTAATTGTTACAATGACTGAGCCCTATGTTAGCAGGTCAGCTCATCATGATGTTTTTTAGTCAGTAAATATTAGAAATAAAGGTAATTGGTCCATCAACTTGAAAGTATTATTATTAAGCTATTCGTTAAATCATCAAAGAACTAGGGAGATTCGTTTCTGACCTTCATGAAACTTAATTGTATGAATTTCGACGAAGATAGTCAAATTTCAGTGGTCATATCATCGCCTAACTAGATGATAGGGTCCGAGTAAACCTGTTATTATGTACTACTGGGAATGTAATAAAGTGAGCGCCCCAGACACCGGATATACACCAGGTAAACAGGGCATGTGGAAGGTTCTAGAAGATTCCAGAAGTCTACTAAACACTACTTCCTGGATCTACTTATCTATCTATATTCTATATAGAGATTACATCATTGTATTGAACAGTGAACACTACTGTATCACTAGTAAAATTATATGCACCTGCGACAATTAACTTTCACGTGTTACGATTCCAACATGAGAATTGTTCACAATGGAAGAATGAACAGCAACTACGAGTTAAAATAGCCTTGTAGCTGAGATGATGACATAGCTGGCCAGTAACGTTCAAGGGGACTTGAGAAACTTTATATTTATAGTCTAAATTTAGTTACATCGTGATTGAATATGAAACAACTTTTAGGTAAACATTCTGAATTCTGTTGTGGACCACTGCTAGCTTTAGAAATGTTAAAGTGTAGATATGTCTTGTTTTACTGAAGAGCGAACACATGTGGGACTATTTTGAGTAAGATTACACGTAAAATTTCAAGATAATTCAATTAACTGTTAATTGTAGATAGTGAAGATCAAGATTGTGGCAGCCAATCAAGAAATTAATAGGTATAATTAATTGACAGAACTATGATGTGATAATTAGATCACGTACACTAATCATATTTTAAGGCGTAAAATCCCGATAAAATGGGACATCATATATATCCAGCCCTTAGGAGCTCGAAAAAAAGAAGGATTTTATAACCTTACTACTTACATAATTCTTAAACAATAAACAATAATGATAAGAATAAGTTGGCAGGAGAGAGAATTGTCAGGAAAAAGACACGTTAGAGGTTACACTAGTTTCTGATGTTTTCAGATTCGAGCGAGGGTAACACTCTAGCGGATAACATTGTCACGATTATATCAGAAATGTATCAATGTTAACAACTGATCACGCTGCATGAAAACAGTGTTAAAATGTTTCTGAGAAATACTATAGCGAAGAGCAGATAAATACAACTCACAGCCAGATTTAGACACTTCCACTTTTATTGGGCCAAAAAATAATGAACGATGGAAGGCAACATTACATGTATACAGAATCAAGTGATACTTATATCGCATAAATGCTCTTTGATAAAGTACTATCAAAGAAAGTACTATCTCGATTTTGAGCGCAGATATCGATAGTGCAGGAATGCAACGATGATCAGGTTTTAAAACAAAAACAAAATATTTAACAAAAATACCATCCAGATACTCAATAGTTAACAGTCTGAAAATCAAGTTCGTCTTACAAAACTAAATGTTCCAATAGCTAGCTGATAGTATTACCAACAGAACACATTCAATTCGAACAGGAAAGCTGCTCGGTATATTTAGGGCAACATGTGCTGCATTTCAATCAACAAGCTGGCGTTGACAGAATAGAACACGTTAAATTTAAAAGTTAAAAACATCAAGCCTTACTTTTAAAGCCGAAGTGAAAATTGTGGAGTAAATCGTGGATAAGGTGTATCAGAAAACATACAAATTTAACTATTTTATCGCTTACCTATCATATCATTCATCTTTTTCAGGATAATATTATTTGATGTGAAATTACCATTCCTTCCATGGTGCCATAGAAAATTCCGGAACCAACCTTTTCAACGGAATTTTAGAACATTGCAGAAAACAAATAGGAAACCCAAACTATTGAATATGACTAATATCAAGAAAACATATATTTGAGAACCACTCATTGACGAAGAAAATTTTCCAATGCCGAAAACAAAGAAAATTATTATGATGTTCTTTATATTATCAGAATATGCGCGGCTCCTATTTGCGCGAAAAGACAAAAGAGAATTATTTAATTAGAGAAGTATTAAAGTGTATCAATACTTCACATAACATAGCCATGTTATAAATCAAGAGGCTTGCATATAATGAACATATTGACACGGGTGCAGAGTTGAGTCTGTACGGAACCTAGTAGTTTCAGATCCTTGTTTAACTTGCCGTACAGCAAGGTCATCCACTACTTTAGCCCGGCGAGGCACATAACTCCCTCTACAACTCCATGACAAATGTTTCATATATACTATGTCTACAGCTATATACTGTGCATATATACTGTGTCTACAGCTACGCGTACTGCGTGATATACTACGCGTACTGCGTGATAAGTACAATGTACATACACTAATTCTACTTGTTTCACAAGTAGAATAGAACATTGCTACTGCAAGCGAGATGGCTCTGGTTAGAGCAATATCAATACAACAACAAACAATCAAAGTTGAACTCATTGACGATCTCAATCTTCAATATTGTAAAAAAATATTGTACCTATCAAGAAGATGTAACTAGACCGAGCTAATACAATAATAGTCATTACCAGTGCGGGGGGTCTACTTACTAGTAAAGGCTATTTATATTACGGAGATTTTTTATCGATACTCTTTACCTGCTGGTTGCTCTAACCAGAGCCCTCTCGCCTGCAGTAGCGCGCGACCGCCGAAGGCGGCAAAGGATATTTTACTTATACGTGAAACAAGCGCGTCACGCAGTACGCGTATATTCATGGCTATGTGAAACCTGCGGGGACCCCAGGCTATTTATTTAATTATGTTCATAAACTTGACCATTGTTAATGGTCTGGCCTTGTAGCGCGATGCACTACTGGGCCGCGCCGCGCATCAAATAATTCTTCTCGCAACCACATTCGGTAAATCGGCAAGATGCACCACTGGGCCTCGCCGAGCTGCGAAGGATTGACATCGTGAATTTACTCTATCCAGAGCCCTTGCGCTTGCAGTAGCGCGCGCCCGCCTCACGGCGGTAAAAAGGGCTCTAGCCATGAACCCACCCAACGATTTTGGCACCACTCTACAGTGGTGCCAAAATTACCCGCGCTTTTGTCCTCATATACGACGTGTGTAGCCTTTCAGACATTGATTGCGTAAACGAGGTGTCGTACGTCACCTCAAGATCGGGTGACAGGGGGCTGACCATGCCCAAACCTAATTGATCATTGATTGGGTCTGAGGTCACGTGATTATGAGCCTATGAGGTCACGTGACTATGACGTCACCAGACCTTGTCCTCCGTTTCCCGCTCATTAGACCAGGTGAGCTTGCATCATGCTTGTGAATGTAGGTGTAAGTACAGCTGTACTGTAGTTTATACCTAATTATATTATTATAATATATATATATATTAACCCCTATACACTGTCACTATACACTATAGAAACCTGAAAAGTGGTTACTGCATACTGGAGGGAGAAGTGCCAAGACTACCTGCGCTACATAGACGCTGTTGTCAGCACTGCGCACGCGCGCACGAACCTTCCCATCGGGGTTCGTGGATAGGTGCTTTTCTTGACTTGTGAAACAAGCGCGCCCGAAGTGGTGCGAAAGCACATGGTTAGGTGAAATCGTGAATCAAGGTCTGGCCCGGCGCGCGCTACTTCGTAGCACTTGCCATCGGGCTTGTAGCGAGATGCGCTACTGTGCCGCGCCGATCTGCCATGAATTGACATCGTCAATTAACCATCGGGCCAGTGCCCGAGAAGAAATCGGCGCGCGCTACTTCGAAGAAATTTAGACGAGTACAGAGTAACATCCGTCAATTCATAAACATACGCCGAATAAAGATTCGGCGGATTGACAGGCTGAGCGCCGCCCAGTAAGATACTTTAATCATTAATCTGACTTATCTTTAAAAAGGTATTTTTGACTACTGAATCAAATTGTGATTGTATAAATTATTTTAAAACGGGATTAATGATTAAACCAATTTTTGCGGTTTTTAAAAACTTTTGGTAAGTTTATTTAATAAAGGGAAAGCTTAAATATTTTGGATTTTAATACAATTTTAACGGGTGATACGCGTCCTGGTAGGTTGTAAACCTACAAATACAATTTAATATGTTTAGTTATGTATGATGATTAATTACTCTACACTCGTCTGATCGAGACAGTTTTTCGCCAATATCTCGCTAGGGGAGCATTTTAACCCTATGTCATGGGGGGGGGGGGGGGGGGGGGGTGATTCGGAATTAGCGTCCGAAAATACATCTATTGAAGTTGGTCTCAACTTTGCTCTATCCAGAGCCCTTGCGCTTGCAGTAACCGGCGCCCGCCTCACGGCGGTAAAAAGACTTCTTGACTTGTGTTACCTGGGGACCCCAGGTAGTGCACCATCGACAGTGAGCCGCGCGTGCCGACTGTAGGATGGTTTTTTAGCGCTAATTTCGGCCAGCACAATTTTCTTCAAACAAATAGATATTAAATATCCTTCCCGACTTCCGATTGCAACAAAAATTGGTAAGCTTACTCATAGACTTACAAGGAAAGTGTCCGAAAAGTTTAAAGCATATCCAACCATCAGACATTATGTTACAGCTAAAAGCAGCGCGTATTTTGCTCCATTTTGATCACTATGTCAACTCCGATATCCACCAAATTTTTCGGACAGTTGTAAAAGCCCTATTGGAAGGTCTTCGCCAATTTTCAGAATGATCTCATTCAAGGAACTGAAGATATATCCAAATAATACGACAAAAATCAACGAATTTGGTCAAATTTGGTCAAATTACGCGAGTTTTACGGCTAATTTTGCTCCAAAAGCCGCGCACCATCAAATATGGCACCTAGGCGAAACTCACTGATCTTTCCAAAAAAGGTATGACAAATTTAGTATTGTGAAAGTTCTCACAGCCTCTAGAAAACAATGGTACAAAAAATTTTAAAATCCGAGCAAGTTTATTTTTATGGTGCACTTCCTACTATTATGTTCATAAAGATTTGGCGGAATGACAGGCTGAGCGCGGCCCAGTAAGACTTGTGAAACAAGCGCGCCCGAAATGGCGCGAAAGCACATGGTTAGGTGAAGTCTCAACTGTCAGGGCCGCCCTTTTAGAACAATCTCGAAGATCAACTGTAGAGTGATTTAGCACGTTAAAATGCTCCCCTAGCTCGAGATATTGGCGAAAAACTGTCTCGATCACGTGATATGACCATATAAGGAAGTTAGTCTAATTTCTCGTTGGGGATAGGGTTTCAAAATATGCTTTTGTTAGAGATTGGGTTAGGTTCAGATTAGAGGGCTATAGCTTGTAGCTATGTTTTCGAATAGTCACTCATATCAGGGCCACGCAAGAGAACGTATTTTAAAAGTCACGTGACAGTCGAGTGTAGAGTGATTAATCATTATCCAGTATCACCCGGTAAACCTCGGTCCTTCATTTCAGTGTAAACTTTTACAAGATGTGAAGGACGGAGGTCAATAATAACCCCGAAGAAGTGAACGAGGAAGCCGAAGATCAAGAAAGTGATGATCATGCCATAATTTGACCATTGTTAATGATCTGGCCCGGCGCGCGCTACTTCGTAGCACTTGCTGTCGGGCCAGTGCATTTCGAGAAGAAAGCGGCGCGCGCTATACTTCGAAGAAATTTAGACGAGTAACATCCGTCAAGCCATAATGTGATATTTTGACGGATGTTACTCGTCTAAGTATCACATTATGGCATGATCAAGCGCCGCTTTCTTCTCGATGGCAAGTGCTACGAAGTAGCGCGCGCCGGGCCAGATCATTAACAATGGTCAATGTGATACGTAGAATATTTAATTGTATAACTTTAATTTAACTCGTTTTTTATTGATCCAAAGATATAGTTTTGTCCGAATCCGATGATAGAAATTACAATTGACTGAAATTAAAATGTTTTCATATCATAAATATGAGTTCGCAGTGGAATAATTTTGGAACAAATCTCAACGGACTTTAACTTGGACGGACCTTAAACGGACGGACTTTATTTGAACGGACATTAAAATTCACACTAGGACATCCAGCGTTCAATTAATGTCCGTTCATAAATAAGGTCCGATAAGGTACTTCAGCTAGTGAGTTATGTCTAATTGTAGAGTAAGACTGGATCTGGACGAGTCATTTTAGGGCCTACGAAATATTTTCCACCGGTATTTTGTCGAGCTATACATCCTGCAACCTTTGAACGTCCTCAATTTGCTTGAATCTTAAAATGGCGAGCTCTAGAGGCCAGTCTTACATTACTGGGCGGCGCTGAGCATGTCATTCCGCCTAATCTCTACACTTACACTTACAGTTTACTCATAATTCATAATCATGATATTGATTATATTATGGACATAAATATAATATTATTAGCCTGAGGTCCCCAGGTAAGTCTAACACTGTTACAGGTTCTAATCGGATATATATCACTATCAGAACTACTTTAAGTTAAGCTAGTGAGTTATAATGTCTAATAATAATGTACAATGTGATACATAGTATTAGTAAGAATATTGCGAAAGAAAATAATAAAAGATGTCTTCAATGACATACATTTGTTCATCGTGTTAGTAAGCATAAACATTAGTTAATAAGCTCTAAAGCTCAGTTTGAATTGACTCTATATTTTTAAAGCTTTTAGATTTAAATTAAGTTTGATAAAATTGGCTCTGATCACTTATACTATTCATTGCTTAAAGTTAAAACTAATTTCAAATTTCTCGAAAAAAGGAACAATCTGTTCGAGACATTACTGACGAAGTAACTGATTTTCAATCATTCCACGTTCTCATTGCACTGGCACGATTTTGGTGTTACTCATCTGAGTCATCACTATAAGTAAAATAATATTATTGGGAGTTAAATTAAACAACTGCGTGAAAACAATTAAATAAATTTACCGATAATACAATATAAGTAACTAAGGCTTGCTAGTATGTAGTAATCATCAATTAACTTTACTGGTAAGAATTTCAAATGAATACAGCAACGCAATAAAAATCTTAAAAACTTATCTCTGAATAGTGTCAGAATTTAGGTTGCACAAGATTGTACCACCTCTGTGATAAGATAATGCAACCTTTCGGCGACAGCCATATCGTCATCTTCATTTGACTCAACGACCCGCATTGGAAAAGATAAGATTGATTCCATCTCACTGCCCCTAAAAAATTCACTACTAAAACTGTCAGTTCTCTTTAAATTTATAAGGATATCTGGAGAAGCTGGAGGAGCTGATCTGTTTTCAGGATTATCCGTTCCGTTTGTTGTCGATTTAGAGAGTGGCTCTACCGTGATACAGGGCTCATTCAAACGGCTGTTCATTTTGTTGATGCTTTCCATGGTTATTAATGGTTTACCGTCGGTGTTTTCCTGAGGAATTTTAAAATGTGAAAGGACCTAGCACATCGGTGTAACAAAGAGTTCCCCCGCTATGCAAATAACGTTAATAAATACTCAGTGGAAACATAATATCGATGTGACCAATTGTTCAGCATGACAGCATTGCACAATTTCTTAGCCAAGTTAGTAGCGACATAACTGCGTAATGATGCTTTAAACAATAAAATATTACAAATTTCCTAACCTTGAAATGAACTGCCATCTCTGGAAAGGTCAAGGAAGTTATCAGTTCACATAGGAATTTTCTGTTTTTAGATGTTATCTCGTGAACAACATCTTCCACGTTTACTGATTCCTGTGTTAAATGTTGCTCAATTGTGACTAAAAAATTAAAAACTATTGAAAATAGGAACAGCACCGATGATTTCCACTGGAATGAGAATTGTTGCAATTTAAAATTAGGGCTTCGAATTTCGATCAGCCTGAGAATATTTTACCTCTCCAGATAAGGAATTCTTTGAGGTAAGATTATTGACTGTAGCCACAAGCGCTGTTGTCATCAACAGAGAGTCAGAGACGATCACAGATTTATTCAACAACTCCACTCGTCTGAATGCTCCTCCTTAAAAATAATTTAAATTATGTGTTAAATTGAGCTACTCATCTTTATCAGAACAATCAGATTATAGTGATTGATGGACAACATTGTAGTCCCCCTCCCCCATATTACTTAGTGTTATCATTTGGGTTATTTTCGCCACGACTCCTCTTAACTCTGAGATTTGCTCGGCATCTCTACAGTGTCGTCACCACAGACCAGCGAACAAATTATTTAGTACGACAGGATTTAGAATTTTTGCTCTCTCGCCACGGAGTGAAAATGGTGGACTATACGGTATTATATACGGTATATACCTTTCGTTTCACTGCTATTTCTGTATCATCCCCATCCCCAAAATCATCTCACGGATTTAGAAAACCTACTCAATCATCCAGTCAAACTTCAGAAGGGACTGGGATAAAATACTGATTGGCAATAAAGTTCTTTCTGCCATCTTCACCGCCTCACCTTTTTTTGTTAACTCGTCCTTTTTCAATTTTCTCGTTTCCTTCTATCAGTAAACCATTTAATATTCAGGGGTCATAATATGTTCTTATCTGTAATTACCAAAATGAAAAATTAATGAAATTTAGAGTCCCTTAGCGTGTAGCACTAAGCAACAGTATTATATGTTGTGTTAACTCCCCATACAATATTCAATATATTTGATTCCTTCCATCTGTAAACTAGTAGTATTCAGAGGTATTATTTTCTTATCTGTAATTACGCAAATGAAAATTTAATGAAGTTAACAGTTCCTTAGCACTAAGCCACGTTAATATTTTTCCTTTAACCCACTGCATTTCAAACTCGCCACATCCACCATTCGTTCACTGGCCCACAATCATGTTTTTGCTGTTGAGCCTCGTTACTTTGTCAATCGCGCCTTCCCGCGGAGCCGCAGGAAGTTTAGACAGGCTGAAACTACTGAAATTCGCTGATAATGGTCATAGCTATATCCAGTTTTCTCCGGATTGGAGAGCCTTGACCGACGTGGTCTCAGCTTGCGGGTGGATAAAAGACTTAGGATCTTCATCTAACGGCCGTACAATGTGGAGCCGTAACGGGATTTACGAGATGACTGTAACGGCAGATGCAACAAGGATATGCATTGCTGACGGCTGTATGAGGTTTCAAAGTAAGTTCTCTGTGCCGAAAGGCACATGGTACCACATGTGTAGTACATGGAGCAGGAGATCAAGAACTCATCGTCATTATATTAATGGTAAGGAACTTGGGTCACGACAAACAGCTGACAGGTCACTGAGTACTAGTCTCCCTCTCATTCTAGGAAGATGGACAACTAGTATTGACTATCCCTTCGGTGGGGAAATGTCGTATCTGAATTTCTACTCAAAAGAGCTGTCCCCCAGCGAGATAGTAAGTATGGTGGAACAGGGAATGTGCGTTAACATTGTAGAAGAAGACGAACACGAGTCTTTCCGCGTCATCAAGTGGGAGGATATGGTTAAACTAGAAAGGAGCGGGACGGTCACATATGTAGATATAGCTGAGTGTGAGGACTTCTTAGGAGCTATGACAAAACTAGAAGAATCAGAGCACAAGCTGAAAGAAACGGCTGATGAGCTGACGGAAATCCAACAAGAATTAAACTCAACAGTTGCAAAGTTAGAAGAGACCCAGGCAGACAATGAAGAGAAGGATCAAAATCTTGAAGACATCTCCAACAGACTAAATTCTACTCTCGTTGAGTTAGAGAAGTCGCAGGCAGATAATAAAGAGAAAGAACAAAATCTTGAAAACATCTCCAACAGACTAAATTCTACTCTCGTTGAGTTAGAGAAGTCGCAGGCAGACAATGAAGAGAAGGATCAAAATCTTGAAAACATCTCCAGTAGATTGAACTCTACCCTTGCTGAGTTAGAAGAAGCTTCATCAAGCCTTAACAAGACCTGGGACTGGAATATCTTCCTCTCTGAACAGTTTCTGAACAAAACCTTTACAGATGAACACTCCCAACTGCTTCACACTACTTGGGATGATATAGCAGGTATATATATATTACATCTGGGTGGAGATGGGTGGGGTGGAGAAGGGAGGGGGTGGAGAGGGGAGGGGGTAGGTGTACTATAAATAGTTAGACTAAGTATTTTGAGACTTTTCACTTACATCCCTTCCACCTGCAACTAGTCGCATATTTGATAATAGTTGTATTCTAAACCAAGTCTCGTTAAATAACACAAACAACAATTTCAGAGAGACTCGTCGGCATCAGGATCACAGAAGAGTTCCTGGAATTGTTGGAGCACGTTGACCCAGTTGATGACAGACCATGGTCTATGCTCTATTCTGAGAACTACTTCAACGAAATATTTACACGACAAATGGCGGATAGACTGACAAGCATATGGGATGGAATAGGCAGTAATAAGAAATACACATATCTTACAATTAATTATCTCATAATTAATTATCTCATAATTAATTATCTCATAATTAATTAACACCAGATTAAGCTAATGATTCTAGACGTATTTTCTTATTTTCCCTCTAAATAAGTTCAAATGTTTCCTCTTCCGACAACTTCACAACTTATCTCCCATGATTGAGTACTGAAAGTTTCGCTATTTCAGAAAAGTTGGTTGGAGTGACAATGACGAAGGAGGTGGTTGATCTGCTCAACCATGTAACTGACAAAAGTAACTGTGGAAACTAACAAGCTCCTGATATTCACAGCACTGCTCCTCTGATGCAACAAACATTCAGTGACCTAGTTACTTTGTCGTGTGGGGTAGCACGAAACTTATGCGCATGATTATGTATTATCGATCTGTGAACATTTTGGCTGTACTGATCATTTTATGCAGCATTTTAATACTGATTCAGAATGATTCATATTTTAAGTTTTCATTAAATAAAGTTTTCTTAAAAATAATGGCATGGATGAATATGACTATAGAGATCTTCCAAACAAAATACAATTTTGAACTAACTTACAATTTTGAACTAACTTACAATAACATTTTATTATTTGTTTCAAACCATCATGATCAAACTTTATAGTAGAATACGTCAATTGAAAAATCTTAAATGCGGAGAAAATATAAGATAAGAATAACAAAACAAACTTCATGCAATCATTGATAAATTTAAAGATTGTTAACATACCAACATCACATCCCAGGCTGTATGCTCGACGGTAGTTGGGTAGTTGTTTAACAAGGTCCACCAGTGCTACATCTGTCTCCACTGATGCTATCAGCTCCTCTAAGTGCTTGTGTATCTTGGTACTGTCGACTGTGTAGATGATTCATCAATACACGTTTTAAACAAAAATAAACATACGTGACTACCCACACGCAACCTCTTAATAACTCACGTTATTCGACTCCAAATTGCACCAAAATTTCAGAGATTATAGATATGGGTCAAACTTAGATTTCCTGAGAGTTTCGTAAGCCACGCCCAATTACAGTGGGCGTGGCGTGACACTCCCTCTTTTTCACTATTGTCTTCATAAAATGAGAACGCTTTAAGCTAAGAACTCAAAATTTTTTGCACACATTTGGCTTGATAATTGAAAACTTTTCCAAAAGTTTCAAGTTCATTGGTTAAAATATGGCTGAGTTATGACCATTTCAAAACTCATCGGATACGTGATCCGAGCACTCAGTCAGTGATCTCGTCACTTGGTTAATGGCCTGTTTGGCTCACATGCACCGCTTGATTGGTTGCAGCCTGCTTATGGGCCGGCCTATACAGCTGACAGCACCTAAAACGCTATCACACTTCTTCCTGTGGGGGTGGGTGAAGGACCAACTCTATAAGAGATATCCTATTGCAAACATCACGCAGCTAAAGCACCACCTGATCGACATCATCCATAATATGGACCCAGCGTTTGCTACGAACGCTTGTCGGAGTGTGAAGAAGCGGTGCCTCAAGGTGATTGCAGCTGGGAGACGACAATTTGAACATCTTAATTGAAATTATTGAATTGTTTTTGTGTGCGAATTTTTATTAGTTGATTTCATTTATTGATTTATCCTAAAAATTTGTGTTTTCCTTTCTAGCAAAGTCATCATCGGTATCCAATCAAAGCCTAATGAACCTCATTAATACACGCTAACGCCTTACTCTTGATCAGATTGGGTGACGAGATCACTAATTGAGTGCAAATATCACTGACTGAGTGCTCGGATCACATATCCGATGGATTTTAAAATGGTCATAACTCAGCCATATTTTAACCAATGAACTTGAAACTTTTGGAAAAGTTTTCAATTATCAAGCCAAATGTGTGCAAAAAATTTTGAGTTCTTAGCTTAAAGCGTTCTCATTTTATGAAGACAATAGTGAAAAAGAGGGAGTGTCACGCCACGCCCACTGTAATTGGGCGTGGCTTACGAAACTCTCAGGAAATCTAAGTTTGACCCATATCTATAATCTCTGAAATTTTGGTGCAATTTAGAGACGAATTACGTGAGTTATTAAGAGGTTGCGTGTGGGTAGTCACTTATGGGCCACCCCATAATAAATATAACTTGGTTGAAAAACTCAAGGATCGTTCACATAATATTACATAATATTACATATTGTATAAAGTATAAATCAGAAGAGAGGGGGATATGAGAAAACATGCGCTAGTTTCAAAACAGTAGCTCTGTGGCTGACGGAGAGTGGGACTCATGGGAGGGGTCTAAAATAACCAAACAATGGGTCACGTGATATGTGAACGTAGCTAACCATGTATTACGAACCATTTGGACTAGAAGCGTGCATCTTATCAGTTATATCTCCAAACTTTGTCACGGGAGCAGGAAGTCCCCTGGTAGCAGGCAGTATAACGGAGCAGCTTTTATCAGAATTCGTTGTTACTGCTGGAATATTATCTGAAGGAAGTCTGATCCAGGGTTACAGGATGAATAATAGAGGATATTACCATGGTTACTTAAACTCGTATGTTTACTGACAAAACGTCGCAACGATGATAACTGATTTAATGTTTTGTAACTCGAGTTTAGTCGAACATGTGATAGGATGTCAGGATGAACACATAATTTTCGGTAATGAATAATGAATTATACCTAACTGCTGAGTGGAGAGCATTTCCACATTTAGACAAAGTAAGAATTCAGACTTGTCAGCCTCGTCAGGTATTATTGAATCTAACCTTAAAAAGCACTTGCTATCCCTCCAAAATCGAAATGACCCTAATACATGGTAACTACTTTATATTATATCTCAAATTCTAAATCCGGTACGGCTCTGCACACATGATATCTCTCTCTACCATGAAACATGGCTAACCTTTTAAACTATGATTTAAAACCTAAAACTAATCTAAAACTCAACTGGGCTCTCCTATGTCACCAAACTAAACCAATAAGTAATTTTAGATTATTATATTTTTCTATATTTGTATAACAAGTATATTGACGTAGTGGATGGTTGAGGGGGTTTCAAGCACAGGTCACTCTCAAATCCTAAAGATAAGCAGTGGCCTTCGGCACTTGAAACCTCTTCAAACCTCCCCTGATTTATTTATTATTGATATTGTTTGATTGTGCCGTAAAAATAAATATTTGTTTTATTAAAATATTTGTTTTATTAAGACTTTTTAATGGCTCATCTGTGTGTCTCTCTCAAAAAGGTTACAATTATTCCACAGGAAACCAAACTTATGAAAATAAACTCAGTAATTATTTACCAGGCTTTGGTTTGGGAACTCCGGTATTCTTGACGAGATTGTCCGTCATAGCACTCGCCAAATCAGCTACCTGAAGTTGGAAAAAATAAAGAAAACTCGACCTCACAGTCACTACACCGAACGCAGAACAGAAGCCCCCTAAGTTATACAACCTTCTTTCAACAAAAATCTCGCGACTGTCATTATCGGCTTTAAAATTTAGAACAATTTAAAAATCAATTATTCCAAGAACCCAGAAGTCTACCTGGGTATAAGACAGGTTATTTCCAGTCTGCAAAAGATCGAGAGTACTCTTAGAGAGATGACCAACAAGTTGACTGACAGTCTCGCTGAAATTGGTTGTGATTGACGAGGTTCCACTTGTAGACGCAGTGGACGAGGGGGTCGGTGTTTTCTGTTTTGGACTTCTTTTTGAGGCACCTGAAAACATGGTGATGAGTTATTTTGCAAAGGTTTGTTTCACTGACTTACGTTTAACTTGGTACTTCACAGAGCAATAACATTATAACAAGCGTGGAGCAATTAATTTAGAATATAGCAACAAAATCAAACACGTATTTACCAGAAATAACTTTGCGCCGTTTCCTGGAGTTGCTGACTGTGTCTCCAGAGGAGTTGCTCCCAGAGGAGGGTCTACTGGAGCGTGAGGAGCTGTCAGGAGGAGATAACTGCACTGAGTTGGGGAGCAGAGGACTGCCTTGAATCATGATTATCTTAGCAACCGTCATTGGTGGCGTGTCCCTAAAATGGTCAGGGGTGGTTGTAGGAAGCAAACAGGTTTAGGCATACACGAAGTGCCATCAAAAACTGTCTTGATCGCATGATTTTCGCACATTAACTGTGATATGGCCATCTAGCCTTGATTTTAAAATTGACATCATAATAAATCGTAACAGGTAAACAATTACCTGTGCAGACTGAAGGCTTGCATGATAACGTCAGAAATGACTGCACACAAAATAGTTAGCTCCTTATCTTTACAGCTCCCATCCAACAGCTGGTGAATAGTCACCTGAATATCGAGGGAGTCTATTTTCAAAAACTTACCAGGAATTTCTGGAATGGCAAAAATTTGGCGACTCAGTTTCTGAGAAAAATCAAAATTACAATTGGCACTGAAAATGAGAGACTAAGATTACCTTTGCTATCTGGGAAGCAAAGTTCAAGTCAAAGCTGGCGGAGTTTTTGAACATCCTAAATCCTGACAGTATCTCTTGATGCTCCACCATCCTCGTTTCTAAACCTAATGATATGTTAATTAATAACAATCCTGCGTAACAGCGACTCGCAGCTTTAGTGGACTTAATAGTCCCGAGTCTACCATAAAATTGTAAAATGCAAATAACAGGCGGTTGTAAAAAACAAACAACCCCAGAATTCTTACCGAGTATTTGTGCCAGCTTTGCGACGTGGTTTCTCGAAGGAGCCTTCTCTTTTTCAGCTGAGGGTAAGTATTTGCTAATTTGCTATTCACTAATAAACTATGTATATTAATAACTTTAACGAAACTACAATTACTGAATAAATAGTAATTAGTAAGCATACGAGATTAAAACACTGACACTGTTAATTGTTATTCGGGATAGTTTCATCACTAACCTATCACAGCAGTATTAATCACACACCCAACAGAAAGCTCAAACAATGCCTTGCAACTTCTCACTATCCAAACTCCATTTGCCGGTACGTTGCTTAAATCTTGCAGTTTTAACCGGGGTGAACTGTCTTTTGGCTGCATGGCGTCAACTTTGAGACGAGTTGAAACAAGTTGAGACGAATTCAGTCGAGGTGAGACGATTTGAGAGGAACTAAAGCGAGGTGAGACGGGTATGAAACAGGTTTGGGAGGTCGAAGAAACCCTCTCATTGTTGGAAGTTCTATTTCCAGAAGTAAGCACTAATTTCGTGTTTGAGTCACCGGAGCTTGCAGAAACAGGGCTAGAAAATGAAAACAGTTGAGGGGCAAGGCTTCTGGGGGAAGTGTGGTCTTGCTCCCGAAAGTGAGGCAGTTTTAGAGACTGCTGATCTCCACTTCCTGGCTGAGGAAGCCTTTGAGAAGGCAGGAAGCTCTGAGCGAAAGACAAAACTTTGGATCCGGACTTTTGGTTTTGAAACTCATTTTGTGGTTTAGCTGAGGTTGTGTAATGAGTCTGGTGGTATAAAGATTGCGTTGTTGCACGGCAAACCAGTGTTTCGTTTTCCCCGGATCTGAAAGTGAACGTAGGTAACGAAAATTCGTCCAAGAATAGCAACATGAATGCCAAATAATACGTTCCCGCTAACTCTAGTAGCCCACCAACCGCACTTTAACCGCGGAAATTTAATTAATCATTTCTTAAACTCACTCTTGCTTGACGGTTGATTGGGAGAGGAGGTTGATCATTCTATCTAAAGTGGTTGAAGGTAATGCAGTTAATGCAGCCAGAAGTGAGGCCTCCTGTTCGCTCATCTTATCTGGTTCTTGTAGGGGCTGAAGTTGCTTGTTATTATTTGGTCATAATGATCACCATAAACGGCTAATATTCCTTTTGAATCGCATCATACGATATAAAAAGAATTCCTCCAAAATAATTAGACACTGACCGTAAAATTAGAGGTATCAGAAGGTTCTGAAGAGGAATTAGAATCTGCAACTGATGGTCTTATCAGCTCTCTAAGCTGCAACATCAGATCATCCTAGATTCAAGATTGACATTAAAAATTAACGCCAAAACGTCTGATAAATCACCATAACAACGGGTGATATGACAAGTTTCAATCACTATTATAGTAGCTGGAATATTCATAATTTTGGGTCAGAAAATGTTGAAATCTCTTCAAATTAGTAAAATAAGGACTCTTACATTGGGGGAAGTCTTGGTTTGAGACAGACTACTGTTAGGGACAGGGGGAGGAGTGGCTTTTTTGGCTGTCGTTACAAACTTGTTGTAAACGTTGATGTTGTGCTGTATGCAGGCGTAACAGGGCCTGAGATTTTGGGTTAACTTACTACAATCACTATAGGTTAACCCCAGTCTCCAATGTAAATTCAAATAACTTTCAACAAAATTGAGGATGGAAAGATATGAAAAACGTGCGGCGGACGATGCTAATGTACATTCTACACACTATTTTCAACTCACCCTGTAGTTAACTCAAACCCTAAATCTAAAAATGGCCCTGGTCCCTATCTGGATGGGATGTATTAGACAACTAACCTAGAGAGGAGTTGATGGGCAGCCCGTTCATTGGTTGCTAGTCTGAGCCAGGCAGGAGGAGAGAAAACCTCACATATCTCTGTGAAGTCCTGTCTTCTGGAGGATCTCAGCAAGTCTAACTCTCCACAGATCTGCAAAGCGGAAATGGTAAATGAGATTACGTGGTCCAGTGAAGAGACAATGTTTAAAAGTTGCCAAATGTTTGATGTGGCTGCTCTGTCAGTACTACAACTAGAGAAATGAAAAATGGAAGGTTGTACTGCTGAAAATAGGTTTAAACAAAGACTATTACCTGCTGATACACGAAGCAGGGAATGTCAGGGACAAATGTGTTTTTTGACATAAGTTTCCTTACTTCTTCCTGCACCTGAAAGTGAAATCTTCAGCCAAACACCAACACACGTTAAACAATATTCAAGTCTGGCTCTATTAACGTGTCTTGTTAACGTCTCACCGATGCAGTTTATAAAACGGGCTATTGAGTTTTGGCTTACTTGAAGACGGGTTCCCGACAGGTGATCATCGAAAATGTGGAATAATATACATCATGGTCGGAAACTTCAACTTACGATAAACAATAAAGCCGATCATTATTATTAAAAAATGCTTACTTTTTGACATCTTTCCTCGAACGAAAGCTTCTGTCTCAAGTTCAGTCCTTTAAACGATAGGTAGATGCAGGTCCGAGCGAACTTGCAGTCGAGGGAGGGAATTGGGCTCAAACCATTAGCAGTGGGCACATCGTACATAGTGAGAAAACAGTGCGTGCTGTGATAGGGAAAAGTTAGAAGGCAGTTAATACAAGACTTTTTTAGGCTGTGGAGTCAAAGAATCTTCTATGAAAGCTAGTGAGAAACCTTTTCCATTTCTATCTCAATTAAGTGACTTAAGTCTCACATCCATATTCACAAGTCACACGTGAAGAAACATCAGGGTAATCGAGAAGCGAAAGAGAGTCTCGCTTGTTTCTGAACTGTATTAAGACCACAATTGAAATAAGCTTTCATTTGTTGTGAAGGGAACGACGTAAGCAATACACAGCCGATGATGTTCATTATTCGTGTAATCACTGATCACTGAGCCTGAATCACTTTTACGTCACTGATCTCCAGATCTCTCGTTGGCAAGGATAAGCTTCATTGCGGCAGTATGCTTATGTGATACCTCGAAATTCAGCTGAAGAGAAATATAATTTCCGAAACCTGCTAATTTGGAACCATAAAATTCATATTTCGGTAACCATCACAACTCTGATAGTTAAACATTTTGGAACGGTTGAAATATAACTCTTTACTAAAGCGTAAAGGGCATGAATAGCCAAAAGGTAGTGTTTTTTATCCTTAAAGGGCGGTTCAACTTCAAATAATATTATTATTACGTATTATCACTTTTAGGCCGATTTAATCCCCTTCCGTAATCAGTTTTACACATATAGCTAATGTTATTGTGTTAAAATTACACTAGCGTTATCATTTAGAAAGTTAGAAACCCCCTCCCTACCAGTACCCATCAGTAATTAAGTAATATGTGAACGACCCCTCACTATTGCTACCATATTTAGTCCTGCAGGAGATATATAATATCTAAATAATTTTGTGTGAAAAAAGGATGCATTTCCCCTATAGTACTACGACTACGAGTACGATATGTAACTGTGCATTTAGAAACCAAGACTGTAGAGTGTGGAGCCGGAGGTACACACAACTTTACATAACTTCAGTCGTTGTAATCCAACAATTTTGTAGATTGACTGACTATGCTTCATATTTTCAGGAATACTGGGCTTCATATTTTAATGTTCACAGAAACATATCCATTGCATGCTTGTTAAAGTTCAACAAGTAAATTCCTACTACGAAAAGATAAATTATCACGCGGAAAATAATAACTGAGTCTAGGGAATAGAGTCATACCGTAACAAAAACAAAGGAGGACTGACGAACTACGAATGGCCGAAAAGGTGATACGTGAAATAAGACCGGGGCAGCCAGTTGGCAACGTAAAGAGTGGTTAACATGCAAATTTGTAATGGCTACATGCTACCTAACAAGCATCGAACCTCCAATTTGTGTCACGAGATATCCCTTGGCAACCACGTGGTATTACTTACATGTCCGTGTCACGTGATAGGTGGGTGTCATGGTAACTGCATAGCAACCACCTCCCATATTTCGTGACACGTGACGGCATCCACCTCCCATATTTCGAGACTGCGACACGTACATGAGATGAAGTGAGGTCAGAGATAGTGAAATACTCATGGATAGTTTATATAGCTATCATACAGGGTGGGCCAAAAGTCAGTGTGCAAACGTTGGCCTTAATAGCTCAGTCACTGAGTGCCCAATTGAAATACTTCCTTCTGGTATGACTTAGTACCACCACTGGTTCGAGGAATTTGTCAACTCGAAAAATATTCGCGTTCATTTTTTTCAAATGGAGGTTCATTTTCACATTTTTTTGATAGTTTGGATAATCGGATCAAGCTAAATGTTATTGAATTGTGTTTGGCCATTCGAATTACGTTTGCCCTGAAAGAATGAGAGTTCTAGCTTCTCAGATGACCGAGATATGAAGCATAACAAGCTTGTTCATTACGTGTGATCAGGTGATTGGTTTACCTAATCACGTGATAAGGTGACCCCGTTAACTACCCCGTTAAACATTATGGGAATTGTTAAGGGTGCCCAATTAAGGTGTCGTGTCACGGTGTCACATAATCACCCAGTCAATTTGTTAACGAGATACACAAAATGCTTGTTAACTTCGTCATTTCTAATCCGTTTTGCCTCATTTTTTCAGATCATATGCAACATTTGATAATCTACCGTCTCTAAAAAAATTAGGCGTTCAGGATTTTCAGAGAAAACAATATAGGTGTTTTAATATTGAATGGGCGTGGTCTAAAATATTCGAATTTTCAAATTTTGACGACGGAATCCTCGAACCAGTAAGTACAGTATGCCATCTGCAAAGCAACAGCTCTCAAATATAAAACTCAGCGGAGGTATAAGACCCAACGTTTGCACACTGACTTTTGGCCCACCCTGTATTTCTATACCTATCCTGTTCCTGTTGGATATGGAAATGGCGAGGAATATTGAAATCGATCAATAAATGTTTAATTTGTAGACTGTCAGCCCTGGATCTATAAATTTTGTAAATTTCCCATTTCCGTTCGGCGAAGATAAAAGAGCAAAGAAGGAGCAATCAACAAATAAATGGATGTCAAGGAAGAATTCGATTTGATCTGCACGATTTCATATCAGGGAAATACCAAAACTAATCACAGTTATTGATAAGGATCCGCCTGCTTGTTGCAAAATTATAGGCAGCAAGATAACTGATATCAATTTATACAAGTGTGTATTGAGTTAATGATTGAAATTTAAACCATTTCGTTGTTAAATGTGTATCAAATCTTAAATCTTTGATTACAACAGGCATTGTTTGGTATTTGCAATATTTACATTTTTACAAAACTTTAAACTCTGACAATTCATGAAGCTCAATAATAAACAACTTAACAACTCGCCACTTCATCTGCCCGGTATATAATAATCAATAATACGCATAAACAATCAATTTTTCTGAATTTCAAAATCTCAGTCTGCGAACTTGAATCCTGATTCTTGAGTCCTCATGCACGACATATTAAGTCACTACAACTCCGATTTCAGCTCTAAGCTATAGGAGAACGTAACTGCATGATATGAAAAGCGTGAGAGTTGGGTTTTCATACAGCCAGAGTCACTCTGTTGCTACTCTCAGCAGCACTTTTTGATGGAGATGTACCATTTCTACTCTCCAGGGTTTCTAAAGTTTTTTCTAACCGAACGTCTTCTGAAATAAGGATATTGTTACCAGGTTTAATGGTGGAACAATCAACAAACACATAGTGATCAACCGTATTGAGACGCATTGGGATGTCATGACCAAATATGATGATGAAAATCTTAAAACAAGTGGGTACAATGAGCATTTTATTAACTATAAAAAGTAGAGATCAAAAACTTTAATTTCTAACAGACTAATTTTCAATACCAACCATGACCAAATAACAGAAAGAAAAGGATGAGAAATGAGAATTCAAGTCGTGCCTTATCGCAGTGTTATAATACACAAATAACAAATTAGTTTGTGTCTGCGACAAAGTCATAAAACGGATAAGCAGAAGGACATACTTAATACTAATAATGAGGGCCATTTCAGGGTACAATACTATGTACCTCCTCATACCCTACATAATATAGTAAATGGTGATATGCATCAAGATCAACCATCAGGCATGGGATGGTCATGACTCATGCTCCAATTCACAAACGATGTTATACCTATACCTTAGTCGGTAATATTATGGGGGGAGGGGGGAATTATGGGTGTTACAAATATGGACTGTTATAAATATGGTTCTTTGGCCCAAAAAGGACCAAATTAGACCCCCCATGATAATATTACCGACTAAGGTATTCCTCGAGACGATATAATTGATATAATACGCGCGCATAATTCTGTCGTACTAAAAACGCACTATGAAAAGTTGTGATTCAAAAGTTAATTGCGCGCCTTACATAAAAAGTTTCAGTAGACCCTTTTCAGTCCCTGTGGCTCATATGGATTTACATTTTCATTTTTAAATTCTTTGAAAATATCTGCTTCTTAAAAAATTGGCAACTTATCTCGTTCAAATTGTTTGAAAACCACTGCTCATGCTTCTGGCTTCGAACTACAATGTCCACGTTTGAAGGTTGGGTTGTACTACAAAATATAGAAGACTTACTTTGGGTAAGATGGTGCGCTGAATTGATGCAACTATTCAGTATTCGCAAATTGTCGCTGAAATAGAAAACTGTAGTGCGTCTGGTAAATTAAAAATGTATTTATTACTCTGGATTCTACAGTTAAAGTTCACAACAAAATTTGATTTTCTGTGTTATTTAATTACTTACTTAATTTCTTTTCTCGTTTCAACCAAATCTTTGTTATACTGGGTTAACTGCGGTTGTTCCAGTGGCTTTGCTGTGAGTTTCTGAAACAAAAAAACAATTTAAGTATCCAACGAGTAATTGTGATAAAGCTAAATAATTCTGGTAGTCTACTCACTGTCAATAATTGAGTTTTTAGATGAGCTACCGAAACAAGGAAATGAGGAACTAACAAAAATATTAACCTTTGTTCGAGAGCCGACGCAACATTTGAAGGTGTATCTCTTGTAATTGAAGACTAGAGTCTGTTGGTCCAAACTAACACATCTCATCGAAAAGTAAGGCGATATCTGAAGAAGATAAGAAACTTATTTAATTGTTCGTTTTAAATATAAAGCTAAAACGTTGGCAAAGAAATGTCAAAAAGATAAATTTTACTCCAATAACGATAAAATGTTATTATCACGGATATGAAATAAGAAGAAGTAAGCACCTGGAAGTAGACAGGCTGGAAGGGAGGCGCGTGCACGTGCGGTGCAAACGCGTCCCACTCCCAGTGCTTGGTGCGCATCTCCCGCTTGTTGAACAGGTTTCCTTCGACTGGTGAGCATTGGTAATGAATCTGAAATATTTCAGTGAGCTTGTAATCACTTAATGTGTTATCATTGTGAACTAACATACAGTTTTTATGGATGAAAAATATCTCAAAATAAAATCCACTAAGTATGATCGAACCGCACCACCCAAAAACCCCAAGATAAACAAAAGGTAAAAGTTGATAAAAAAGTGTTGGCTAAACTCGGGATAAGCCGTTTATAAAATGAACATACCGTCCCATTCGAGTGGAATACAGCTATACGACCAAGCTGGGAACACACGGCAAGAAGTTTCACATCAGAGTCACTATCATTTAACACATAATAACAGTAGATACCTGTAATATTGAGTGATAGCGATGTTTGGAAAGTTGGAAAGTTAGAATGTTTTGGTCTTAACGGGGATTTACAATTTTGGAGCCTCACGATTTATCCAAACTTACGGATGAGCTATCCTATCGAACACGAAATCTAACCTCTTTTTAAATTACGAGTCAGTAAAAGAATAGAAACAACGTAAGTTTAATATCTATTGAATAATGAATAACCAATTTAAGTTATCAGAATCATTTTTTAATACTGTGACGAACGATCATAATAATATTATGTTACCATTAACTTCATTGTGACTCGGTAAAATCTATGTAAAGTACTAAGTAAGAGTGAGTCTTGTGTGTTCCAACAGACAAATTGTTATTTGTCCCATCTAAATCTTTTCTCCTTTTTCTCTTTTCTCTTACTTCTCTTATTTCTCTTATTTCTCTCATCAAATCGACACAACCTATTGTTCAGCAACATCCTGCAGCAACATTTTTAATAACAATGCCGTTTTCCGTCTCTTTGACTTTATCCTCCTCCTCCTTACTCTCAAAACAGAGAGAAGGATGTTTCCTCCACTCGCTCCTCCGCCACGCAACAGCGACAAACACACTCGCCACCGCCACCGTCGCCACCCCACTATTCAGCAACAGGAAGTTCCTCCATCTCCTCCCCCTTACTTCCCAGTAGTCTGGCCTGGTTTCGTCCACACTGGTAAACGCTGCACTCACAAGAGGAGCGATGAAGCCAGCAGTTTGACCAACTCCGTTGTGGACCCCAACTACCACTTTGCTGTGAGCTGGATCCAGCTCGAAGCTGACGGTCATGAGCCCTCCTGAGTACACAGTAGCTTCCATTACATTATGCAAGACTAACAGCGCGATGCAACCTTCTATACTCTTGATAAAAGGAATCACTGCAAAACATGCTCCACGTATAATCATGGGGACGGTTAAAATGAAAATCCTGCTTTTAAACCAGGACATTCTCTGATCAACGCAAGGAAGGATGGAACCCCAAATAAATGCAGAGAATGCAAGTGAGAGACACATTGCAAGTGAGTAGAACGCCAAAAACTCAGTATCTTTACCGAACATTTCGTTAAGGTAGAAAGGCAGCATGGTTAAGACCGAATAGTAAAGAAAATTCCGGCAAATCTGATAAATAGAGAAACAATAAAGGAACCTTCGCTGGAACAGAGATTTGAGAGATATCGTGGTTTTGTTAGCTGGTTCAAGGTCCTCTCTCTGCTTCTTCTCTACAAACATTCCCCGCTCTTTGGACGACATGAACCTCGCATCCACTGGGTCATCAGGAACTAAAGCACACTGAATTAAGAATACTACAAGGAAAACACCTCCACTCAGATAATAAGCATATACCCATCCCACTGATTCGGCCAGGAGCCCAGCGATAAAAGGACCAGCACCAGTTCCAAAGTAGTTCATCATTCCACAAAATGATATCACAAACTTTCCCTCGTTATTGAGCCCCCATTTACGTGCACACTCGAAATTCATCGTTATGAACAGCCCAGACACAAAGCCCCGGCACCCCTGAACAACTATAGCTAACACCGGGGAGAAGGATATCATAATGGGCGTGGTTAACTGAATCACAGCGCAGACGAACAAAGCAAGCCTGACACAAGTGTTAAAACCAGCTCTCGCCGCCAGATACGTGGACAACATCTGTAGACAGTATCCGTAGTAGAACACTCCCAGGAAGTTAGCCTGGAGTTGGTCAGACCAGCAGAAGTCACCGTGGTCCAGGGGGTCGGAACAGTTCTTCTTTACCATGCCCCCGATCATAGCAAGGGGAGGGATTGCACGAGATGCACTGTCGTGGAATATAAAAAAAGTACTGAGGAAGAAACTGATGTATCTGTAGGGGATCATATTGGGAACTGAAACTTGAATTCAGAGGGTAGAACTGCTGTTTAAATCAACAAAGTGGAGATATTGTATATGACAAGAAAACAATGACTTATGAATAAGCTCTCGTGATAGGACACGTAAATAATTGACTATCATAAAGTAGATTGACTGGACCTTATTGCAGTGGTCGATCCTATAAAGTCACTTGACTCAGTTTGAGTTACCTTACTCTTTTACTACAGGAATATAATATGGTTGTATTATATAATTAAAGGCGCCTAAAATGGAGGTATATGAAATTGAGGCCTTATAAAACTGAACGTCGTGAAACTGAACGTCATAAAACTAAGGGACACGACATGAAATTAAAGTTGACCTTAATTATATGAAATTATCTGCATCAGGTTGGCGATCTGAGTTATCATTTAAAAACCTCCTTCAGTATCAGTCATACCGATAAGATCGTGTGTGAATCGTTTTAAAATAGAACTAATGATAACTTGCTTGCAAGAACTAAGAACTATACAAGTATGAAATCGCCCAGAACTTCAAAGTCAACGCTTACAAAACAGAGACAAGTATGTTATTTACTTAACATCACGTACCGGAAGGATGGCAATGTATCATAAGTTAAATGTACGTTCAGAACAAAATATGAAGAAGTGGAGAATGTTCCACCTAATTGTTGAAACATAGACCGTACACATCGTACGACTTTGTTGGCGAAGGGCCAGTGGCGGAAGTAATCGAAAGCTTATATCGATCAAATTATTAAGTATAGCAAATTATTCGTAAATATTTTATCCAGGACAAATGATGACAGAGCAACAGATGTTTGTAAAACTATTGAGAAATCGGTAAGAATAACAATCAGCAGTCACGACATGGAAAAATTCCGAATTCCAGGCGATCCTTCTAAGTACAGACCATCAAGTTAGGATAAGATGATCGAGTAGAACGTTTTTCAACGTGCGGTACAAAAACTGGTTATTTTGATGGACTGAAGAATACCCAAGTTTCTTTGTTTGTCTAGAAAGCATTGTTTGTTCAGAAAGCATTCACCGCCAGAATATCAGGAATGCGCGATCTCCACTACTGGGATCGCCGGGTCTATCTATCTCTGATGTCTCTTCAACGAAGGCGGGAGCGATTCATCATTCTCCATATGTCAATTGTCAATGATCTGAACGTTCTATTTGTTTCACGCCCAAGGCTTGGAAACCTTGCAGTAATTCCATCAAAACGTAGAACCAGTTCAACAGCAAACCTCACCTTGTTTGACAACTCATTTGCAGTTCCTGGACCTAAATTGTGGAATGCAATCCCCTACCATCTGAATGTCATTCAAGATCTAGAGCACTTCAAAGATAAGCTCACAAAGTTCATGTTGTCTCCCTGATAAACCGCTGATCATGGGATATACTCCTCCAAATACGAACTCTCTGCTGTGCTGGCGCAACGAGCGAGATTTTACTTCGCTATGGGGTGGTCAGAAGATGTGATGGCCCCGTCAAGTTTTGACGAATCTCAATATAGGTCACATAGGTAGCTTGTAGGTAGGTCTACAACTCACATAACTTTCCTTTCTTATTTGCACTAATTATTCATTTTGTTTTTAAAATCATTTCATTGTAATATTTAGGAAATTGGGCTATGCTTACTGATGTATGTGATTGATATGGGAGAGGCCGGAAAGAAAAAGACATTCCCAATAATTAATTAAGTTATCTTACCAACGAGTCGTTCAATATTTATAACTAGTTTATAACAAAGTCTGCATGCTGCACTACCGGTTTTTTGCCCATTATAAGACTTACCCAGTATAAGACTTACCCGGTTGCTCGAGAGAGATGACGATCGCTGGCGCCCCACTGGGGTAGTAACACGTTCCGGTGCCGTCAGGGAGCAGAGTGAGAAATACTGTACCGTTACGATAATATCTGAAATATTTACTGGTTGATAAGTGCAGGGAGCAGAGTGAGAAATACTGTACCGTTGCGATAATATCTGAAATATTGACTGGTTGATAAGTGCTGAAATGTTAACTGCTTGATAAGTAGTCTAGTGGATTCGTATAATGTTATTGAGTCTCAGGATTTGATGTTTTTCTGAATAGACTCAGTGAAGACAGATTCTAAGGGAAATAAGAAGCTAAACAACATATCGAAATTTCTACGTCATACTCATATTCTCGATAAATGTTATAGAGATTGGCTGATTTGTGGTGCTGTAATTAGTTTAATTGATAAGTGCTGAAATGTTAACTGGTTGATAAGTGCTGAAATGTCGGCTGACTGATAATATTGAAATACTAATTTGTTGATAAATCTGAAAGAGTGAAATGCTGACAGGTTGATTGAGGCTGACTGTGAGATGCTGACTGTGAGTGCAACTTATTGATAACATTCGATAATTTGATTGGTTAATAAATCTGAAATGTTGACAAGATCTGTCATCTGTTCATTGACGTTGGTTGGCATGAAAAAAATGACCGTTGATCTGGCATAATTCAAACATAGATAGTATTAGCTCCTTTACTTATTTAGTGAGTTTTCCAGCGCTTTTAGTTGCACCCGGTCACAGCACCTAGTCTTTTGGGGTGAGGAGAAAGAAGATGTCCGACAAGAAACGTAAGTATACAAGATGCAACTCTAGCTCCGGGATCATCATCTAATCGTACTCAGTAATAATTTATACTGATCATGTCAAAATGTTGATAATTGCTGTGATATTATATCTTGATAGCTGATACAGTTTATTAACTTAAAGTAATAAGTATATTTCGTGATCTTATAAGGATCAACTAAGTAAGTCTTTAACAAGGACTCCTGGTTATCAGAGCGATAATTAGTAGACACGTGACCAACTCAAGCCTATCCCAACCTTTAACTTTAACCCTTAAACCCTTACCTTATAGGCTGATAATATTTAAAATACTGATTGATAATGATAATTTCAGTTCAGTAATTATACTTTTCAATACGTTGTTGCTCGCTTATCTGTTAACTATCACTACGTTGATAAGACGTGCTTGTTTTACCGGTGGCGTGGTTTTGTGATGTATAAATCGGACAAATACAAGGCTTATAAGCTTGATGAAGTGAGAGATGATGGAGCTGAATGGATCCGGAGAACTCTTGGTAAACCCCCTTACAATAACTCAGTATTTTATAAAGGTCCACTATTAGCAATAAACCGATATAGTGTCGCAGCAACTTCTTTGCCGAGTCTCTTCAACAAAAGCAAAGGTGCATAAAAAACATGCTTATTGATCAGCAAAACGAGGGCATTGCAGACGAATGGCCTAACTTCATGTTATACAATATAACGGGACTAAGGAAATCAAAGCGCAACATTTTACAACATTTTGAAATAGCTAGCTAGCTGTAGCTATGGGCCTGTTTCCACTCTTACAACTCAGAATGTACATTAACATGATAATTTCAACTTTAGAATCCTAAAGGCAATTATAACCGTGCTCAGCTTTGCTCCATTTTAATAGTTTTTTAGTAGTTTCAACAATATCTAATCTCGTGTGAGTTTTTTTACTTTGAAAGTTTGAATAGATAAAACTTATTATATATATTTTTGAGTAAACATTGGCTGGTACTTCGGGCCGGTCCCCAACTAAATCTCACGCCCATAACGCTGAGAAAATGATAGCTAACATAACTTACACAGATTGCGTGCTTGGCACGCTGGCAACAGTTTATCAATGCGAGCACTCTTTGCGCTCCACATGGCAAGTATCTGGAATAATTCTGGATCAATGATAGCATATACTGCTACTAGAGTAATAGGAATACAATCTACCATTAACCTTTTCTCAGATTCTCATGCTTCACTCAAAGCGCTTAACAGCACTAGCATTAGCTCCAGACTAGTGCTGGACATCGCTGACCAACTTAACACACTAGGTACCTCTCACCGAGTAGAACCTAGAGAGAAATTCCTCTGGAACTGTTTCTCAACAAATTCAAATACATGAATCTTAATATTTCCGGAACTCACATCAGATGGCTAACATGGCTACTGTCAGGTCACAGCCCACTAGCTTACTTTCAGATTGGGGCAAACAATGTCAACTTTGAGACGCAAGACTGCGAAAATTGCCCAGGGGAAGCAAAAACTTCACAGCACTTCCTCTGTGAAAGCATCCAGCTGATGACTCTCAGATTGAGGATATTTGGTAAACATCTTCTAACAATGGAGGAAATTATCAACAGTAAACTCAACCACCTCATCAAATTTGAGGAACAGTCAAAAAGACTAGAAAGGGAAGATCTCTTTGGGTAACCTCCTAGGAGTTCACATCAGGAACTACTCTAAAACCCAACCCATCCAGGCCTACATCCCATAGAAACACCAATATCAGGAGATGACCTTGCTCGGAAGTCCCTTGTCTGCCCGCTAAAGTATTACAACGGAAGTAGGTTTGCTCTTAGCCAAGTACTACCTGGCAGGTAGTGACAGCTTTAAGACTCCAGAGGTCTGTTGCGTTGGTATTTATTTGTTTATGATTTCGTATATAGCATGTAGCTAGCAGGAGTTCCATTCTGTGGGCACGGTGATAAGGCTTCCCTATTAAAGTAGGAGGCCAGAAACCGTTGACCAGAACAGAGAGAGAGAGAGAGAGAGAGAGAGAGAGAGAGAGAGAGAGAGAGAGAGGTTTAGTTCTTTTACTATAATATTATTTGTATATTATATATACCGTCTAGACAACGATTAAACATATTCGAAATTTTGGTTGATGAATCTGAAATGTTGACAAAATCTGTCATCTGAAACATCAACATTTAATTCGTTGTCATGAAAAATTCAAACATAGTAGCTTATTTACTTATTTAAGTTGTTTACCTATTTTAGTTGTCCAGCGCTTTAAGTTGCACTCAGTACACTAGTCACATCACCTAGTCTTTTGGGGTGAGGAGAAAGAAGATGTCCGACAAGAAACGTAAGTTTACAAGATGCAACTCTGGGATCACCATGTAATCGTGCTTGAATAATTTATACTGATCATGTCAAAATGTTGATAATTGCTACATATTATAATATCTTGATAGCTGATACTGTTTATCAATAAGTATATTTCGTGATCTCATAAGGATCAACTAAGTAAGTCTTTAACAAGGATTCCTGGTTATCAGAGCGATAATTAGAAGACACGTGACCAACTCAAGCCTATCCCAACCTTTAACTTTAACCCTTAACCCTTACCCTATAAGCATTTAATCATCAATTAGCTTTGGTTGATTATGTATTTCTGACGTTTTCTCCATTGTCCTATGAATTTGTATCGGTGCACTGTGCAATTATCATTTGTGAGTTAAATGTCACGATTTATGTTTCCGGTCACGTTTGTTCATCTTCCCAATCCCTTCTCTTCGTTAACAAAACAACAGCTTGCCAGATTTTATCTTATTTCACCCTTATTTGGGCATGTTAGTACCCACGTGACCTACCTGTGAAACTCTGTGGTATTCTGTTGCCAGGGTACATTGAGCCCAGGTAGAGGGTGCATCTGGGTATCGTCCACAGTATCGTACAGCACAGGTTGGGGTGACTCTGGAGGGGGCTGGTAGTTGGTTACCGTCCATCCGTCCTCCATACACTTCCGGGAACTAAGTGCAAAGTTTATTGTCTTCATCTGCCGAGCATCTGAAATTAGTTAATTTTAAGAAATTAGTTGAATAATTAGTTAAGCGATCTTGTGCGTTGCAAGTGTTTTTTTGACGCCCTCGAATGCGGTTTTGGAAGGCCGGAACAAGTACTGAGCACGTGCAAAAGTAAACTGCACGTGCATATATGCACATAAACCACAGCTTGCCGTCACTACGCTGGAATGCAGTTTTCGGGCCAACGATCAAATTAGGTTCTGTTTAACTTTTTAACAATTATTATATTGAATAACCACAATCATCGATTACAGTTAATATATAAATTTCAAATCTCAGGGCTAAACGTTCATCAAAATACGAAGTTCGATAAATCTTCGTTAAATGTTTATTGCGGTTTACATATAAGAGATGAGCTAATTATCATCGTAAATGGGACAACCACATATTAGTATTATACACAAGAAAAAAGTAAGCGAGTAATCGGTTAAATTGGTCAATACCTAATACAGTGACCATTATTTAGCAGCCATTACCGGCCAAACTAAGCCGGAACATGCACTGAACAAGTGCAAAAGATCTGATAAACTGCACGTGCATATGCGCACAAAGCACAGTTTGACATCACTACGCTGCTAGCTTCTTAGGAAGATGTTGCTAAATGTCTGGTTAGAATTTTTGGCACTCCGAAACGTGTAGCGTGCAACAATGTTCATTATTCTTGTCCCACCTTCACTGCTACCTAATTTCTTGGTATATGGGGTCAACTGAATGCTTATATAATACTTTATTATATTTGACTAGATAAATTTGCATAGATATATTTTACTTTGCGTAGTAGAGATAATCAGATGGACCAAGATGCATGCACAATTGCATGCATGTCAAGAGACTTTTAATATCACAAAATGTGCAAAAATGTGTATTTTTAAATATTTTGGAATAGATTTTTCTGACGGTCGTGATATTCTGGAACAAGATTGAGAGTGTTCTTTAAAATATTTATTTATTGGTTAATTGGATAATTAATTGGTAGATTGGATTACCGAGGTAGTGGTCGGTAGAAACAATTGACAACATTGCCAATTTCGATCTATACCAATTACAAATGATAGATATTGTCAAGCGGCTTTATAAATTTCATCAACAGTGATTAGACATGAAATAATCTAATTGGATATAAAATTGGGTGTACATGATGTACTAGTGAAATGCAAAAAGCAATGATTTCCCAAAAATAGTTTCCTCCTTCGTTCGATAAGATGAAAATATTCACTAACAGTTCAGTCGATTTTTAACTTCATTTAACTTAATTAATGTTAATACATAATTACTGTTGATACCCATATGTCAACCGTCATATTACATATGAAGTGTCATATTACTTTTGTAGTTCCGCTTAATTGTTATGAAATTTGACCGATTACCATCAAATTATCGTCCATTATATTCGCACCTGCAGCTCTTTTAATTTCCGAGTCCAATAAGCCGGTTACTTGTCCAATAAAACAATTGATATGATAGTGATAATAATTCTCCAACAAATAACCTGCTGCCTGCAAAGTTAATGCTGCCCATTGTTAATTAAATGTTCTACAGTGCGTCGACAGACAGACACGTTATGGTCCATTGTTTTTACGAGAAGAGTACACGAGCGTACTGCAGGTACCTCGCCAGGAAAACACGAGCCTACTGCTGAGATCCATCACAGATACCAGTTAATTGTATTAACCAAAATTATCCAGCCATTGCTTTACTCCAAAGCCCGTCGTTTGTCCCAGCCTTTGTCTAGCTCCTTTATCAAGGCAGAGTCTTATAGTGGCTGTATATGTTATAATGGAGCTATTCGGTCCGACAAATAAAAGGCTGCTCCAGGACAAAAGCTTTGATTATTTAGTTAGTTTTCCAGCGCTTTTAGTTGCACCACGTTCTCCAGTCACATCACCTAGTCTTTTGGGGGTGAGGAGGAAAAAGATGTCCGACAAGAAACGTAAGTTTACAGAATGCAACTCCGGGGACCGGGATCACCATCGCTTCGTACTAAAGATTTTCGCCAAGGCGAAAATACAAATTTATTTCGAATCGATTTAATCCCTTTACTTTTTGTTAATCGATAGAATAGGTTATAAGATACCTCTTTGGAAATTCTTTTCACGGTTGTTTTAACCCGTCTAACCCTATAGTGGTGTCAAGACTCAAGAGACTAAAATAATTATTATCTATTTAATTCGCGTTTTTGACACCACTTGGGGGTCCAAATTTTTGGGCACTAAAATTCTTATTCTTTGGCCAATTTTTATTTTTCATGATTGATTTAAAGACCATTAAAGCATTTTAACCAGTCAAAAAAGTTGTATATCATTTACGGTTTTCGCGGAAAGTCGTGTTAAATTTGATGCTGTGGTGTCAGTAAAATACTGATATCTGGATATTATCCGGTTGGAAGAGACAAGGACAAGTGAAACAAGGAAGTTAGGAGTAAGGGCAAATTTTCGGCGTCAACGCCATCTTCAGGCTCAAATTATTTGTTATATAGTAGTGTTGAAAGTATTAAAGTTTTATGATTCAAGTTTTATGATAAAGTTTTATGATTTGGCAGCATTCTATGTCTACAGGCACAGTGCCGAAGTTCTACAAGACATCAAACATTGCTCCACTTCACAAGAAAGGCAGTCGTGCTATTGCGGGAAACTACAGACCTGTGTCGTTAACTTCTCATGTCATTAAGATCTATGAGCGAGTTCTACGAAAACAGATGGTGGCCCACCTCGAAGAAAACAACCTTCTCAATAGCAAACAGCATGGCTTCCGATCGGGGAAAAGTTGTCTCACTCAGCTGCTTCATCATTTTGATGACATCATCGAGGCGTTATCAAATGGTGACGACATGGACGCTATATACTTGGATTATGCCAAGGCCTTTGATAAAGTAGATCATCAACTTCTTATCAAAAAACTGCAGCTATATGGTTTTCATCCCAAAATCATCATCTGGATCGAGTCATTTCTTACAAATAGAACTCAACAAGTTGTTGTAGATGGTCACATGTCTATCATTGCTCTTATTATGAGTGGTGTCCCCCAAGGAACAGTTTTAGGTCCCATACTGTTTTTAATATTCATTAATGACATTGCTAGCTGCGTGTTGCATTCAACGTTAAGATGTTTCGCTGACGACACAAGAATTTGCAGATCCATCAGTGATTCACATAATGTTACTGAGCTTCAGTCTGATCTTGACAAAGTCACTGAGTGGTCATCAAGAAACAACATGGCACTACATGAGGATAAGTTTGAGTACATATGCCATCTTGCCAACAAACGTAATCCTCTCTATGAGCTTCCTTTTGTCCATGAACAGTTCCAATACAGAACATCAACTGGTACTATACTCAGTCCTGTGGATCAGCTCCGTGATCTCGGTATAACAGTATCCAGTGATACGTCCTGGACATCACACATACGATCTAGTTGTGATAAAGCGAGGAAGATGGCAGCATGGGTATTCAGTGTCTTCCACTCTCGCAATACTGGTGTTATGTTAACACTATACAAGTCACTAGTCCGTAGCCACTTAGAGTATTGCTCTCCTCTGTGGAATCCGGCGAAAGTGTATGAAATTCAGGAGCTTGAAAGTGTACAAAGAACTTTCACTTCAAAGATCCATGGTTTACAGCATCTCCATTATTGGGATCGCCTAAAAACCCTGTCCCTCATGTCACTTCAGAGGCGCAGAGAACGTTACATTGTCATGCACATGTGGAAAATCCTACATGGTTTCACATCCAACGACCTTGAAGTACAGTTCACAGTAAATCCACGATTGGGTACCCTTGCTAAGGTTCCAGCTGTCCGTACAAAAAGCTCAGCTGCTCACCAGACTCTATATGAAACATCATTTGGTGTAATGGGTCCCAGACTCTGGAACTGTATACCTTCGCACATACGTGCAGTCTCCAAACATGATGGCTTCAAGCATCATATGACGGCATTCATGCTTTCCTTGCCGGATAAACCGCCAATCCGGGGCTTCACATCACCGAACTCCAATTCTATACTGGACTGGCGTAACGATCGAGAGGCATCTTCTCTCTGGGGTGGTCAGCAACTCTGATGGCCTGTCGAGTTTCGACGAAGCAGATCAAAGGTATCAAAGGTAAGGTAATACTTTCAACACTACTATATAACAAATAATTTGAGCCTGAAGATGGCGTTGACGCCGAAAATTTGCCCTTACTCCTAACTTCCTTGTTTCACTTGTCCTTGTCTCTTCCAACCGGATAATATCCAGATATCAGTATTTCAATCATGAGACTAATAAACAGCGAACTACTCCGTTATTTGATATGTCAGTAAAATTGAAAGTATTAAAGTTTTAATACTTTCAACACTACTATATAACAAATAATTTGAGCCTGAAGATGGCGTTGACGCCGAAAATTTGCCCTTACTCCTAACTTCCTTGTTTCACTTGTCCTTGTCTCTTCCAACCGGATAATATCCAGATATCAGTATTTCAATCATGAGACTAATAAACAGCGAACTACTCCGTTATTTGATATGTCAGTAAAATGGTTCGGATATATAAACATATATATCGTGTCGCTTTATATATAGTAAGATATAGTAAGATTGAGCGACCCATCCAGAGGTTGAAGGCGAATATTTGTGTTTGCTAAGAACTGAACCGTGAAATAATTGACAATTGTACCATATTATGCTATTGAATTATTTCAAACAAATCGCTCCTTGAATGAAGTGAGTGGTCCTAAACCCAGTAATATTTCAGTAGTATTTGGTAAATGGAAGTACTCTCTCCTACTTCTCGTAGTTAACATTGTCTACATCTACCTTGGTTCTCTGGTATTCATCTACATTGAGGCAGCAGAGTGGGAAAAAGAGGACATATATCACAAGGAGTATCTGAACCATTTGAAGACCCATATGAAAAAACCTGATGAAGTCCTGCCAAAGCTTCTTGAATTGCAGGTTAGACTTTATAGTTTATTAATTTTAATGCTTTTCAAACAAAGTTACAACGAATTCTTCATGTAGTGCATCCTGGGTTATATTAAAATGCACTGTTACAGTCTGTACTATAGCTTGCTTGACGTAACTATCTGCCGTTTTTATCAAGTTACGGGTCTTAGTTTGGAAATTATAAATCTTAATGAACTTTTCACCCAGAAAGAGATGTGTGTGAAAGATAACAATCTCAGCGAAGAAGAAAAATGGACTTTTACAGGATCGTTTACGTTCTGTCTTTCTATTCTCTCTACCATAGGGTACGGTAATTTTATTTCTAAATTCAGCTCAATCTCCAGATACCATTAGGAGACAATCAACCATATATTATATAACACTGTATAATGAATTTCAAAAGATTATCGCCAATCACTTCGTTTAGTTTCCACATGTACGGGTTGGCCCAGAATTGAATATTTACCGTCGAAAATTCAGCGTAATTAACATTACGCTGTAAATACTGCTTAAAACTACAGTATCACGTGATGTTTCCACAAATCTCACATGAAGCCAATACTGGGCCTACATACTTATTATCCATATCGTTCTGAATCAATAGACTCCAATTTGTACAATCAAACACCTTACATTCCCACAGGTATGGGGTGATGTCGCCGCATGATACTCTCTCCCGAGGGGTGACCATGCTCTACGCTCTGTTCGGTCTACCCATCTACGCAGTCTACCTTAATCAGGCGATGAAGGCACTCACTAAGTTCACCTCTGCATTGTCACGCCTGGGGCTCTGGTTTTGCAGAAAAAGGAAGGAGGAGGAGGAGGAGAATGATGAGGAGAAGGAGGCGGGAGATGTATCAGATCATAAAACTTTGAACTGTGCACAATGGGAGGATACAACAGAGTCAATGAACATAAACAAGGGGAGCAAAGATGAAATGCAGCATGACAGCGAGTACAGGAAACTTTCCTCAGAAGACTGTCTTGATCATTCCCCACACTTAGGCGAAACCCACAGCCACGAGGACCAGAATACTTTAACAGACTCCCTAGAGAGATTGAGAAATCCCGTCTATGCCGCAGAAACTACGGTGGAAACTTTATTAAGCAGCGGCAGTGGAAATTCGATCGAAAAGTTGTCCGATGTGATGCCAAGTTTGATGGCGTCAGAGGAAGATGGTCGAAACTGAACCAATTTCTGTGAACACTTCAACTTGTTCCTTCTACTTACTCAATCTGCTCATTACTTTCCTCCTCCTCATCTCATATTTCTGCATATTGCTTATCTGGTGCCCAGTAGATTATGAAAATGAGACCTTGATGGATGAAATATACTGGCTTATGATGAGATTTACAACTATCGGATTTGGGGACGAATACCGGGACATCGCGGGGAACCCGGGACTCTTACCAGGGAATGTAAACAATTTGATAGTGTCACTGGTGGTGCTACCTCTGGGTATAGCTATGGCATCTCGTATGTTCTACTTGTATAGAAAGATAGCTGCAGAGAGGATCAGGCGAGCCAAGGATAGTACCGGCAAAGGGATCCGGGTCAAATTCCAGTGCGAATGTATATATACCAAATAGTTAAGCGATCTATAAATCTTGGACCTGTTGACACGTGGCAGTGATTCTGGGTTCGATTGGTCAATTCTGGAAGCTGATTAGTTAATCCCTGTCATGTGATTGGTCAATTCTGGAAGCTGATTAGTTAATCGCAGTCACGTGTCAGGACTATATAATGGTTCACCTCCCAGTCCCCGTCAGTGTACAGATTGATTAATCCGTGGTTTCATAAACCGTCATTTTTATTGATCTATTTTTTGTTAATCCTAGTTCAGAAAATATGTGTTTGTCCCAATAAAGTTGTCGTTTATTTACAGACACATTCGGAAATATTAATCAACTCAATGCATACCAATTAAATTAAACTAATATGACAATTTCTCTATTGATGAACTAATATTAAGTAACTCACAACTGAATAGAGTAGTAGCACCACCCCCTCCTCTAGGAGGAGGTCCTCCCAGAGGCCTGACTTTCTCCAGCTCTCTTTCTCGTACCCTGAGATAAAGACATGTTTCTGGTTTCAACAGGTCGTCAGCAGGGACAAAAGGAAATCGCGGCATGTACGGAATCGCGATTTTTCTCATTATTTGCGACAAATTTAATGTATAGTTTAATATACCGCGAAATGTAATTCGCGGTATCGCGATTTTTGGCCAAAATAATCGCGAAATCCTTTTGTCCCTGGTCGTCAGAGTGGTTTAATTATGTTAAAATTTCTCATGTTCTTCGAAAGTTCATGGTAATGTGAACAATGGTTTGATGAAGACTGAAGAATGATAAAATTTGTTATAGATGAGAAGATGATTTGATATCAGTTTGTGCAGAAGCGACCAACTTAAATGTTACTTGCAAGAAAAACTGTTATCACTTTCCGATCTCCATCAGTAGTCAAGTCTTTAAGTATAACATGAATGCGTGGTCAAACTTTAAAATAATTTGTACAACTTAAGCATGTTACATTCATGGCGAGTTAGCTTCATATGCATATGCCAGAATAACTCGGTAAATTGAAGATAGTAAGAGAAGATCAGCGTAAATAAAAGTTTATCAATTAAGAAGACATGCAAAACTATAAAATAAGGAATTCAGAGTTTTGAGTCAGTAAATAACATCAGAAACTCAGGGTAACGTTAAAGAGCTATTATTCAAACTTCAAAGATAAAAAAGACACAAATCTAAGATTTAGAAGAAAAAGACACACAAAAATTAGATACAGAAATTAGTACACAGATAACAGCGACACACGTAATCAGGTTAATTAAGTAATCATCATTTTCGGATTGAAATATTTCGATTGTTTGAATCCTTTACGTTTTTGTCCAATCCTGGAGCCTTTTAGCATCATGCCAACACAAATAGTGGCGATTGTCATCCAATGTCATTCTACAGTTGCATTGTACCTATAACTTACAGTTGTAGTATCGGTGTAAGCCTTGGTTTAGGCTTAACGGGCTTCTTTGGCTTAGGCTTATCCACTTCAGCACTACAGTATTTAAGATAAATTACGTGTCAAATAAGCTCTTACCATACTTTATAGAATCCTCTGCCTCTCTACTCAGCAACATTTTCAGCTTAGAAAAACTTTTCAGCTAACTAAAAACCATATTATCCTGAGCTTAAACACCACGTGTTATAAACCACGTGTTATGACACCACGTGTTATACACCACGTAAAAATTAATCCACATGTTAAAACCCGAACTATTTCCTTTCTCTCCAAGTGCACGGTAAATGGGTGTTTCACCGTATTTATAAAGTTAATTTTGAAATGAAGGATATTTTGAGGCTCACATACCTCTCATTAGCCCTATCTTTAGCAAGTTTTCTAGCAGCTTTGGAACCGAACGGAGGGTGTGGAGACACATCTATCTTTTTAACTTCCATCGCCTGATAAATTGGAATTATAACGGTATGGGAGGGGGGCGGTTGGTTAGCGAATACCTAGTGCTGAACACAATTATAAAATTATTAGATTTATTACCACAGATATACTAAGTATCAATAAAAAATAATATAGGATCATACCAATATACGGGGAATTTTAACGAGATAGAATAGCAAGCGATGCAAATAATCAATATATAAACTCGCATTCGCCATTCAGTGCATTGTCACGTGGAAATTTAGGCATTAAGTCCCTACCTCTAACCTCAACCCCCTCCCCCGGCCCCCTTAAGTCCTTACCTCAACCCCCCCCCCCCCCCCCGGCCCCCGGCCCCCTCCCCCAGCTCCCCTCACCCCCCCTTAAGTCCTTACCTCGCCCTCTTGATAGAAGGAATCGCGTCGTTCCATCCTGTTCTTGTTGACTAAGTGCCAGTAATAATCTTCACAGCAGTACAGGTACCTAGAGACGTACCAACACTTAATTATTCGGTATTTGGTTTTAAAATTAATTTTGAGCTGCTGGGAAAAGAGCCAAAAAAAGCAAAAAATTTAATTAGTTTTTATTTGTTTCAAGGATTGAGGGATTCACTAAAGTCTTAATCATATTAATTATGACGATAGAAACAACTGCCACGTTACAATAGAGTAATGAAATAAAATAATGTGCTTTTGTACCGCCCATATATATATAGATAGGAACTAACCATGTCAGAGCATTAAATTATAATTAAAGTAATTGTAAACAGTGGTATCCACATCACATCAAACTTTATAGTATTGTAGATAATAATATAATTGTTTCCTTTGTTTTGGCTGATGTTGTGGCGAATGTTAAATTGTTTAGTTCCTGTGTAGTGTACATTACCGGGTTGATATTTGCCACTTGTAGTTCTGGTGTTGTTGATATCTATTATCTATTGAGTATTGATACGTTCAAAGCTAAACTTTAAGCGCTGGTCAGGCTACTTTTGCAGAATGTAATTCTTTTTTAAAGGTTTTGACTGATAGTTCTCATAACTCAAGCACTATAGAATTCCATTCACATAAGAAAATTCAACGTTTTTTTGAGTTAAATTTTGCTCAACACTGTGATAAGTTGTGCCAGAATTCGTTCGGAAATAATGTGATTTTGACGACAATGTAATTTTGACGACATACATTTACTATTCCTTAGACCTTAGTTCTAGTTAGTAGTCGGTACGTGATACGATAAGGCCAGACAAAAGTCCATATTACAGAAGATATAATTTGTCTAATTATCATTCAATTTAAAGCTGTTATAATCACAGCTATTACCACAATAGATCTGGACACTAATATGGCAGTGGACCATATTTGTTTTGGCACGTGACAGTTAGGCTTGCTTTTGATTGGTCAATACTCGAAGCTGATAGATTAATCATTGTCACTCGTCAGAAAACTATGGTACACCTCCTGACCTGCCCACTTGTATCCAGATATATCATCATTAGTATTATAGTTGCCTCATTGTCTTGGTACACGCACAGAATTCCGACACCGCATGGAATACCGCCTTACTCCACAACTTTATTACGCAGTCTTATGTAATGTCTACGCCTTACAGATATAATCAAACTTTTGCACTATTTGCTTTTGCTATATTTTTTTTCTTATAATCACGTGCTGTGTTTCACATGATGCTTCAACCAGAAGTACATGTGAAGTTCATGTAGCAGTGATCAGTGCAAGTGTAGTGTATCTCCAAACATGGACCTAACTTTGCAACTAAGTAGGTTGAAATATTCCGATGAGTAGTTAACCTCTCTTACTAGGAATATTTCCGAATTGAAGCCCAGAACTCGGTATATTACGTGATGTTATACTATACAATTACGTGATGCTCTTCAGTCCGTTTATTTCAAAGTGATGCCCAAAATCTCCTCCTATTTCTGTTAACTATTATATTGCTTTTAATAAGTCTTACGCAACTCAAAGACTTTGCACCTTTCTATAGCATAGGGTTCTCGTTCATTTCGCTTCAAAGTTTCTTGCAAGGTCGCACTATCTGTGTAAAAAAACGATTACTTTTACTTTTATCGAACGTAGTCTTGAAATTAATAAAATTACTAAAACGACAAATTATAGCTTAACTCTGTTTCTTTGCTATTAATCTCCTCTTTGCAGCAGCACAGCCACAAGAAACCAGCCACACGGCTACATTGACTCCGGGCGGACCACTAACATGAACACAACCAATTCTCCAACTCCACCCTACCTGGGATCAGCAACACAGCAGAGCGGTTCACCTGGGCTACATGGCTCATGGCAGTGTTCCTGGCTTCACTTATAGGGGACACCACCATACTAATCGCTTCAATCAAGTACCAGGCCTTCAAACTTCATCCTGTTATCGTGATATTTATACAGCACATTGCAGTCTGTGATCTTATCATGTCGCTGGTGGTCGTGATGACTCAAAGCGTTTCTTTGATAGCTGGTAAATGGGTCTTTGGACCAGGAGTTTGTTATGTGAGACCCTACATCAGTTTCTACTGCACTGCATTAAGCTTGCTACTGATATGTGCTATGACTGTGATTAAACTGATTATCGTGAAGAACCCTCAGAAATCTAAATGTTGGTCGGGAAAACATGCCCACACACTTTGTGCGGTACTATGGACTTTGTCACTTTATGCTCCAGCAACATTCCTTCTGATAGATAGCGGAGATGTTCATTATGATAACAGATTGTACACCTGCTTCTATACCTTCACATCTACTGAGTGGAACTTGCTGAGACCCATTAGTTTGATAATATTCTCCCTAATACCTACCCTCATCACCATCACAGCGTCAGCTCTATTGATAAAACACTTGTTGTTCGCTAGAAAAGTAGCCCGACTCTCACAAAGCCATGCTCCCTGGCAGGGTATCGTTACAGTGGTTCTCACAGCTGCAGTTTACTGCCTGTCTTTCCTGCCTATTTCTGCCTATTTAGTGGTGAAACCCTTAGTGAAGGACGAACTGTCACGTGTTTATATCTCCAGAGTTACAGATACTTTGAAGTATCTTAATGTTGTGGCGAATATCTTCATATACACTCTTACTGTCGGGAGTTTTAGGGCCTTCTTAAGAACAAGAATGCAGATGGCAGCTGTCTTTATTTCGCGTTTCTTCTCTAAAAATGGTGAGGAATCTTATTTATTTCATGGTCCATATTGGACATTACATTTCTTAAATGAGACGATCTGCTCAAATAACATGCAGTTTAATGCAATTCGGTGTTTTAGTAATCATTTCTACATATCATAAAGTATACATATTATGTACTCGCTAAAAATACAGCATGAGCATGTACATAATATGTTGACTGTTGAGAGAGGTACACCATTTTCCACATGGCAAAACTCAGGAATTTTGTTGATAAATAGCTGGTGATCAGTTCCCCTAGACCCCATGTTATTCAGTTTGATTATCAGGACAATCAGACGCAGTATCGCAAACAGAAAACCCCCGAGGATCAGGATGAACTCAGAACACTCACCAAACTGAGTGTTGATTCTCTGCCATGAGCTGACTGTAGCATGACGGCTATCAAGAGCACAGGGACACGATCACAAATTTTATAAAGTAACAAATTTGGATATGATTTGATACGTCATTTAAATTTTAATATTAATCTATTATATCATTGAGTTTCAAAGAAATCTTTTCGGCTTGGAAATTAGTAAATAGATCATTTGTGCGCTCAGGCTTTAAATTTGGCCAACACCATTATTTAAATTTGAGAACATGTACAATCGTAATATAACGTGACTACTTATTCATTAAATTGCATCTAAAGATGTCTCCGTAAGACTAATATAATAAGAGAAATTCTGAAATACAATGATGATAGTTGTAGTCGTAGAACTAAATATGAGTTTTCATGGCATTTGCTCGAAATCTGCTCGAAAAAAGTCACAAGAACAAAAGATATCCAGCTATGAAATCCTCAAATACGGGTCAAATTTGATTATATACAATAAATATGAAGTTTTTGGAAAAATTAAGCCATGCCTAACTTAGTTTGAAGGTGCTAAAAACTCTAATTAGCGCTAAAAACATTAGACGTCCACCACCTGCCAGGTTAACCCGGCTGCACCATCAGAGTATAAATACACCCTACTCCTCAACTAATCCACCACTATTCGACACATCATCTCAACATGAAGGTTCTCATTTTCCTGACTCTAGCTGGCCTCGCCGCTGCTATCGACTACGAGCAAGTACTCCAGTCTCCTGGAGAACTCAAGAATCTGTTCAATGAGTTTAATGTTAAGTTTGGCAAGGCTTTCTCTCCCTCTGAGGGACCCATGAGAATGAGGCTGTTCAGGAACGATCTGAAGCAGATTGTCAGACTCAACAAGGAACACGAGTGGGTCTCAGGTAAACATTTCATATTGTCTTTTTTATCTGTCATTTCAATCGAAAAATTTAACAAAAGTATAGTTATTTAGCAGTTGAAAAAGATTATTTTCTCACTTAAAGCACCATTAAAATAAAATGTAACAACCTTGCAGTTGCAACACCTTTGCACAACAAACAACCTTGTTACAACCTTGTAGCACTAACACCCGTACTTCTCCAGGAATCAACCAGTTCACAGCCATGACAGTTGCTGAGAAAGAACAACACCTCGGATTGAACATCTCCCTCTCTGCCCCCGCCTCGGAGGAGAAACTTGCCCACTGCCCCCACTGCCCTAGAGCTTCTGCCAAGGACTGGAGGAAGGAAGGCAAGGTTGCTGCTGTTAAGAACCAAGGTGGATGTGGATCTTGCTGGGCTTTCTCTGCTGTCGGAGCTGTTGAAACCAACTATGCTATCCAGACAGGAAAAAGGTTTGTTTTAAATACATCATCTAAATCGAGTACAGTTATCTTGAAATAGACCAGAATTTATCTTTGATCTCAACATTTCTGAAATTGACACATTTTCCTGCATTTTAGCATGTCAAGCTTCTAAAAGATCTTGGTAACAGTGATATTCCAGGAAGCAGTTCGCTGAGCAAGAGTACCTAGACTGTACCTACAGCAGCAGCAGAGACGGATGCAAGGGAGGATGGTACCACGAAGCTTGGGCCTACTCTGCTAAGGCCGGACGTCTTGCAACTCTGGCTGCTGCACCCTACAAGGCTAGAGACGGATCTTGCTCTTACGACCGAGTTCACAACGGATTCATGGCTGCCAAAATTACTGGATCCAGAGTAGTATCCAAGGGAGAGGGAAGCATGATCAGTGCTCTGAACTCTGGTGCTGTGTCTGTTGCTTACGAGGTCACTGATGAGTTCTTCAAGTACCAAGAGGGAATCATCCGTGATAACACTTGTAAAAGTTGGGCTAACCATGCTGTCACAGCTGTTGGGTAAGTCCTTATGTCTGTCGAATGGTTGTAGTTCTCATAGAAAACGGTATAAGTTCTAACGAGCTCTTCTCAAACACAAGGATATAACTTGTGAACTCGGCTAGTATATATGAAACATTTGTCATGGAGTTGTAGAGGGAGTTATGTGCCTCGCCGGGCTAAAGTAGTGGATGACCTTGCTGTACGGCAAGTTAAACAAGGATCTGAAACTACTAGGTTCCGTACAGACTCAACTCTGCACCCGTGTCAATATGTTCATTATATGCAAGCCTCTTGATTTATAATCACCGAGTCTAGTAATTGTTTAAGAGAGTTCTCTGGCAGTTACGAAACTCGAGAGACTGTGGGATACTGAAGGGAAAGGAAGCAGTTCTAACGAGCTCTTCTCAAACACAAGGATATAACTTGTGAACTCGGCTAGTATATATGAAACATTTGTCATGGAGTTGTAGAGGGAGTTATGTGCCTCGCCGGGCTAAAGTAGTGGATGACCTTGCTGAACGGCAAGTTAAACAAGGATCTGAAACTACTAGGTTCCGTACAGACTCAACTCTGCACCCGTGTCAATATGTTCATTATATGCAAGCCTCTTGATTTATAAAGATCTAATCTACATTAAGTTTACCAAAGAACCGTACAAAATACCGCCCTGTTATCTTTACTTCCAAAACAAAAGGAGGATCTTATGTACCTGAATATTAAATCCCTTTCAACAAATGCATTTCTTAAATCCATTTCAACAGATCCTTTTCTTAAATCCCTATCAACAAATCCCTGTATTTGACTAGGTCTAATCTTTAGGTACACACACTCGGCAATGATCGTCAAGAACTCTTGGGGTGCCTGGGGAATGAGCGGATATTTCTACACCGCAAGAGGACATCACGGTTGTCAGATCTACAACCACGGAAATGTACCTACCTGGAAATCAACAGGTATGTTGGCAAAAGCCACGTGCTTTTCATGTGATTTATAATGTGTAGTTGACTAACCAAGGCACGTGTCAATTTCATGTGCTCACGAATAATAACCAAATAGTTTACATCGTTTATTTAGCATTTAAGTCAACACGTATTACAATTTTTATTTATTCGTTTATAGATAAAAAATTAAACCCTCGTTTGCAGGCAAGACAGACACTGATGCTGACTACGTCCCTGTTGAAGATGAAGACTGCAAGGGAACTAACGCTGATGGCTGTCCCTGTGGAACAGTGAGGTGCAGCAGCGGAACCTGCAAACACGCTCACATGTGCCACTAAAGAATCTGATAGAAGAAATTCAATGTGCCAATGAATTGTTTGATGTGAAACTTTAAACTTCCCATTATTAAATTTAATAAGCTGTTTGTTTTGTTTATAAATTAATTCATATTCCAAGTAAAGACCCAGGGTTTTATCCGTAGGATCTTAGTTAATAATGATCACCATATTCTGTATGATGTATATGATATCTCTCCCGTTTATCAATCCAATAATACCCAATAATAGCTGTTCACATCACAGTACATATTTGAGCAAAAAGTGTGAATTCATCCAAACGTTTGTCGGGATCTACTAAACAATTTTGACAGTTTGCTATGTTAAAAGTTAATGTGGCTTACTTTTTGGGAATGGCACCGTAGTAGTTAGTTATAGATCAATTTGAAGCGGAGGATAATTCAGCCACTATAATGTCCCTGAGAGTTTGAAATAAAGTCAACGCTAGACTATAATAAATAGTTATTATTGAAATAGTATACCCATCGCAAGGTAGTTTGTCTTCTTCGTTCTCCTCAGGAAGCCCCAGGATTGGAGGAGGAGATTCCACAGAGAACACTGAAGTTCCTCCTAAATTTCCCTTCATCAATCCTGCTTCTCCTGATAACACCAGTCACGTTATAATAATTATATGATAATTGGATGGTAATTGGATGGTAATTAAAAGATAATTGGATGGCAGTTTTGTCGATTTATAGGCCATTATATGAATATCAGATCAGTACTCAAAATTCACATGCTCGCCTGTATATAAAAGTTATGTTACCACGGCAACTATAATCTAATATTCTACACAGCTATTTATGTTTCTTACCTTTCTCTGTGTCTTTAATGTGGTACGGAGGAGAAACTGACGCCTGTAAGGAAACATTACTGAGTTTAGAGTTGTGTGCATCAAAAACGGAGTAATGATGATAGATTAATGAAAAGCTAATTGATGTTTAATTAGCTAATAAATAGTTAATTACCCTGACGGAAGGAGATTCAGTTTCATCGTCACTTCCATCAGAAAGTGGAGGTACAGGAAGGAGCTCCGTGTGACAGAAGGGACACATGTTGCTTCTTTCAATACTTGGGTCTACCATCGGGAACCTGCACAAAATGGGGCTATCTATAGAATGGGGATATTTATAGAATGGGGCTATTTATAGAATGGGCCTATTTATAGACAGCTCAATCTCTGAGATTCACAAAGTATCGGGAGATTAAATTGTGTATTTGTATCGGAGACCTGAACAGTGTGTGTTAGTAACGAGCCCGATTGTGCAATGGAACTTAAGTTTTACTGAATTTTGTTGATGTGAGAATACGTGTGTTACTGCTCTGTATCTAGTTTTAGGGTCAGCTTCATCCAGCAACGTACAAATAGCTAGCATAGTTATAAGTGTTTTTCTGGTGTCACTGTGCCATAATGTGATATGGAAATATGATGTTAGATAAAAGCGTAGCAGCACACCGTAATTTTTCTTCAATGAATAGAAAGTACAGAAAACCAAATGTAGCTGAAAACAAAAAAACTCACTGTTTCACGCGATAAAGAAATTTCCAAATATCTGTGACAAAAATCAAATAGTTTATTATTTACTAACTTACAATACAAGCAACAAATCAAATGCACTTTGTGCAAACCAACCACAATCTTACTATAAATTATAGAAACGAGATAAAAAGAAACCACTAACCGCTCGGAAAGAGGTTTAGGAGCGGGCACGGCTCTCTTTACTCGTGTACTCTCTTTGATGTACTGGAGTATTGTGGGGGGTCCCACCCCCTCCAGCTCTGATATAGCGCTGTAAGTAGATACGGATTCCTGATCCTCGTCACTGGGGTTCAGGTCGGATCGGCTCTCGTCGTTCGTCACAACTAGGGAGTACAGTTAAAATAATAATTGGTTTTAATTGATTTTTAGCAAATATTATTCGTGAGTCAATCTGACACAGTCACTAAATTGTTCAATAGTGATACATATTAGTGACTGTGAAACATCTTTGTAAGAAGCTACACCATGAATTTTACATTTTAATGTTCAGTTCATACCTGACTCCTGACTGACAGCATGTAGTTTACAGTCACTGGTATTAGTCTTGATATCAGAGTCATTGAGTTTCTCTCCGCCCTTCAGCAAAGCTGGAGCTGTGGTGAAGATCAAATAGCATATAAGCATGTGATTTTGTAATGTAGTCAATAAATAAATAAGTCAATAAACTCGTACATGCGTTTATTAATGTTAACTCACAATGACAATCTTTCCACGTTTATCAAAATTCTATAAGGTCAATAAAATCTGACCAGAAGGCCCAATCTCTAAAAATGCTACAACAAAAGTGAGAGGCAAACCGCTGGTTGTTTCAATAACTGGAAGAGGAGGATAAGGTGAGATCTCCTCAGCAAATTGAGCAGGCCGGAAGGAGGAGATGTTACTCCCTGATAGCAATGTGATGTCCGTCTGGCACATTTTCTCCATAGCAGTCTGGTGTAGAGTGAAAAAAGCATAAAATTTATACAATAGGATGACTCAAAAGAGGGGTTACAAAATAAACGGTAATTTTATTTGGTTCAATGATGCATTTTCAATGGTTGCATTAATGATGACAAAAAATCAATTCGGTGGCAGTATATATATTACTCTTGTCAAAACATTTATATAAGGCATTGTCAAATTAACTTGCCTTAGATATCAGTATATAAAATGTAACTTACAATGGGTGAGATGGGAGGTAATATAGTCACACTTCTTGGTAGGTGTGTAATGTGATCAGGGGATGACTTTTTCTCTGGTTGTTTTTCTAGTTGTTCAGGTGTTTTCCTGGCTGTTTCAACTGATTCGACTGTTTCAACTGATTGGACTGTTTCAACTGATTGGACTGTTTCAACTGATTCGACTGGCTCTATGACATGTTCAGTTGACTTGATGTCAATATCAGTAGCTTCTGATGACATTATAACTTGCTCAATGGGGTCAACAGTTTGTTCTAACTTCTCGGCTTCTCCATCGGGCCCACTTGCTTTATCAATAGCTTCATCAACAATATCTAAAATCTCTGAAGCAACCTCATGGTCTTCTCCATCGTTTGACTCAGGATCCATTTAAGAAACTGGCCCTAGGATTGTGTAACAATTTAAAATACAAGTAATTTACTTTACAGGGCTGTAACAATGGCTATGATAGTAGTAATGCGGTCTGTTATTTATGCTGTCCAGTTTTAGGACTTTATAAAGACAAAGCCTTCAAATGAAAAAAATTAAAGAGCCACAACAGGTTCCAAAATATATCGGATGTAATAAAGCACATTCCACACACTGACCATACTTCTACCAGCAAATTTAAAGACAGGTTGCAATGAATTAAAGACTGCGAAGCCTTTAAAATGATCAAAATTAAAGACACTGAAGCCTTCGCCAAAGTTAACCGTCTTTATATAACAAACTGAGTGTAATAATTTTCCTGTGTGTTGGTTATACAAAGATGGTAATAAATTGGATGGGATTGAATATCCAGGATCATAAGCTCGATTATATGAATCACTCTACACCGCCACAAAACATCACTGACCGGTTCACTAGCCGGTTTCCTCTCTAAATCATACCAAATTTACTGCCACAGCAAAAGCAATCTATGGGCGCAGAAACCGGGGGCAGGGGGCCATCCAGGGCGGTGCCTTTTTCAGCGGGGGCGCCAACAGGCAATGTTGCGCCATTGGGGCCATCGCCCCCCCCCCCCCCCCCTCCCCTCTCCATAAAATATTGACAAGGGGCGAGAATGGACTATATTTGGGTTTTATTTATTTGGCCTATCCGCCATTATTAGCTGCAGTTGAGGTATCTGCAGTGCAGTTAAACTATCAGCATAGTGTTGTCAGCCTATTTTATATACTGTAACTATCTAACGACATCCCCCTTTAGGTTATTCTATGTAATACAGTTCATTGTAAGTTGTTCCTCATTCATTACCTGGTTTCATTGAATAAGTGCAATTACAAGAACCTCACATAATAACCTCAAATTATTTTGTAACATCTATCCTACAGAAGTGTTGAGATATGGCACCAGTCAACGTTATTCCAGCGCTGATGCCGGGTCAGTCCATTCAAGATTGGGGAAGACTGTTTAAGCGAGCAACGGCACTATTTGCATCAGAGAAACAGAAAATTGACTCTCTTCCAGTTTACGTTTGCAGAAATGAAGGAGAAGTGGAGATTGCATTACTGGTTGTAGAAGAAAATACTGATGATGATCTAGATAAAGCACTCAAAAGGTTGAGCGAGCTTGTAGATGGTAAACCATCACGGGTTCTAGCGGCTCAAAAGTTCTTTGATTGTCCTGTTACTGGGGAGCTCAAGACTACATTCTTCATCTTGAAGAAATTAGGGAAAGAAGCAGTATTTTCAAATGATGTTGTACTGCTGAGATTCTTAAGTCTCATACCCTCAGGAGTTAAGTTTCATGAAGATAACAAGGCAAAGATAAAAGCGGATATGACGGATGCGGAATTACTGGAAATGTTTGCGTTGCTACAGCCACAGCTAGACAAAGCCCAAAACCATACTAAGCAGGAGTTGCAGATTAACATAAAGCAAGAGAAAGAGGACGGTTTCGTCTTCGCAGCAGATTTGGAAGAGAATCAGAGACCCACAGACTACACCGGAGAGTTAGATGCCTTGAAAGGTGAATTGGACTCCATTAAGCACTACCTGTTAGACCAGCATGAAGAGAACTGGACAGAGGAAAGAGAATGGGATGAAACTGAAGAGGTGTATTATGGAACAGAGAACAGGCAAAGAAGCACAAGAAGATGCTATACATGTGACAGGCAAGGTCACATTGCCACTCAATGTTTTAAACGTAAATGCAAGGCATGTGGTAAGCTGGGTCACAGTACTCATGAATGTGAGAAGAAGAAGTCAGGAGGATACTCAGGAGGATACTCAGGATCAGGAGGATACTCGAGAGGATCCTCAAGCTCAATGGGACACCCAGAGGGGCAGTCTAGAGGAAACAAACAACGTCCGCAGCAGAAAGACAATGGGAGAAGAGCAAACTTATGACTAGACGGACAGATTCAGTACAATGGTAAAATAGTTGCAGCGAGAATACTCCTGGATAGTGGAGCAAACACATCTCTCATCAGTGCTGAATTGCTTCCTGAACTAGAAGATAAAATTAAAGATGGGGGCTCTATTAATGGGATTGGTGGTAAGCAGAAAACAGGGGACCCAGTGCAGTGTGATGTGATGTTTCACTCGGGATGGACCCAGACTCACTGGATGAAACCTACATTCTTACCCGCCCAGCCGGACTTGGTTATCCTTGGTATGGACTTTATGCAGAAGTTTGGGAAGACCGGATTTGATTGGGAAAAGGGTTGCGTTAAGCTGGGCGAACAGTGGGTATACTGCCTACTCAGCGAGGACAAACAACCTACATACAACATCAACCCGGAGCTTTCTAATGAAGAAGTAGGTAATCTTAAAAACGTGGTAGATGAATTCAAAAATGTTTTTGCATCTAACCCCAAAGCCCCTCGCAAATACAAGGGTCCTCAACACTATATTGTAAGTGAAACTAATAGAGTTAGCTTTGATAAGCCCAGGAGAGTCCCTGAAAAATGGATGGGACACATCAACCGCCAAATTGACGAAATGTTAGAGAATGGGATCATTGAACCGTCTGCATCGCCATACAACAGCAATGTAATCATAGTTGATAAAAAGGATGGGGATAAACGCTTTGTAATTGATTATCGTTCATTAAATAAGGGCACTATTAAAGACTCGTATCCTTTACCTAACATAGACGAGCTTATAGACAAATGCCAAGGCGCAAAATACTTTACGCAACTTGACCTTGCGGCTGGTTACTGGTGTGTGCCTATCGCTGAAGAAGATAGACATAAAACAGCATTTAGCGTGCCGCGTGGTAAATACCAATGTTTAAGAATGGCATTCGGACTCAAAAACTCAGGTCCTACTTTTCAGAGGAATATGGATGCTATTGTGAAGAGTGCTAAGAAGAACATGACTAAGGAGCAGACTCAAGATGGTTCTGGATTGGACGATTACTCTGACAACCTGATATTATTCTCCAGGAATCTGGAAGATCATGTGAGTATGCTTAAGATCGTCATGAATGAATTGAGGAAAATGAACATGTCACTCAGAGTTGACAAATGCGAATTTGGCTACACTAAGATTGACTTCTTGGGATTTGTTATTGACGGAGTTAGTGTGGGTCCTTCTGAAGCTAATATAGATAAAGTCAAGCAGTTCCCTAAACCTAAAAACAAGAAAGAAATCCGGAACAAGATAATGAGATGGTTAAATGAACTCGAGGCTGTTGAGTATGAAGTTAGGTACATCCCTGGAGAATTGAATGGAGTAGCTGACAGTCTGAGCAGAATTGTGGTAAAGACTGACATTAAAACGGAAAGAAGCGATGCAGAAGCAGAAAGTCACATTTATGCTGAGTTGAGTAAAGATGGAGAGAATGACAGCTCATTGAAAAATGCCCAAGAAAACGATGCCTGGATTAAGTGGACTACATCTAGAATACAGAGCAACAAGGTTATCTCTAGAGGACCTTATAAAAACACTAAATATCTAAGTGTTGACAGCTCAGGGCTGTTGTATAAGGGAAGACGTATTGTAGTGCCACCAAGCCTTCAAGATAAAATAATTCAGGAATACCACTGCCAAAGCCATCCCGGGCCAGAGATAACCGCAACCCAAATCAGGGCTAGGTTTTGGTGGAGAAGTTTATCTAAACAGGTAGATGCGTTCACCAAAGACTGTAGAACCTGTATTCAAGCCAAGAGTAGACCTGATAAGGCTGAAATGATAATCACTGATGTCCCTAAACCCCATGAGATGATTTCCTTTGATATAGGCTCAATGCCTAAATCGCCCAAAGGTAATTGTTGTTTCATACTGTGTGTCGACTTATGTACCAAGATGATAAACGCTACGGCTTTGCCCAATCAGACATCTAAGGTCCTCAAAGAAGTATTTTGGGAGAAACATATTGCCTATTATGGAGTACCTAAGATTCTAGTCTCTGACCAAGGCCCTAATGTAGACAAATCAGCCATCAAAGAACTGTGTGATGAGCTTGGTATCGAGAAGCGCCACTCAAGCCCATACCACCCACAGGGGAATGGATCGGCTGAAAGATCAATTCAAACCGTTAAAGACAGACTGCGTGCTATGATAATAGCTAGGCAGATACCTGTAACAGATTGGGATACCCTTCTTCCAGAAGCTGTGTTAGAGATGAACAGTCAAATGAACAAGTCGCTTAAGGCGTCACCATTCTCATGTACTTTTGGTAAAGATGCTAGACTAGCAGTTGATAATTTCTTCCAACTACCAAGTATTACCAATGAGCTCAGTCAAGAAGAGATCTTAGTAGCAGCTAATCACAATCGGGACATGGCCAAGAAAGCATACAAGATTCAACATGACAAGAATGCCTCAAAGGAGAGTAAGGAGTGGAAGCAAGGAGACCGAGTGCTAATAAAGCGTACACATGGTAAACTTAATTAATTAATTAAAATTGAAATTTAAAAACACCACTATTAAGCGTACACTTTTACTCAGCAGTGTCACTACAACTAGTTTACAAAAATACTTTTAAAACTATATATCAAAAGCAAAATAAAGTTCTATGTATAAATTCGTTCATAAAACTTCCAAAAAGCTAATATAATTTAGATAAGTCAAAGAGAGGGTTAAAATTATTAATAAAACATTTTTGCTACCTCAGTGTCAGATAAAGTAAACAAATAAGTCTTCAGTGCGGACTTAAACGCCTCAACAGAATAACATTGTTTAACTGAGTCTGGTAGTGCATTAAAAACTCGTGGACCAACCACACTAAAACTACGATCACCAAAACCCTTGGTTGAACGATAAGGGACTATGAGCCTAACAGTGTGTCCATGGTGAGCATACTTAAACATATCTTGAAGGTACAGTGGCGCTATTCCATTAATAGCCTTAAAAGATAGGAGACATATTTTAAAAATCACTCTTTTAGGTATATTAAGCCAGTGCAATTTATCAAGATCATCGCCTAGGTGATCAAATTTATATTTTCCTAAACATAAAAAGATCTCGCCTAAATGGGTTGATGGACCATTCCACATTGTTAGGAAACTCAGCAATGTCAACTGGGAAATCACAGATTCTAAGGGTAAACATAGAATTTATCACAGTAACCTGATGATGGACGCAGGCACCAGAAAAGAACCCGTTGCAAGCAGAACATCAACAGATACTGAAGAGGTGGAAGCAACAAACACACCAAGAATCCATGAGATCATCATGCCATCGTTACCCACTACCAGTACCATAAAGGCTCCGGATCCTACACTACTGATATCTACTACACCTACATCGCCGGTAGAAAACCTTTTGGATCAGACACTAATAGACACCCTTGATATGCGGAGATTTAGGGAACATGTTCTGTCAGAAAGCCCTGAAGCAATAGAGGATTGCCTAAGGGATCCTGAGGAAACCATTAATGAGACGGGGATCGCTACTGAGGAGAGTACCGAAACTACGGAAGAGGTCGCTACTGCAGAGGTTATACCTACTTCATCTAATGCTACACGCTCAGGCAGAGTCTCTAAAGCTGTAATAGGTAATAGACTCATTGACCAGATTGAATAGACTTTTGAATTTATAAACACTTTTTATTATGACTGTAATCAATAGTGTTTAATGTTATTAATTGATACATTGATAGTTTTCTAAACCTGTTTGTACCGCCAGATTTATATGGTTTTTAGGGGAGATATTGAATTATTTATGATTTTTATTGACCTATTTTGATATGGTTATTATCATTTTTACTATTATTTTTTCGATACCTTTAGGGTATTTGAAATTGACTCAAACAAACCGATGCTATTTATCAATTCTTTTAATTTATTGAACATTGTTAACCTTATACGATTTTAGCTGGGCTTGAAATTTTCATATAGATTTGGGTTTTTCAACTTTTGAAGAGAGGGTGTGATGTCAGCCTATTTTATATACTGTAACTATCTAACGACATCCCCCTTTAGGTTATTCTATGTAATACAGTTCATTGTAAGTTGTTCCTCATTCATTACCTGGTTTCATTGAATAAGTGCAATTACAAGAACCTCACAGTGTTAACTTCTTAATATTGTAGTCACCACTTGCAGTCCAAATTTACATTCATTGCTAGAATTCATTACTTCAAACAAGTTTCCAACAATCTTTCCAGGTTCTCCCTCGCACCTTTTTGAGACCAAATCCTGTGTGCAAGAATAATTAAGAATTTTCAGGACTTCACCCTCAAAACCTTAATGGATTTATCAATTGTTATGTTTACTGGGCTGCGCTCAGCCTGTCATTCCGCCGAATGAATGAACATAATAGCCTGAGGTCCCCAGGTAATTGTTATGTTTGCTTGAGAAATAAGGACTTTATAAATACACTTTTATTAACCGTAGTTGGTAGTATTGATTAAAAGTAGTTTTGGGTTGTCGAACTGTTTGTGCGGGCAAAATCATAAAACATATTAAAAAAGATTGTTTTTATTTTAAAATGATTTTTAATAGCATATCAAAAAATATTTACTGGGCGGCGCTCAGCCTGTCATTCCGCCGAATCTTTATTTGGCGTGCTGAACATAATAGCCTGGGCCCCCAGGTAAAAAATATGTGCTTTATTTATTTTTACCTGAGGACCCCAGTGCAGGCTATTATGTTTATTAACATAATAGAATAAAGATTTGGCGGAATGACAGGCTGAGCGCGGCCCAGTAATATTTATTTACGTCATTGTACTGCAAGCGCACTTGTTCACATTAAGCGCAATTAGAGCTTCAGTTAAAAACAAGGTAAAAATTGTCATACGTTGTATGACCCGCCGCGCACGAGTGCGCGGCTCCCGGCCCTGTATCGTTGAAACTCTACAGGGGTACTGTAGTGAAACGACAGTGTGGGTCACCACGTGATACAAGGTAAAAGCAGCCACGGCCACAAATTATTGCACATGACATAAGATTTTAATAAAATTTAGCAAATCCATGGATTTGCATTCGTGGATTTGCATTCTATTTGATTGACGATGTCAATCCGTCGAGATCGTTGCTCTGCGAAGCAAGAATGCTAGTTCGCGCGGCGCGTCGAAGCGGCGAAGTCCTCCAACATTCTATGCACGAATATTTAATATTTTGGTGGTTACACTTTTTTAAAAAGGTGTTCAAAATTAAATTTGGTATTTTGCGCGCACTTTATGTTTTGTATTTTAATTATTCCATGTCTGCATCAGTCAGAAGCAATTTTTCCCAAATATAGGATTAATTTAAATGTATTTATTACAATTATAGTAATAATTATTTTAAAATAAAACTTAAATTTTAGGCGTGCCGCGCATATTTTCGTCAATTTATAATACATAATATAATTTTTCATATCAAGTATAATATAATTTTAATAACTTGGAAATATTGTTATAGACAACAACCAAACCTATTATCTTTGCTTTGTTAGGTTTACTGGGCGGCGCTCAGCCTATCATTCCGCCAAATCTCTATTCGGAACATAAATATAATATAATAGCTTACCTGAGGACCCCAGGCTTTAATATTGTTAGGCGGAATGACAGGCTGAGCGCCGCCCAGTAAACCTAACAAAGCAAAGATAATAGGTAAATAATAGCCTGGGCTGGGTCCCCATGTAATGAAAGGTCAGTTCTTAAATTGATAACCATTATAATTAACCAACCCCAGTTTAACAAATCTGATTACTTTTGTCTGCCCAGGAAACCTTACTGGCTGGAGCCTAACTTTGAAAGTAAAAGAGATAGCGTCTTCCGGTTTTTTGCAAAATGTTCGTTTCGCAAAAATAACGTTTCCCCCCAGGGGGAAAATTGAAAACAACGTAGATTTTGAATTATCGCAAAAAGTCATATTTTAGGCCTTATAAAACTGCGTAGCTTTAACTTTGCAGATTGTTGTTCTCTGATTGGCTGAATCGTATCACGTGGTACGCGGTACAATTGCATTCTTGGAATATTTGAAGCGTGCAAATGCAATGAACTAGCGAGCGCGCGCGGAGTTCAACATGCTGTGAAAAGGCGATCACCCTGTAGTAATATCGCTAGCCAGTAAGGATTGCTGGGTGCACTGACAAGCTGTTAATGTGCTGTTACGAGCGTACTAAATCACTTTACACATTACAGTCGATTTCGAGATTTTTCTGAAAGGGCCCCCGAGTCTTGTGTGTATCGAGTCGAGTGTATTATCATCCGTACAACTTAGGGCCCCGCAGACCCCGCTATGCGGGAGGCGCCGTACAAGGGGGGCGCAATTTTCCTGAATTTTAGGCCCTATCACTGAAAAAACGTTTGTGTATTTCCCTGTCCAATTTAGCGTTCGGTCGACGCGAAAAAAATATTTGGGGTACCCTTTTTTGCTTCAGGGGGCGCAAAAAGCCTTAGGGGGGGGGGGGGGGGGCGAGAAAAAAGTACCCGACCTTTTTTTTTTTTTTTTTTAAACTTTTTTTAGGGACACAAAAAATTTTTGGGGGGCGCTTTTTGTCACTGAGCGGGGGGGGCGCCAACAGGCAAAGTTACGCCACTGCATCCGTACTGTTATTTTTGTTTTTACTTTTCGTTTAATTGTGTATATTGCATCGCATAATTAATGCCAAATAAACGAATGAAAAGACATGTTTAAATGCATTGATGATTGATAAATAAATGTCAAAACTGAAATTATCGTCGGTTGTTAAATTAATGAAATAGCCATACTGACGCGATTCCTAATAACAATGTCCATCCCACAGAAATGTTTCTGAATTCTGATTAGCAATAATATCCTTAAATTACATTCTCCTCTTCTTCTTCTTCCTCTTCGCCACCTTCACTGCCACTGTCACTGTCACTGCTACCACCACCTCCCGCTAAATAATAATAGAATGGTGATAGTATGAATTAGCCTTGAACTGAACTATGATATAATGTTAAATGTTAATGATTTGTCATCTAAAATTTCTTCATCTAGATGTTCGCTTTCAGTAAGATAATTGTTATTCAATTAATTTATAGAATCAACCAATTGCGTACAGCTGTCTCCCTGTTAAAGCTCAACCTGAACCTGTTTAGCATATTAGCGTTTTGGACATTTCTATCTCTATCTCGACATTTCTAGGGTTGCTTGTTGATCGTTCAGTTCGTGGATCCATTGGAATCTTCCCTCTGACTGATTTTTACAATCATTCATATAGTGATAATGATATCAGACTGAATCATGCATCAGTAAAAAGAATTGAATAACACCATTACTTTTAAAAAGGTGCTTATAAAAGAGCTTTCAATTTTCAGCATTGAAGTTTCTTCGTGTAGATCTACTTACAAGGGCACAGGTTGCATGTTGCAGCACAGTGCGTGTAGGTGTAAGATATGTTGGATTCACATTCTCCCAGCGCAGCCCTTCTTGCACATTCTCCTTCCATTCCTGGACCATCTGCACACTCTGAGAAAAGCTTTCAGTAACATTTTTGCCTGCAATTAGCGGCTTCTAAATCTTAGTTCCGATTGAATTAATCAATATTAAATTTTAATTAAAACTTCAAACTGCATTACCACAAATACCACAGGACCCAGGGCAGTGGGTAATCATCTTGTTGGTCTCAGTGGCACAGTTTCCTTGTGCTGCCCATTGCACACACTGTAATGTGTTATCTCCACAATCTGGTATGAACTGGGTTAAGGACACTGAAAGCCACGATAATCGGAAAAAAGGTTTTTAAATAATTTTATCAAGACCGAAAGTGGCAGAGAATGAAGCTTTTAACTTATCAGTTTAACCTCCACATAATTTGCAGGAGAGAGGACATTTGGTAACCATTAATTTGTCAGTAATGCATTGCCCTGCCGCTGCTTTTGTAGCACAGTTGTAACTGCTTTCATCTCTGCATCCTGACAATTTCAGTGTCATGATTGTTGAAATGAAAAGAAATGTATTATTGTAATTAACAAATTAGTATGAACAGTGATGATGTTAGGCCGTAAACTTCCTCAACAGAAGAAATTAAAGGTTCACAGTTATTTTCACAACTTACCGCAGAACCCACATGTTGCCTTGCAGTTTCTTTCCATTTCCTGATAATTACTGAGACATTTTCCCTGATCTCTCAACATCACACACTCATCCTTCTTCAGTGCATCTGTACAAACTGGGCACATATTTGGTACATCAGAAAATATACATTTTTAATACAGCTAGAACGGTTGGTGTGACTGAGCTTTTGTGCCATAAAACAGTAGGAAAATGTTTCCAACCAAAAAATAAACATAAAGAAACACAATGTTAAAATATCGATTCCTCTGCAAGACTGTCTATATCTTTAAATTGGACTCACCGCAAGCACCACAAGAGAGTTGACACTGACTGTAGAAGTCGGGTTTCATGCAGGAGCCAATGAGCGCGTAACTCGCACAATACGACTGTTTGTCTTGACAACCTGGAGATTATAAGGGTGATCAGTACTACTAGCCTACAGCCGGTAACTTGGTGAATAGACCGTTTGGAGGACTATATCTCCTAAAGATCCAGGCACTACAGAGGGTACTACACTGGCTTCGATTGCCTCCCTTTTCCCTGGGTTGTACTAAATGTGCATTTTGAGAAACAATCTTATAAATTACTATGTGCACAACACAAAATGATGATTTGAATGCTATGTAATACCTTGAGCAGCAGCCACAAAGAAGAAGGATGTCGCAAAAACAAACAACATCTCAGCTGAGGAATCTCAAGATGTATGTATCGGCTGAACGTTTGGGATAGTAAAGTCAGTACTAACAGTCGTGATGTTTTATAGTTCCTACGGCAACTACTTAACATGATCCTCACGAAATCTGTAAACATGATGTAAAAAACATAAAACTAATTTTCTATCGTTGATTACCATTTTGCTGCTGAAAAAATCTTCTCCGAATAGAATTCACATTGCTCCTTGAACATAGCCCGCGTTGATTTTACCATTGTGTTAAACCAAAGCTAAGTCTCAATGCTGGCTCACTAATAGCCGCTAAACACATTGCTCCTTCACAAAACGTATTGTCCCTTTGTTTTAGCCACCTGTGAAGTTTAGTTGATGTTTAACAGTTCCTCTGAACAAGGACTCGTAAAATCGATTACAACCTCAAATAAAGCTGTACTATATCCTTGCTAGGTGTTATATAGCTCTGTAGATTGGATTACTACTGCGAAATTCATTCTGTATTTATTCTGGACAAAAATTGAAAGATGAGTAAAATTATTCTGAGATTACAGAATACAGATACTAGGGTTATGGGAATCCTTTTTTTGTATTTTCTTTATGAAAACGGATGTTTTTCGGGTTACCAAACAAGCTATTTCCTTTGGATCACAAATCCAACTTGGTGTTCATGAAATTATTGGATATTATCATTAATCATCTGTTGCAAATGGTTATCACTGATTTCTTGTTTTTAAAAGATAACGACTATGAGAGATAACACATTACACTTTACTACAGCAGGTAATGACAGTGTTAGCAGAGGTATGCACACCTCCACAAGTCAGACGAGTGGACAGATACCAATCTATACTCGATTACCCGCTTTCTGTAAGACAATATTCAATATTTAATTAGTGTTTAATTAGTTAATTACTAATTAGTTAATCTGTGCTACTAGTTTTAATATATTTCAGCAATTTGAAGAAAACTGTTAATTTAATTCGAAGTGAGTGTTTATTTAAGTGTGAAAACTTCGGTGCAGTCTTATATTAATGTGATCCTCATTGTAAAAGTAATATTATCATTTGTTTCTTCCACTTTTTCCTCCTCTTTTTATACCACAGCTGATTGAGTATGCTCCTTCAGAAAAACCGAGATGAAAGACGAGCGGAGCACAAGTCTTCAAAGCAAATGTTTCCTCCTATAAAGGATGGAATGGTAGTGGAACTACCGTCCACTTCCCCTAGGAAATCTAAATCATCAGGTGAGTTTACCTCACAATTATTAGTTCTATTTTAGCCGAATAACTATCTGGTTATGGAATGTAGTGAATGTAGTGGACCATGACCACTTGATCGGGTAATCAAATTATTTGTACCACTTTTTAATGTGTTTGTGAGGGTTATTGATCATGATTTGTTCATAGTTACTAGTGTATTATTACTATAGTTACTGAGAGTGTTATTATACATAGTTACTGAGAGTGTTACTACAGTTACTGAGAGTTTTACTATAGTTACTATAGTTACTTTAGTTACTGAGAATATTATCATCAGGAGCAAAGTCCCGGCCGAGTTCAGCTATATTTTTTGAAGCAGCTAAAACGTTCCACACTAGTAAAGGTCATAATAAAGAGCTACGACAGCGGCTGATGGAGTCTCACATGGTAAGATTATTTTACATACCTTAGTCCTTACATACCTTACATACCTAACATACCTAACATACCTAACATACCTAACATACCTAACATACCTAACATACCTAACATACCTAACATACCTAACATACCTAACATACCTTACATACCTTACATACCTTACATACCTTACATACCTTACATACCTTACATACCTTACAATTTACATACCTAACATACCTAACATACCTAACATACCTAACATACCTTAAATACCTTACATACCTTACATACCTTACATACATACTATTCATACATACTATACAATATACATACATGCACATTGCACTGTTGACTTGTGAATCTAGAATTTAGGTCAATTTTCCAAGTCTCCTGTTGCAAGGTTGCTAGCTTGGTTACTCCTTACAATTTAAGGTTATTTTTACTCGTGGTGTATAAATAGCGCACGGGTGGCGGTGACAGTAAGGCAACAATTGGGTTAAAAATTTAGTTAGAAATAGTCAGCCACATTAACCGGGAATTCTACTCAGAAAATTCATTGAGGACCCGCTGAAAACCAACTTTATCTCGACTACTTATTAAATCTAGACTATAAGACGCTTCTAAAGCGAGATTTTATATTAGCATATATATCTTAAAAGAAGGAAAATTAAACCGTTTATTTTGCTCGAAAAGTTTGTCACACCTAAAATTTGATTGACTTGGTAAAAACCATTGTGATCTTTCAAAGGCTATCCATTTTGACGACTTCTTTTCGGTTTTCACCTGGCCACGTCAAAAGTCGCGACCTCTAAACCTCATTCCTTTGTTTAACTACGAAATATTCTCCGCACTAAACTCACCTGGCAAGCCCGGCTTTGTGGTGTTAATGGAATTTACTTTAAACTACTGTCAAATCCAAACCCACCTGGCACAGCTAAAACAAGCTTTAAAACACCTCGCAATCTCACTATCTGACATTATTTCAACAATGATTTTGTTTCTGATTCTGATCGTCTCGGCTGCTGCCTTTGACAAAGCAGGACTTAAGTCCGGTCTTCAGTCAACTGAAGGACAACTCAGGCTGTTCCGACAGTGGACTGACAAAGAACACAGTGTCTACAGTGCTAAGGAAAAGAAATTCAGGTATGGGGATTTCTTTTAATAGTTTTGTATTATTATGGGAGACGTTTTCTTTTTGAAATATAGTAATACCCCGATTTACTGCGGAGTTTGAATGGAATATAAAATACTGTCACTTATTAAATAATGTTCGTATTCGGATAGTACACTCTCTATAAATGATTTAACTAATATTATTAATCTAACAATGTCACACTGGTGCCAGGTTCCGAGTGTTCAGGAAACATCTCCAAGAGATAGTAGCTATTAACGATGCTCAGGATGACTACGAGTTGGATGTTAACTTCATGGCTGGTCTGACCGAGGAGGAACAGTCCCATTGGTAGGTGTTTAATTACATTCTTATAACCTCTGATACATTATTTGAGAGGCAACAGATACTGGGATTGTGATGATGTGATTTTTCTATACGTACACTTTTCGTTTAACCAGAGAGGCCTGGTATGTAGAGCTTCTAGTCTTCTGCTGTAAAAATATACCAGCTATATTCAGACTATTAGTTCTTCAGAAATCCTCTGAAATTTCAAGTCATCCTTGATCATTGAACCTCAGGTACGGTATCAACATCACAGCTCTCCCCGCACCGGTACAAGAGGCTGACGACAGTGTGCTCCTATCTAACGGACCTACCGCTGGAAGTAAACTGTGGAGAGAGGAAGGTAATGATGATAAGTACACGTGACACCGTTTTGTTGTGTAACTTTTCAATCAGAACTATAACTTTTCAATTAGAGCTATAACTATCTACAGACTACAAGTCCTATCTTATGATAAGTGATACCATGACGCTAATTTACACACAGCTGTCAGTATCTATGATATAACAAGTCATTCTTCTCAGGAAAAGTTACCGGAGTCAAAAACCAAAAAAGTTGTGGTTCATGCTGGACTTTCGGTGGAATGGTTGCTTTTGAGGGACACTACGCTATCAAAACTGGTGGTCTAAAGAATTTCGCTGAGCAGGAATTTCTGGACTGTGTTTATGAGGGTTAGTAACTTTTTAGGTGTTATTTTCTAGAGCCTTCAATCTAGTTATAACACGTGGGCTATTTTGAGGAAATCATTGTTTACTATCATAACATTATAACTTATCTAACCTTATAACGTCGTAATAATAATGATAATTTGATCGGCTGCAGTCAGGGAGCCCATTTCTTGTCTAATTGCTACAGCCCTTTTGCTACAGTTTTTCAAAGAGTCGCTACCATTCGCACCATACCATGGCTATGTAAGTATGTACATCATCCAGCAACATACTCTTGCCCATAATAAATCAATTAAACAATCCAATCAGGACAAAGAGATGGTTGTCAAGGAGGATGGTATTGGCTCGCTTTTGACATGATCAAGAAGACCCAGCATCTCTCTTTAACGAAGGACTACCCTTATGTAGCTCGGGATGGCAGGTGTCAGACCAAGAGTAAACCTAATGGTGAGAGCTTTTATCTTTTTCTCTTATCCTGCTCTCTTATCTTGTTCTCTTATCGAGTTTCAAAGTGGTTTTGTCTTATTTTGAGTATTGTTTTAGGGTCTGCCCACACTACGCCTCTATTCCCCGAGAGTTTCCACGCCAACTGGCGGGAGCTCTGCCCACACTACGCGCCTCGTTGTGTGAATCCAGTTTTTTTAACCCACGCCATGTGGCCCGTCAAAACATGGCGTAGTGTGGGCAGACATTCGGGGAATAGAGGCGTAGTGTGGGCAGACCCTAAGAGGGCTTTCGACTATTCGCGTCTTTTAGATTTTGATACTTCAGTAGTTTACCGGTCATAGAAACGTGGTGGCATGAATCTTTGCCGAATCTATCTCCCTCAATACATATGAGAGAAAAAATATCACACCTTTCAGGTATGAAGGCTGCTCAAGTGATTGAAACAGTGCGACCTCGCCGATCTAGTGGGGACGGTAGTCTGGTACAGGCCTTGAACGAGGGACCCGTTGCCATGGCCTTCGAGATCAAGGGAGGATTCAGCTACTACAAGACCGGAGTTCTGTCAGTGAGGAACTGTGGTAGCACACCTCATCACGCTATGGGAGTCACTGGATACACTCCTGAATTCTTCGAGATCAAGAACAGTTGGGGCGCTCATTGGGGAGATGGAGGCTATGTTAGGTGAGTGTGGTTCTGGTTAATACAGGGTGTACCGCATGTAGTTAAGAGAAAATTTGTCTGCAGTTGCATTGTGGAGATAAAATAACAATATCTCTGTTTTCAGGTTCGACAGGAAGATTGAGAACATGTGTGGTATTTCAAACTGGCTGGCTTACCCCAGACTCAAAAAGACTGGGGATGACTCTGATGATGTTGTCCCTACTGGTAAGCTAACCTCTCCCCTCACCCCTCATCCCTCCCCCTCCCCCCTCAAAAGATATGATTAATACGATAATAATTCAACATTTTGAATCGGAGTCTGAAATTTCGAACTTTTAAATACTAAGTTATAATGATATTATCTCTCCCTCATCAGAGGATGACGGTGGTGATGACGGTTGTGTAGACAAAAACGAAAGATGTGATGAGTGGGCTAAAAGGGGCGAGTGTAAGGATAACTACAGGTATATGGGACTCAACTGCCAAAAAGCTTGTGGAATCTGTGGTTGTAACGATGCCCCTTCCTTAGCTGAACGCTGTCCTGGGTAATTGTAACCGGCTTTGATTTGATTTATACCCCGGCTACGAAACTAAACATTGGCACCTGAATTTTGAACTTTTAATTTGAAGCTGAAGCTTTTTCTAGCCCAGTCCCACTTAATTTCTCGTAAAGTAAGATTAGTAATGTTAAATCTCAGTTAAATAAGGTTCTCAAACCAGGTGGAAGGATAAAAATTACTGTAAGGCTGGCTACGTAACCTTCATGAAGTATATGTGCAAGAAGACGTGTGGACACTGCGAAGGTGATGACGAAGGTGATGACAACAAGTGTCCTGAAGGTCTCAAGTTCTGTAATGGCGAGTGCCAGCATGAGCACTTATGCCATTAACTCACCACGTGTCATGACGTCACACACCACGTGTCATGACGTCACGCACCACGTGTCATGACGTCACGCACCACGTGTCATGACGTCAAAAACTACGAGACGAATACCTCTGTGATTCAGTTCTCTTCAGTTTGACTATGATCTGTGAACTATAACTACGTGTTTTACTTGTATCTAAAATAATAAAATACTGTGATATGGAACTGTAAAGTCTCCCTTGCCAGTGTCTAGTATTCGCTAAATATGCCTAGTATTCGCTAAAATATGCCTTGTATTCGCTAAAATATGCCTAAATAGTATAACTGTCGCTGCCACCTTCTTAACTTGAGCTGCTCAAGTAGTGTATACTTATAGTGCGCTGTACGGACAACAGTCTAACCACAAGTTACTGGGAATATTGCGGAAAGAAATTCTTGTTGATTTACCAGAATTTTGGTATATTGACCCAGAAAACAAATTTGTTGTGTCAAATAAATGGTACCTAAATTGTAGTTAACTGTGCAGTGCTATAATAATCAAGGTTACAAATACGTCTGATTTTAAGCAAAAAATACGTATGCATTAAGTCCTGAAGAAAATACGCGCATTTTCTTTTAAAATACGTGACTGATCTCGTCTTAAACGTGACTCATGTAAAACACGCTTAAAATACGTGCGCGCGGCAATTGTTTCCAATAACGTGTGCTCAGACATGTTAATTTGGTCGAACATAACCTGTATATATTTTTTCTGCATAGAAATATCTGCTTAGAAGTATCCAGAATTAAAATGCGTCACTCCGATTGAATAAATACATATTGTATAATGTATTTTGTAATACGTATTAATAAAAATACAAAATTAACAACTTTGATAGTAATGTTAATTAAACCGACCAGGCAATATAACCTTAAACTCAAGATCAGTCAAATTCCAAAAAAACCTAATTTGTATTATGTAACTGGTCCGGTTCTAATTTTGTACGATGTAGCGCATTCCTGATTCCGGGATTGACTGAGAAGTTTCTAATTCTATGAAAGGTAATTTTCATCCTTTTTTCAGACGTTTATGAACTGGAGAGTGCCCGCTTCAAGGTCCGCTTCTGTCATGTCAAGTTAGTAATATTCAAATTAAAGTAGTTTATATTTCTAACATTAACAACACTTTGAGAATCGTTAGAATATCATGTAAGCCAGATTTTGGCAATTTTCCAATTTAAAAACATGGTTATTGTGTAGTAGAAATTCCAAACCCCCTTCAGGCTAACTTACGTAATATGTGCAAGATCCCTCACTCCTTAGATATAAATCGTTGCCTTATATCGGTTTAATCTGACTTAAATTCAGAGTCCAGCTTATATCTTTATTCAAAAAGGACAAGGAGTGAAAATGTCCGTTCTTTTATTATTTAGTTATTTCAATATTCATCCTAAAAAATTAGACCTGTATGACTATGACTATCAAGTATAGAGACGGTATGTTAGACAGCATCGTCAACTTTGCAAACCACACTAAATTACGCTTAATGGTGCCAGACTGGTGTAACATAGCGACTACTTTAACGCCGTCTTAGTTCGCCTCTCTCTTCCATACTCAACCACCACTTAAAGGACCAGTTAGCTGAAAAAAAAGTTATCCTCATATTTTGACAGATTGTGACAAATAGCAAACTAAGCAACGAGTCGAAATTCCTAAATCTCTAACTGCTCTCTAACGCGTGTAAATAGCGTTTGTATTATTTTGGCGATGACGTCATAAAGTCCCTCCCGCGCGCAGAAGAGCTCGTGAGACTGTATTTTACAGGTAGAAAATGGACATAATACAATCTTTTCCTCCAAATAACTCGAAAAGTAAGTAATTTAGGGTACATGTTGCTTCATAAGTTGTATATAAACATGGCCATTCTGCACAATTTGCACACATTCAAAAACCTTTAGGGCCTTCATAGCCCAAGTTACCAGATACCCATAGTTTTGTATGATTTCTGGAACCGAAAATCAGTTTTTCGCCAATAACTGAAAAAGTAAGCACTTGAAGGCATATGTTTGTTCGTAAGTCATATATTAATATGCTAATTGCGGTTCTTTTGCACCCTGTCTAAAGACTCTATCACGATCCTATCGAAAATGGGCTCAGCACCACGCCCAAAATGGTTTTTGGCGAATTTCTCGAAAAGTAAGGATTTTAGGCCATGTGTTGCTCAATAACTCCTATATAAACATGCATATGCGGCTTCGTTTAAGCCTATTTTGAAGCCTCTACGACCTTCAGAAGCAAGGGGTCGGTTACGTTATTGGGTCAATATGGGCGTGGCCTTCCTGGGTTTTCTCCACGGTCAAAAAAATGTCTCCAAACGAAAATCGTTTATTCATACCTTCAGGAAGGTCTGTGCAAAGTTTCGTGAGTATTTGAACATTTGCAGGTTCATTTCCATAAATGTCCATAATAAATGACTGGAGTACACAACTTAAGAGTTAACTTTAGAGAAACTCATAAGTCATTTATCTCAAATTAAGCTGTTAGTGTCCATGATCAACCTGTGGCGACTATGTTTTACGTGAAATGTAAAAATCAGGAGTAATATTAAAAGTGTATTTTTAGATTAATGTGCTAGCTCATAGTTTTAGAATTGTATAGATTATAACGTTGGTCGTTTAGCCATCTAACAATTGATCGTGCCGTAATATATGGCCAGAGAATAGGGTCTTGGAAATTCTATAATTGTTCAGTGGGTCGATTGACTGAACACGTTTGCACTTGGTATTTAAACTTACCAGTAGTTTATTTATGTTATGTACCGATGATAATGCAATTAGGATAACAACTAGGTAAGCCGTAAGTCTAATTCAAAACACACTGCACACCGTACACTCCGAACAGTATTACTGTTTGGTAGACCCTAGACCGGGTATTTTGGCGGGAATTCTGTTCCCACGACACTGTTCTGATAGAAGCTACTTCTACTAATGGTCCCAGAGGAACGGCCGTAAAGTAGCCAGACTTCTTGTCTCCTGTACTGGCTGACACATGCGGATTAAAGTTATAAATTTCGCTATATGCTATAAATATAATTGCTCTCGGAATTGAACAAACTCCTACTTAAATCTAGATCCTTTCTAAATTCGTTAGAGTTTCATGGACAAAAATAATCGGTACAGTCTCCCTAGCTGCTTGTGTAATTAAGCAATGAAAGCAATCCAAAATTATCACATATGACATAAGTTGTAATAGCAGAAACTTTCTAACCGTACATTCACCCGCCACTGTTCAAGAACCTATATCACTGTTTAAAATCATGACGTGAGCACTGTACATCCAATCAGCTATTCCTTTAGTTAGAATGATAGCCAAAACTATAAGGATTTTGGAGAACTAGGGTAATAGTCATAATTCTAAAATTTGAGTGAGTTACATGTGTTTTATTGACGATGATAAACATTTGTAATGTAAATTACGCTATGCAAGCGCGCACTGAGGGACTTTATGACGTCACGAGGCCACAGCTTATTATTGCAATAACACGCGTTACACGTACGATAGAGAGTTGGTTCTTTCGGCGATACGATTCTTTACCAGTTTGTCACAGCTGATTTAAATCTTAGCCAAATTGGAGACTACAAATTTTTCAGTTAACTGGTCCTTTAAGCGTTCATCTATGACACACCCCACAACACTTACCATCATCCTTGATTTCACATCTTGATTCCACCGGCATCCTCCCACAGGACTGCCATACCCCAGAGGTAGGCAAAGCATCTATATGCTATCCTCTCGTGGGCCAACCAGGCCCAGCCTCTCTTTTTTTAAAAAATTTTAAAGAGAAAAAAAATACAGCATTCGTAGCTGTCCTTTCTAAACTTACCCACAATTTACAATATATTCGCTCGGATGAGCAGTGGAAATACTAATCTTGTCCTCTCCAGAACGAGTCCAATATATGATAAGAAGCTAAGACTGGTGATATTACATTAGTACCACTACCATAGATACCTGCACATTAGACAGCAGCTGTGCTCTTGTTACTGAATCTCCATAGTGAACCCTCAACTTAACTATAACTTTATTATCTTAACTATAACTTAATTAAGTTTTTTATTTACATTATCAGACACGCGTGTCATTGTTAATTATCAATTATATTCACATTACCTTAGTCTTATATCGTATGCGTTGCCCTGGCAACACGAAATATTTTAGTGGTCGAATATTTATTTACATGCTCCGTTGCTGAGTAACAAAGTGACTCTAATGCATGTATCTGGGTTTGGAGATTATATTACCTGTGAACAGTAATTGTAAACTAAGAGTTGAAGTATGTTGAATATTGGGTTGACGGGGGAGCTAGGTTACATTGAATTAGAAGGTGTTATTGTTTGGTTCTAGAAGGTTCAGAGACAAAACTTGTTAGGTAGTTTAGTAGTTTAGTAGTGTAATTAGCGATTCCTGATGGAAACTCAGAGAGTGGTTACCGTGGTAACACGTTAAATCTGAGGAAATACGATTACATTTTTTTAAATAACCCCATGAAAGAATTAATGTTCAGTTATTGATGAGTTTCTATCACAAATCATTACAAGCTTTAAAAATTAATGACAGCATATGGTGAGTCATCATTGACTTAACAATATTGAATAATTGTTTATTACTTATTGACTAATTATTGACTAATTATCGAGTTTTTAACAGGTCGACCCGGTACATCTCTCCAAAGGTTAGACGAAGCAAAGGCAGCTTCCAAAAAATCCCCATACACAAAAGAAGAAGTTCCTAAAGTCGAGTCGGAGAAACTCCTTGCTTCTCCTAAGGAGACTACACCCAGATCTGTGAGTATACAACTACGTGACGTCACTCTTCACGTGTCATGACGTCACTCTTCACGTGTCATGACGTCACTCTTCACGTGTCATGACGTCACACTCCATGTGTCATGACGTCACATCCCACTTATGTTGAGTGTTTACGTTGTAATTCTACAGAGTAAGAAACCAGTGGAGTTACCAGAGAAGGAAAAAGCGATTTTAAAAGACTGGTTACAGAAAGCCTCTGTCACAGGTACTGATATTTTCAAAGTATCTCAGATCTGTGTTTTCTTGTGTTCAAATTCTGTTTTCTTGTGCTCTACATTCTTTTGCTCTGCATTCTTGTGCTCTGAATTCCAGTATAATGTATTCCAGTGTAATGTATTCCTGTGTAATGTATTCTTGTGTAATGTATTCCTATGTAATGTATTCCTGTGTAATGTATTCCTGTGTAATGTATTCCTGTGTAATGTATTCGTGTGTTTTGTTTGTCACACGTATATTGAGGGACTATATAGGTGAATTAATCAGTCCGAGTCTTTTTGCTATATTACAACTAAGTAATTTTCTCTAGTATATCGAAAACAACGTGGCTATATTTCTATATTTCTATACCAATTTACTGTATTATTAATAAACTACGATATTTCGAAATCTGTTGAGTCACGAGAAGTAGCTGTCTGAAATGAACAGCTTACTTTATGTTATAAGTTAACTTTGATGGAGTAGATCGTGGTCGGGGCGGCTGACTTTAAACGGAGAGGATTTTATTTTTATTGTTACTCGCTGAGTCAAAACCAAAATGGGAGGCTGTTTTGACTTTTGAATTCTGCTTGTTATTAGGAGGTCTGCACCATAATTATAAAGTTTTAAGTTCCGTTCAAGGAAGATCGGAAAACACTTTGTTGTTTTGACATTATGTTAGTCGCGAACAGAATAAATTCAATAATAGTTGTGAATATCATAGATAGTTCGCATATCAGATAGAAAAAATGCTTGGTTCTGAGGAACACATAACAGACTGAACACCATGATCACCGCTATTGGTATTACTAATAAATAGCAACTTATCGAGGACGGGAATTTTGTGCGTATTACTCCCAAAACTCAAAACCCAATAACTATCGTCTGATAATGTGATTATTGTGTGTTTATAAACCCGGGTATTTGAAGGAGACCTCACATTCGAACATTTTGTTAACCATGTTGTACTTCTCAACTCTTCTCGCTATACTCGGACTACTCCTCGCTGCAGATTCATCTGTCGACTAGCCTGGACAAAGACTGGTAGAAAGACGCTACAGGGGATTAAAGTTTGGAGCGTCAAACCAGGACTATGTTCTCTTCAAGCCAAGAATGGAACCAGTACAGGAATCTTACTCGCTGTGCGGATGGGTAAAGAAGATACAGTCTGGTGATGCTTGCTGGTTTGCTTACGGAACATCTAGTGATACCAATGAGATTACCTCAGCAGATAACGGATATTTCCTCACGTTGAGCACCTATGTAGATACAAGGAGCAAAGTAACTGACCAGCTAGGAACATGGAGACATGTGTGCTACACGTGGAGTCTCACTACTAGAGCAGCTAGTGTGTACTATGATGGGTTACTTCTCAGATCAAGCACAACCCCCTCTGGTAAGAAGCTTGGTTTAGACGGGTATATTGTACTGGGCAATGAGTTTGATACATATGGAGGAGGATTTGATGATGCTTTTGGTGGTGAACTGTTCAAGGTCAACATGTTTGACAAAGAACTGAGTGCTGCTGAAGTGAAAGAGATGACGGACGGTGGTCTCTGTTCCGAAGTAGAAGAGAAATATGGACGAAGTAGGTATCTGAAATGGGAAGACATGCTTCTTGGGGAGAAATCAGGAGATGTCACTGAGATCGATGTAGGCTGCACCCCTGAACCAAAAGAGAAAGATGAAGTGGTAGAAACCAACAGTACAGAGGACTGTGAATGTGAGCAGGGGAACGGAACAACATTCAGCCGCTGGGACCTGCTACGAGGAGAAAAGTTCTTCAACAAGACGGTCTCCGTGGAGTTAGTGGAGGAACTGAAACAGACATGGGACGTTCTTGGTAAGTTTTTAAATGTTTCAGTAGATTTATGTTTTTATGGGATGCACTGACTACATACATTTTTACAGAATTATTATATTTACACTTGTCTTCTAAGTTAAGCACACCCACAGGAGATTTTGAAGGTGCAACAGTGACAGAAAGGTTTATTTCTCACTTCAAGTTTTTTCACGACGGGCAAACTTGCAGCTGATTGGACTGGATACTCTACAGTGTGTAACATGTAACTGCGATCGTAACTGTAAAGACGTACGAGAGTCTAACCTTTATTATCCGTTATTATCCGTTATCTGCTTTCTTTGTGAATTTCTTGTTGTCGCTTTAGGTAAAAAATTAACTTGCGGCACAAAGTTTGCGAACTTTTGCAACCTAATCCGAGATAGAGAAACTGTGTCGTTATATTTGTGATTAAGATTTTGTAAGGAATATGATTTTCAAAATCCAAGTATTAATCTTTTCCGTTTTCTACCTACAATGATATTGTTCTTTAATTTGTACTTAAATCTGAAATTTCGGCTGTTTCAATTGTCCAGTCATTAGTTATTCAAGCCACTGAAAATGTAAAATGGTGTAAACAAGTAACCATCAATCTTCTTGTCAATGATCAGCACCAAGAAAATACTACGTCTTTTTACATGAAGTATTGCTAAATATAACCCAACTAAAAACCAACACTGTAGCGTTATCAAGTAGTAACACTACTAGTTTACTCTTTTACTGTTATCTCAACTAGGAGTTCATTAACCATTTTTACTGTACTTTCATATTTATCCATTCTCATGTAACATAGTTCTCGTATATGTTTGTTTGTTTGTTTATAGAACCCGTCCCAATCTCGTATCGGAAAATGAAGAAACTCAATTCTGAGTGTGAATACGGGTGGTACCTGCAAGAGTGTTCATTAAGCATTTAGAGTTCTGTAAAACTGCAGTTCTCGTATATATCAATATGTATATTACCTATATATTTTGGAAACGATCTGATATTTTTAGGCTCCTTTATAATTGTTGTACCATATGGTTACCCTTATCAACGAATCAAACACCATTTGGCGTGTTAACATCTTCCAAACACGTATTTTGTAACGTGAGTACAGGTGTTAGAAGATAAGTTGTTGCCAAGGTAACGGTCACAGTTTTGTCATGACGACTATCTTCTTCTTTCAGATAAAGTTGTGATATCAGATCTAATCGAGTGTGCTGACAGACTTACTCTTACCTCCGTAAGTTCTTATTATTTTAATAAAATTTAAGAATTATGATTATAATTTGAGTCAAGTTTAAGTAATCAGTGAAGTGATTAAGTAATTATTAGACCTTGCGCGCTTTATTATATTTCCCACCTTTTACGCTCTTCAAGGCTCTAACATAGCCTGATATTGGTTCACTAACTCAATTTCTAACAGTTTTCACGAATCAGTATACATGACACAATTACTTGAATTGTAATAAATTAGAGCACCCACTGCATGTTACCAGGTAACGGGACGCAAGTTCAGACCAGGTCCAGCAGCTGCTATAAAACTCTGGCTAAAGAATGCTAACGATGCAGGTAATCTGAAATTTTTACAGTGAGAGTTCATATTTGGTCCTAAGTAACTCTAGGGGGTCTTGGTGTACAGTTGAATAGTTATGTTATTCACAAGCTGGATAATTTAAAAGATGAGCAGCGGAAAAATGCAGTTTTTTATACGCAATCTTCCGATAATTAAATAACAACAGAGACAATTATTATAATGTAAGGCGCGAACGACGAATCTTTTTATAATGATATAAGTATGGTGTCGTGATAGAAAAAACCTGCGTTGCGCGTTACGTACGTTCGTCGCGTTAATAAATTGTAATACACTGCGCGCTTCACATGTGTAGTTATATTCACGTTATATTGTAAATCATAGATAAGAGTTTACTTACTGACGGTGAATTGATGTTTTTATTTAACAAAATCTGGTGAAAATAAATCAAATCGAATAAACTGTTAAAATATTCTTCACTTCAATTTTGTTTGTTCACGGTCATCAATAAAGAATTACATTAAAAACTTAAAGCAATTATTTTTCAACAACCGCCCCGATGTTCCACAAAAACCTGCCCTTCTCAGAAAAACAGATTGCAGAGAAGTTTCTAGACGAATTAGAAGTGCTTGATCTGCTGGCTGGAGGTAAAGAGCCCAGTAACACCAGCCCACGTGGAGGATTTGGACCTCTCATGGATAGGTCACGTGATCTTGGATACAGAGACGGAAAAACTGATAAGGATATTGATGCTCTCTTTGACTGTGTATCCAGGTTTGTTACTTTAAGTTTTTAAAGTTAAAGTTGCTCATTTTAATATGATTAACAAAGATGTTTTTAAAGTTATATGTTGCATGCTATTATGTACCCTGATATATGCTGCCAAAGTTTACAATATGCGCAACAAGCCAAACTATTAAAACCACCAACATGGTTAAACTAGTAAACATGTTAATGAGGTGTTTCATTTACAATTTTATCATAATAACAGACCATCAGACCATGAGAACAAATTAAAAAAGTCAATTTTTGGAACCTATTCAACTTTTTAATAAAAATTATTATTATCATCAAAAATATTTAACTTTTCAGTGAGTTGATGGTACCGATAAGTAAACCGTTTGCTACCTCCCCACGCTACGCTCCTCATTTTGGACCTGACAGAACACCAGCAGCTCTGTGGCATCTTGATCAGGTAATTTTAGTGACCCAGCAGGAAAATAATTCATCCTGCTGCGAGGGTTATATATCTGCATTTATATCTGAGTATATGGACACGTTCATTTGAGTTTGAGGATATTGGTAAACAAAAATAATAGCGTTTTCGACAATAGTGGCTTAATTTTGACATCTATTAACCTAGCACGTTCAGAAGTTCTGAACATTAGCCACGTAACACATACTCCCATATGCACTGCTCAGAAAGAAAATCTATTGTTGTTAAGCACTATAATGTTTCAAATGTCACATTTTGTGTGACTTAGTTAACTGTAGTTGTCTAATTATCATTCCTTGGTCTGAAATATAGTAGATTAGGTCAATCTAACAATTATGATACAACATTGGTTAAAGGGCACGGATCGAACGGTTACAAGGCAATATTTGGGTAACTTTGTCACAGTCAGAATACCATACCTCTATTCTACTGTGAGGTGTCCTCAAAACCCTTTTAACTCATTATTTGATGGTTGATGTACCCATCATAGCCCTAAAATATGTTGTTTTGAATAGTTAGCTAATACAGGCACTTGGTTATTGGGAAATGAGGTTAATTCTGTCACAATATATGGAATTTTAAATTTTGGGCGAATTATTTATATCTGATTTTGATTTGAAAGGCGGGAAAACTTTATATGATGACAATGCAGTTGATGCAAGTTAAGATCAGTTGATGTTTACATTGTCACAAAAAATGATACGAAATCGTAAATAGGTTAAAAACAATGATTATAGAATGAAATAGTCTCTTATAATAACTCTTATAATAACTGATGTGACAAAGTAAACATTTCTTGCCCCTATTTTGAAGATCTATATATTCTGTAACTCTATTAGAATTCAACATTCTTTCAGAAAAAATTGGTAGAATATTGTCCAGAACATCAGAGCTCAAGTTTAACAATTTTAGGTTAAATTTGTCAAAGTCACTAAAAATGTGACAAAATTAACTTTTCCTGCCCCAACAATTTCAAGATAGTGTGTAAAAATTAGCATAAGCTGCTTTATTACCTATATAAATCAATCCAAACTACAAAAGAATATATGTTAATGTGATGACGATTACCTAACTCTAATAATAACTGATGTGACAAAGTAAACATGTCTTGCCCCTATTTTGGATATCTATAACTCTATTAGAATTCAACATTCTTTCAGAAACGATTGGTAGAATATTGTCCAGAACATCAGAGCTCAAGTTTAACAATTTTAGGTTAAATTTGTCAAAGTCACTGAAAATGTGACAAAATTAACTTTCCCTGCCCCAACAATATCAAGATAGTGTGTTAAAATTGGCATAGGATGCTTTATTGCCTATATTAATCGATCCAAACTACGAAAAAGATCTGTTAATGTGATGACGATTACCTAACTCTTATAATAACTGATGTGACAAAGTAAACATGTCTTGTCCCTATTTTGAAGAACTATACCTCTATTAAAATACTATGTAACTTTATCATCAAAACAATTTCGATAAACTAGTTATTTTGCCAGCAAGGAGCTAACAGAGTTATAATAATTTGTTTGTGACGAAATTACCCTATTTTTGACCATGTTGCGGTAGTTTAATTGTGACACTGTTAACATATTACACCCAATAATGATTTATGTGACTGGCGCATGGTACTAGCAGTGTTGTTTGATCCATAGTACGTAATATAAGGGGTTTAAGCTGGTAAATCATTATTTGTTCAATTTCACACATGTTCAGATATCATCAAGATTATGTGACAAAGTAAACTTGTTTGTGCCTTCTGTGTTTTAATTCCTTACGACTATATGCAATATAATAACAATTCCTAGCACTTCCAGGCCATCAAATAAACCTACACTACTCAGCATTGCTTATCAGGGTGCCCTAAACATTCTTCACATATTTTCTTAAATGTGTGACAGAGTAAACCTGAGTGCACCATCTAACGAAAAAAGTCGTCAAATATGTAGGTAATGGTCATATGTACCCATCCAATCAACTGGACACTCAAAAATTTGGTCAAAAACGGCAGCAAGGGGTCCATATTTACTCCGTCACATGTTTATAGTGTGACAATGTAACCATTTCCGTGCCGGCCGTATTTAAGCGATATCTTATCACCTGATTAAGATATCGTTATGTGACAAAGTTAGCCTAGAGGATGAGACGATTATCCTAACCATCAAGGGTTTGTGTAATTTCATAGTGTGACAAATTCAACTACACTGTGCCTTTTAATAGGGTCACTTATATTTACCAATATCCTCAAACTCAAATGAACGTGTCCATATAATTGTCATTAAATTGCCAATTGAAGTTGAACACACTGATATCGTTCGTGTCCGTTTTTTATTTTAGATGTGAAAAATGATAATCATGTTTTATAAGGCTTAAATATCCCTGTGTAATAAGCTTTATAAGGCATGATTGGCATTTGATCTCAGCAACCCGACTCCTTATTAATATGCAAGAATTCTGTTTGCCGGAACTAAATAATTGGCAGTCGGGTCGTCTGAATCGTAACAAAAGGGGTAACACTATTTCTTTTTATTTCAAATTATCAAAATACGAAATACCTATTTTATCGGAAGAACATTCAAAAGGTTGCCCTCCTCTCCAAATGTTCGCAGCTTTGCCCTTTTCTTTGTCCCAATAAAATGCACCTTCGTCGGGGTAAAACCAGAACCTGTAGTTCTGGTTCACATCAGGGTGGTGAACAGTTCCCGTCCAGGGAGTTTGGGACATTTCCACTGTTCCGGAAGCGTCTGCACGGTCCCCGGCGAGATTCTTTAGGGTTACCAATCCTGACTCTTGGAATGTTATATCCCATTGGCCAGGAAATTTAAACTTTTGACAGCTTGGCCCTGAAAATATATAGATACAACAGTAAGCGCTATCTGATATATATGTATAATTAAAGGCATTATTATGACTTACGTCTGCTGATACATTTTAAAGATATAATGTCTCTATCTTACTATATATAAAGCGAGACGATATATATATATATCTGTGCCATTTTACTGACACCACGGCATCAAATTTAACGCGACTTTCTGCAAAAACCGTAAAATACAAAAAAAAAAAAAAAACGTAAAATACCGTAATACAACTGAAACTTTTTTGGCTGGGTCAAATTCTTTAATGGCCTCCAAATCAGTATGAAAAAATAAAAAATAGGCCAAGGAATAATGATTTTAGAGCCGAAAATTTGGACCCCCAAGTGGTGTCAAAAACGCTAATTAAATAGGTAATAATTATTTTAGTATCTTGAGTCTTGACACCGTTTAGGGTTATATTATACGGGTTCCTGCTATTAATAATAATGTCTCTAAAGATTGATCGCTTCTCGTGTGCAGTGTGTAGACTAAAGAAAGAGGGAGTTTTTCCCGTTAAAGTAACTTTAAGCGATAAAATACCTTGATTATTTGCCCCGACCCCACTCAAGAGTAAGGTCACCAACAAGATCAGCAGGAAATTCCTAAAGCGCATAGGGATCTTGCTTTGAGACCTATCCTCTTGCTTCTGGTTGGAACGTGACGAAAAATGATTTTTATACAGCATCATTTGTTCCATCATCAACTCAACTTTAGATGATCCCTAGCAAAGGAAGATAAGTAAATTATTTTTTAAAACCACAGAAAAACCACATTTTGTGTTAACTGTTAACACACAAATCTACACGAGGGCTCAATTAGAGGCACCTTGAGACGACTACCTGATAAAACTGGTTTGAAGATAACTAGATCTAGTTATCTTTAGAGTCAAAAGCCACCCTTGGGTATAAAGATTTCCAACATTATCACATTTAGGGGTGTACAGCATAATTTCAAAGTCCTGTGACATTAGGACATTAGTTATGAGGCTGCACCTATTTGCACTATCGTGATAATAGCAATTACAGCACTTTATAATATGATTTCTCGGCTTCTGAAGAAGCTAAATGCTCAACTTGGAAATTTAAATTTTTAAATGATCACATTGAGTTGGGTAGAGCACAATGTCAAAGTAATTAGTCATCGGATTGCTGAGTTATTAGGCTAAAACCCATTTTTACACTGTCGCGTGTTGCGACTACAGCACTTTAAATCAAAATAACTCGGTTTCTGATTATCGCTCGATCGACCGAGCGATAAGTCCGCGCGGCACCCGACTACTAAGAGCTTAAATTGGGCAGTGAAATGATCATACTGAGTGGGGTAAAGCCTATTTTCAACGTCCTCAGGCATCAGGCTGTCGAGTTAACAAACCAAAAGCTTGCAAATAGACCAGAGCTTGCAAATTTCACCATCTAGAAAAGCTAGTTTTTGTCAAAGCAACAGCTCCAAGTTGGCGTTTTCAATAATGCAACGCGAGTGATCTCGCTGCTAGGGTAGGCGAGGCTATGACATTATTATGCTAATTCCCTGGGGCCCATAGAAGGGTAGAAAACGTAAAGAGGGCGGTCAGCAATCTTCCTTGCCTTCAAACCTTTTGTTGCACACATTTCCTGGTCTCACGAGTTCTTGGATTAGCCTAGAACACCAGATAATTTTGAACAATTTGGTGGCTCGTATACGGATCTCACAAGTTAAAACCACACTGAATATTCAACGCTCATTTTATTGGATCTAACTGGCGTCCTGGTGGATTTAATCGATCGCATTACCTTTAAAACTATTGTATCATAGCGGAGCGATATATCGCTCACAGGCTACCAGTACCACGTCTCGTGTAACCCAGGATTTGGTTTCGGATCGGACACTCTTAACAATGATAGAGGAGCGGTCTACACGCTCAGTCGCTCACATGCTACCACGTCTCGTGTAACACCAGGATTTAACACGCTCACAGGCTACCACGTCTCGTGTAACAATGCGTCGATTGTGTCTGTGACACATATTATACTCAAACTTCAAACTTGTCTTTGTGTAGTGCCATATTGTTTCGTTCAGACCATTTTATGACACTATTCAAGTTGTTTTGTAAGACAGATAGTGATACGTCTTGTTCACATGTTATCGAAATCGAAACACGAGTGTCGTCTGCAAAGTATCTGATGAAGAATTCACTTATGCAATGCTCGATAGTTGAGAATTTACAATTTATCTCCTTCGGAAGCCGATATATCTTGTATAAAGTGCTGTAATTGCTAATCGCGAGAGTGTAAATAGGTGCGGGCAAATAATTCAACAAACTATCGTCTCAGGACTTTGAAATTATGCCTCATTCCCTATATATGTATATAACACCATAGAATGGAATCTGTTAACAGTAACAAGAAATGCGGCCGCTTTTCTTTTGTGGATGGCCGCTCAATTTCCCGATCCGTGATGGCGTATATTATCATATTCCATACCACCTGGGGACCCCAGTCTTTACTGTTTATAAGGATGCAGATATGGCGGAGTGACAGACCGAGCGCCGCCCAGTTAATATAATTCCATATTGAATTTGAAAATCGTGTATATTTCTATGTAACCATATGTTTTTGCTTACAATTTCTTAAATTACAGATAAAAATTAAGTTATACGGCAATTGAATTCAATCACAAGTGTTTCCCTATTTAAAACATAATGTTCATATTATGAAGTGAGCTGATTAGGCCCTAGAGCTTGTAGTTGAAGTGAATGGAAATCTAGTGTCCGCCACAACAAAACAACGGGCGCAATTCTTGTTGTAATTTTGGGGAATGCCTTAGTGGATTTTGGAAATCCCTCATAATAGAGTCCCCCATAATACCCCAAAGTACTCGAAAAATACCCCTTGGCTTCCCCCCCCCCCCCCCCTATCTCCAGGACAACTGGATTTATAGTCGATGTTATAAACTCTAGTTCTGTCTGAGAAGAGCTCAGAAGAATTGTTTTAGGGGGGCGCTTAAAAGCGATATCTTTGTACGACATAAGTTTTTTTCTGTACTATAAAGCTGAAATAATTCAGCTAAAAGCAGGCTCACGCCGTATAAAGTACAAATTTTGTGACCATGTAAATGACCACACATTGTAAAAACACAGTGCTTACAGTTTTTATTTCAGAAAAGAGACGTACGGTCCTTGGTGCCGAACAACACTTCAAGCTTCATCAACCCAAACAAAGACCGGGGAAGTCACTTTGACATTCACCCTGACTGGCCAAGTTACTATAATTAGTACTAACAATTAGCAAAAATTTATTAATTGGCGATGATTTAAACCGGGCAAATCATCGCCAATTAGGTATTTAGCTTGAAATGAACAGCTGACTATAAGTATAAGTATAACAAGAACTGCCGTGGATATTTATTGTTTATGATACTCTAGCACGTAATTGCGTTATTTACCTGGGCTTATCTAGTTTTAGAAAGTAAGTATTTTATGTCTTTCTTTCTCGTTGGTGGGTTTGTTGATTTATTGTTCAGATTTTCTTATCAGGGATCAAATATAATTTTAGGACGCTAATACAAATGAATTATCTTGACTTCTGAGTTATGCAAAATAATAAACTTATGTCCTTCATTTAACTTTTATCACATTTTCCCTCGCAATGTTTCTCTTAAATTTCATACTTTATTTCTTTTAACAAAGAAAAGTGATTTATCTTACGTACCTTCATTCTTATATTATAACCTTTTTGGTATACTTTTTCTTAAATCTGACTGATTTGATAAGTTCAAAATTCTAATTCTAATGTATATAGACGGAAAACATTTTTAATTTAAATTGTTGCGTTTCAGTTATAAAAAAATTTCGCAAGGAACAAACTTTGCTTCTTCACAAATCAAAAGTCCTTTTAATTAAACTCCAAAAAATCTCATTAAAGTAAAATCAAAAACCCTTTTAAAGTTTCAACTTTCAAAGCAAAATCGAATTAGAATAAGAATTATATTATTTCAAATCATAAAGTAAAACCCTAAAATGTGATGAACGCCTAAAACTTCCCTAAAACTTCTTACGACTATACAACTCTCAGCTCTGCTTTCAATTCTAATCCTCAGTCTGAACCTCTCAAACATACCGACAAGTTACCTGTTGGACCTCGAAAGTAACCCAAAAGTAACTCAAGAGTAACTCAAGAGTAACTCAAGAGTAACTCAAAAGTAACTCAAGAGTAACTCAAGAGTTACCCAAAAGTAAGTCGAAAGTTACCCAAAAGTTACCCGGAAGTGACCTGTGTTCTCACGTCATCAAGGGGTGTTGAGAACTTGGCGTTCTTCCGGTACGGATTTCCAGAGTCACCTACAGCCGATAGACCTGAACAGTTATGCTCTGTTATTATCGGAATCATTTATTTATTGCTGTATAATAGATTGTAGGGGTATTTCAGTGTAAGTTATGTAACAACCGAAACTAAGCTCGAATAAAATAATAATCTCGAATTCTCAAGATTTTAACAATTGTTGCACCTGTATATTAGTACAACTGACCCTATTTCCGGACCGGTAACAAAAGAACGAACTAGTAAACTGGTTAAATTTCACGAACCATTAGGGTAGTCTATATATAATATCTATTTAGCGAACCTGGCATAGCCTTGCCGGCGATCTGTTCGTGCCAGAAAGTAGCAGGCTGGTCGTTCAGGAAATTGTGCTTTCTGGTCACCTCGTGTTCTATCTCAGGATACTCGGGATGTCTGGGGGGGGGGGGGGGGGGTAGATCAGATTACGCGTGCTTTTTTATTTTCAATTACATTCATCACTAAAGCTTAAAACGTTTTCAAGGAATTGACTCGTGGATTACGACTCGGGCACATAAACTCAGTGTGATAACTTTAGTTCACTTACAAGCTCTGGTAGTGCTGTTTAGTGGTGGTATAGTCAGTTGCATCTGGGGCCTTGTTGAGGTGAGCTTGCTCCTCTGCTACAACCTGAACACAGTACCCGGTGTCAATTATTAGCTGTGATTTGGTTACATATTATGATTTGTACATGATTGTACAGATTCGATTCCGGTAAAGTTCTTATACGATCACACTTTAATTAAAACGAGGTTTTCAGATGAAGTTCACCTGATCATGAACTTGGAAGAGAAGTTCCGTTTTCTTGTTGTGAAGTCTGATTCCAGTGGTACGGGGGTGGGGAGGCAACTTTGTGTACACCGCTGAATGGGGATTTTAGTTGAATTTACATGAACTAGCAATTAGCATGTATTTTTAAGATTGGACCAAAGTTTCCCCAAACTTTATATAGACTGATCACTGAACTAAACTAATTTCGTGCATTTTGGCGGTTTTAAAACAAAGATCCGATTTCGATGAGTGTTCTTCGAAACAAGTTGCTGAAAAATAGTTACATCATGCATTAAAAGTAACATCACTGCTTTGTATATACCAAAAAAAGCTGCTCAGCATTTAGAAAAAGTTAAAAGAGTTGAAAGCTCAGCGAATAAAAATAAAACCAACCTTTTGATATTGCCAGCGATTAACACAGTGCTTCACGATACAAAACGAGATACCAATAACCTTTGGTAGAAGACGTCGTCTCCTTAGAATCAGTCTCCTGCGACAGCAATCCCTTGTGCCCTTCTTTGCTGACTTTCTTAGAAGTAGTGTGACCAGCAGGTATATCCTCGTCTAAATGCTGGGTTGCCTGAGCTTCAACCCAGTCCCCTCGGAGCAGTTTACTTCCCTTGGAGTCAGTCATGGCTACACGATTTATTATATAGTGCCCGTTTTTAAAGCAGTTAGAACCTAGAGGTACACTAATTGCTGTCAAATTGGAAAATTTTATCAAGGGAATAGAGTAAGCTTAGGTTTAACGTTCTCAAGCAAGCATCCCCGCAAATAGCAAACTAGCCAGAAGCCCACTAGATTATACGAAGTGGAGTATTACATGGCAGTCGGTATTGCAGTGTGCACTAATTAGAATCTCGTAAAACAAACCTATTCAGAGCGAGGAGCCTATTGGGAAACTTTGTAAATAAAGAAGTATTTCTCGTAAGTATTTGAAACAATACAGATCAAGAAGAGCGAAGCTACAACCTGCTTCACAAACAAGAATGAGACCCTCCATCAATGTAACAAACGAATTTGCGTGCAATTACTGCACTCTAATCGAAGTTTACTTCGATCAATTGTGACGTACTTACGTTTGTTGATGCGCGGCTTCAGAACAAACCTATCGCTTAGCAACCAAGTAATTATAGCGCGAACTTATCGTAAAATTGCGTTAGCGCGTTACATAACCTACATTCTGCATGTGTGTCCGAAACTGGCAATAGAAGATTACGAATTTGCGATGATCCATTGATCATCAATAACCGATATTGTTAATTTAATCGATAAGATTGACGATTCAGTATTGTGGAATTTAGAATGTGCTCTTTCACCAAAGATGTAGGGCTACTACATTACTAATTACCAGTTAACTAATGACAACTCTTTGATGCTTAATTATTTGGAATGAATTGAAGATAAATGATATGCCTCCAGAGTCCATTCTGAAATCTTGGCTCAACATCCTAAGAAAGAATGTTTAAACAAAATTGAAGGCAGGCAAATCGATTTGCTGACAGGTCGTTGTCTTCAAATCGATGAATCACCTTTTTTACTCGACTGGAACAATAAGAACATGTTATGGGTGGACAGACTTATAAGTGAGTGGTTACACACATACCCCAGCTGAGATTCCTACAATACTTTTCAAATGAATACCTGTGAGTCCTTTCAACTTTCATATCAAAAACGAGGAAATGGGCGGTAAAACTAATAAAGATACCGCTCTGACAACTGTTCTGCGTCATAGTAAGGCATGAAATTGAAGGCATCATATTTCATTTCTTATCGTATGTCACATGAAATACCACGCTGGCAACATTCCTTTTTTCGTATACTTGCAATCTCTGTTTTTTTTGCATTTCCTTCTTAAATGAACGATAAGAACTGATTCTGCTAATGCTGTTATGTTATGTTCACCACCAAAATGATTTATTCTACTTTCTGTAGCTCTATCATTACTGCTTTAGTTTGGCGATTATCACATCTTTTTGTTATTTCTTATATAAAAAATAATAATGATTTGCTTAAATTACGTTTTTGTGAAGAAAGTACTTTATTTTTGCATTCTAAACGTTCAAATTTAGACTGTTAATCTATTATATCAAATTACTCATCAATAATACCAAAGTAAACATGACCATATTTGGAACGGGCAACTTAACGAGCAGTACGATTGGTCACAACGGCACAACATTAGACCTATCAATGAACTATGTATACGGTACACTACTAGCAATCTCCTTCCCCATCTCCCTCCTTCTAAACCCAATTGTGTTCTACTACAACTACAAACAGAAACTATCTCTCGTCTCCGGGCTATTTCTCCTTCTCTCTGGAATGGACTTCCTCTTCTCATTCCGCTCCATGAACACCGCTTACAACTTACTTAAACCGGAGCTGGAACCCCTCTACGACCCTGATCCTAGTGTTTACCAAAGATTCCAAGCTCTGCTAGGCTACACTGTTGGGTACACCTCCATGTTTACTACCCTGATGATGTGCATTGTACGGTACATTAAAATCAAGGCTCCGTTCTGGGCAATGAGCAACAAGAGCCTTGTGGCCTCTGTGGTGATTACCTCGATATCAGTAGATGTGCTGTATAGTTTTGCAGTCGGCTTTATAATGAGTTGTGTGTACAGTGATGCCTGGTTCAGTGTGATGCAGGGAATGATTAGCACTGAAGGGACAGAATCTAATAATGAGATAGCTACTTATCTTACCATCATGGTTCCCTTCTACATCAAGATAGGATTCTCAGTTATCTTCTCGCTTCTTACTGTTATACACCTCAGATCGGAGAGCGGCCAGACTATACCGGAGATTAGGAGGAAAAGTGTTGTGATGATAGTGCTGCTAAACCTGGGGAACGTTCTGTGGTTCGTGACATGCATGCTGTCCAATATCGTCACTGAACAACTTGATTTTGAGTGGGATTTTGATTCTGACGATCACTGGACCTACGAGTTCTTCTACTTGACCTTCTTTGACTCAGTGATGGCACAGTGTATCCTGGCTGCGTACAACCCACTTATATTCTGCACACGTACCACCGGGATTAGAGCTATGATCAGAAACTTCTTCAGAACTGGAACCATGGACGTGGACTCGGTTTACAAGGCAGGAACTTCAGAGGCAGGAAACTCTGTAAATACGGGGTCTTTCTATCGAGGCACTGCTGGTTCTCTGAGACCAATAGTGAGGGAGGAGGAGTAGGGGAGGAGAACGTGAGGGTGACAAGATTTGCACTTTTACCTGCATTCAAACAGGAAAATTTCAAGTGTGCTGGTAAGGATGTAAAGTGGGTTTATTGAGACTGGAGACGGCGATACAACGGAAAAGAGATTTAATTCAGAAAAATGAATTGGGAATTGCAAAAAACCGAACAATAGAAATTATTCACTTCATGCTTCTAAACTGAGATTAAAGTTGAGATGTTATTCATAAGTTTTATTGCCCTGTGACCTACAGTAAAATATATTTACTACTATCTGCCTGTTAAATGTCAACCCTTAGTAATTTGATGCAAGTTTGCCGTTGTATATATTTACTAACTCATCATTTGATTACAAACATTTTAAATTCAAAATACAATGGACAATATGAATTAAGCGTTATTTTTACGTTGGATAAAATGTGCTATAAAATACGTGATCGTATTACACAGCATGTGATAGATAAGGAGACTGTTATTTGCATTTGTCACGTTCGTAGTACCTGACCTGTTACATTTGTACATGTTGCTTCTGCTCTTTTAATTTATTACTTCAATCGATGAATCCGTGACCCGAAATATTAGGGTTTACAGAAAAACATTTTACAAAATCAGTTTCTGCCAAAGATATATTCCACAAAAATTAAGGCACATACAAATTAACCAAGTGTATGCTCTAAAACCAGGTAGCACACATGACCATATTTGGAAACACCACCTCCTCCTCCTTAGTAAACACCACAGTGACCTACACCTACAGCTCCCTCCTCATCATATCCTCACTACTCGCCCTCCTCCTCAACCCTCTCGTCCTCATCTACAACACTTTACAACGTTCCACTCTAGTAACCAGGTTATTCCAGCTTCTCTCCATCATAGATATTATCTTTCTGATACGTCCTGTGAACGCTCTCTATAATCTCCTCAAACCTGGACTAGATCCAATGTTTATACCTGACCCTTCTCTGGGCAGGAAGGTTGTGTGTTTAGTTACCTACGTTACTGGGTTCAGTTCTATGTTCCTGACGTTGACTCTTTGTGTTGTCAGGTACGTTAAAATAAGGTTCCCTTTTTGGTCCATGTCACATGACACATATATAAGTGGTGGGGTGGTAGCGGGGGTTACAGTGGACTTTATCTGGAACTTATCAGCCAGTATCTACACTAACTTTTACCCGAGTCAGCACTTCTGGGCGAGCGCTACACAATCAGTGCTGTACGAGCCAGCACATGACGACAGTATTGTTTACATCAGAATAATACTGTTCATAGGACCGTTCTTCTTCAAGATTGGGTTATCAGTAGTGTTCTCTATCCTAACGTTGGTGTATCTGAAGACTGATAACGGACTGCAAGTGTCAGAGATAAAGAAGAGGAGCATCATGATGATCTTGATAATGAACCTGGGAAATGTGGGATGGTGTGTGGTTTCCATTATAGTTCAGACCATCACAAGGTTTCAGAACGCTCCCATCCCACCGGGGGAGGATACTGAGTGGAGGTACTGGTACTTCTACCTCCAGTTCGTAGAGTCAGTGTTAATGCAGTCGCTCCTTGTGGCATACAATCCTCTTGTTATCTGCTGTAGGAACTCTGGAATTAGAAGAATGTTGAGGGATCTGGTGAGGTATGGACAGTTAGTGGGTCCGGATAATGTGGAGTCAACAGATCCTGTTGCTAGAAGGGGTGAGGCGATTATTGGGAATTTAGGACGGTCTATTTCTAATGTTTCAGGTTGGTCAAGAGCGCGGTTATTAGGACGCTAATTGGTAATTTGTTCAAATATACCGTAAATTGGTCGATGGATTTAGTGGACAAGATTGTGGCTGATTATTGAGATTATCTTTATGTATTAGTACAAAAGAAATAACTTTTCTGAGGAGTTCACTAATGTGTAGTGAAATTTTCATAGTGTAACAATTAATTAATACAACCAGCATGACCGAAACTTGTCAATTGTCAGATATTTTACAAAACTATTGATTTAGATTTAACAGTAAACGCCTTTTCCACATCATTTCAAAATAACAATACTGAACACATTCAGTGCGAATAATTTTGTAAGAACTCAGTCAAAATCAAGCTACCAACTAATTTTTTCCCTTTTCAACTAAGATCAAATGATAAATTACAAAATCACACAAATTTGACTCTCAACCTTGTTAATCTTATCATAGTCCGCTTTACGTGTCTTATTAACGACCTTGGTGAATAAACTCTCAACATGATAAGGACCATCATACTCCTCTTTAACAGTACACTCAATATACTCCACACAGCCCAGCTGCTGAGCCAGATTGTGTCCCAGCTCGTGGGTGATAACGTTATCTCCACGTGGATACGGCGTGTCCGCGCGTACTGATGTTCCGGGGCGGGCGGAGGTGTCAGGGCGTGTGGAGGTGTCTCCGTGGATGCTGAGCTCGTTGCAAGATCTGTTATCAGCCTCAGGGGTCGGGTTGAGATCAGTGGGTGGAGCAACTGGGGTTCCTGAGATATCTCACTGTCATTTTCTGTGTAACATTATTTCAATCTCTCAGTGTTACAGAGATATAATGTTTTTGTACTGTATTATTGTTATCAAGTTCATTGGGTGACTTATTTAGAAATATTATAGGTGTCAAATATGGAGATCTCAGCACGACCAAAATGAAAATCTAATTTCAGTAAATTATTGCCCTATATATTTCTATTCAGATTTGAATGTTTAGATTAATATTATATCTTTTGAAACGACAAAAGTGATATAGCTGGTAAATAATTGTGGTAACAGCAGGACGTTTCTATCGAAACTGTACATTTTATTACAAAAGTTCCTAAGAAAGCTCGCTTTGCAGGACGGATTCGGTAATAGTTAAAGTAGAACGCCATGAAAGGGGGACAAATTCATAACAGTCCGTACTGACTGGAGATACCCTAGGTGTCAATACATTTCCCTCCATACCACTATTAGAAATACGAGACCTGCGTTCTTCAGATTCCATACTTCCAGCTGATGCCCGGGGGCGTAGTCCCCCTGCCTCTTACTCCCAGTCGAGTTTCAAGGTTGGCGCACTCCGTTCTCTGTACCAGTTCATAATTCATATGCGAGGTCTTTGCCCCAAAACTGGCACACCTGCAGTTGATATGCGAGGTCTTTGCCCCGAAACTGGCACACCTGCAGTTGATATGCGAGGTCTTTGCCCCGAAACTGGCACACCTGCAGTTGATATGCGAGGTCTTTGCCCTGAAACTGGCACACCTGCAGTTGATATGCGAGGTCTTTGCCCTGAAACTGGGACACCAGTAGTTGATATGCGAGGTCTTTGTCCTGAAACTGGGACACCTGCAGTTGATATGCGAGGTTTTTGCCCCGAAACTGGGACACCAGTAGTTGATATGCGAGGTCTTTGCCCCGAAACTGGCACACCTGCAGTTGATATGCGAGGTCTTTGCCCCGAAACTGGCACACCTGCAGTTGATATGCGAGGTTTTTGCCCCGAAACTGGGACACCAGTAGTTGATATGCGAGGTCTTTGCCCCGAAACTGGGACACCAGTAGTTGATATGCGAGGTCTTTGCCCTGAAACTGGCTTCTCCTCAATGGAAAATAACTTTCTGTCCCCCTCAGAACTAGAAGCAGCCAGTTTCTTCATTCTCTCTTCAACCTTACATTTCTTCCTCAAAAACCATCTGATAATGGCCAGAAAAATGATCAACACTCCTGCACCAAACAAACTCAGAAGCACAATGGAGATCTTTGCGCCGTTAGGCATGTTACAATCACACAACGCGTTTCCATTATCACTTGTATGACACTGGCAAATCTTGAAGAAGCTGCTGGGACAGATTACATCAGGTTTAGGCTGACTACCACCACTGGGCTCACAGCGTATTGCCAGGACACCCTCTTTGCTGGTTCTTTCGACACACTTTAAGGAGGGACGGTTACAGCGCATGGAGCTGTTCTGGTGTAGACAGTTCATGTTCCAGCATTGTTCTGAGGAACTTGAAGCTGACTTTGCTGCTCTCCCGGGATCCAGGAGGAGAAAACATGTGCTGAATAGCATGGGTAGAAACAGCTGGCTCTTCATTTCTCTAGTGTGTGATATATTGGTCGGGTTAAAATCAGATGATAAAGAAGTAACGAAAAGAATTGTATGAGAAACATAATACGATTGTGCCTGGAAATGAATGTGCGATCGCTGTGCTTCAAAATCATTTTTGCCTTACGATTTTGGCATGTCATGAAGAACAAGATTAAATAACGCTATTCCACACAATAGATATCAAGACCACATGGCCTGGATAAAGCTAAGAATGCACAAAAGAAGCCTCAACTTAAGCAATCTATTGAGAAATTGAGAAATTGAGAAAATTGATTCAAACATCTCCAGACCAAAACGACAATAGAAAATCTATGGAATGTACATACCAGTAAGCCAAGGAATTGCTTAGTAATGAAGTATAATCACAGTTCTGGCAATCGCCATATTCAGGTGCCTTAAAAACCATGTTAAAATTGAGTTAGAGATCTGAAATTTTGCAGAGCGTCTAGATGTTGACCAAATCGACTACCGCTCTTATCCCGAAATACAAGGTATCGACCAGAAAGCAACCGAAATCGAAACTTATTACAATTCGTAAGCCATGACATCATTTACTTTTGTTTGGGAAAGAGAGACACCGGCAGCGGTCCACTCTACCCAATTATGGGTTATGGTAAAATTAAGTAGATCCAAAGGTTAAACAAGTGCAGCGCCCCAGTACAATGCAGCACAGTACAAAGACTCTCTATGAAACACAAAGAGTTGAACTGAAACACAAAGAGACACAAAGAGACAACAATTAAATGAAGAAAAAATAAAACACGGTGTTAGTCACTTTAACAATAACAGACTATTATAGTACTAGAAACTTACTAAACTTAAACTATTTTAAAATTTAAGAAAGTGCTGACTTTCGTCTTTTAAATTAATGTCCGAAGGCTTTTATTTAGTTATTATAGGTTTATAGGTGATTGCGAAAGAGTGGAGATGGTACACAGAATGCTGGATGGATTAGCTGTTTAAAACTTTTCTCAATTTTGCGTCCATCTCGTGACACTCCCCTCTCCCAAACGACATAAACCTTTCAAATGGGTTTATGACAAACCCGTACTCACTACAGTGCAATAGATTAGATATCAGCTAATTTAAGTAATACTACAACCGGCCCAGAATTCACTTCCAAAGTTCCAACACGCAACTCTTGAATAGCTCACGCAATTTTCGTCAGAATTGAGAAGAATATCGGCCATCGGGGCAGGGGTTAGAGATATGGGTCAAACTTAGATATTAGATGTACAGAAAGTTTCGTAAAATATTTTCGAACACATGCAGAGTGGGCGTGTCACTCCCTCTTTTTAAGATCTGGTGGAAAAGTCATCGCATTACTTTAATCATGATTCAAGGGTTTCTGTTTGGATCGTATTTTCAACGTTCACGTTAGTATAAGCCGATAAAAAGTAAAACCCTTTCCCCTCCCCAATCTTAATGAACTAAACTTTTAAGTGTTATAACATTAACAAGCGCAAACCCTTGTTTAACTCAAAATAGCCCCCAGTAAAACTGTCTGACATACCACAACACCCCAAACCACAAGGCAACACCCCAAACCACAAGGCAACACCCCAAACCACAAGGCAACACCCCAAACCCCTGCTACCAGTGAAATGGTAGCGGGGGTTTATGAGGAGTGAGGACTGTGATCGAACGCAATTCAATCGCCAAGATTAAGTGCTGTTCATAAGGGTGAAGACAAATAGAAAGCTACGATTGGAGGTCTCCCTGATTAAACCAAGAATGGAGCGAGTCACAAAAAGACAGTAGATAGTTGTGTGTATAACTATGCACCAATGATTGGTATTGTTCTAGATTCTATGAAACGAGTCACCTGCTCACCTATTTCGAGTATTTTCACTTGTTTGAAATATTATGCTCCTGCTAATTGTCAGTTGAGCACTTTCTGCAGAACCATGCAACAACGACTAATTATATATTATATATATTGTACATATCTATATTATAATTCGGAGAATTATCTTTGTTTGTACACTGTACACTGTACGACCGCCCACGTGCAAACTAGGTAAAAAGCAAAAGGTTGCAAAGTAACCATGGTAACGAGGGTTGTTACACGCACTTGCACGTGCAAAGATTGTTAAAACGACATTTTTATCGGTTTTGTTGATATGACGATATGTTTAGTGCGAGCAACATTTTAATCGGATGTATCTTCGGTTGTGTAGGATATGTTTTGACACGATTTAAACTTACTAAAAAAAATAGTATTATTAGCTTCCTCCCTGTGACCACGGGTTTTCTAGTCTATATTATAATTCAAAGAATTATTTCTGTATGTATAATGTACGACTGCCCACGTGCAAATTATATGAGAAATAAGAAGTTGGTTAGTAACCATGGTAACGGTATTCAAAAGCGCACGTGCAAATATTTGCGAACGACATTTTGATCGGTTTTGTGGTAGTTACGTCATGTTCAGTGCAAGCTACATTTTAATCGGCTGTATCTTCGGTTGTGACGGATATTTGTTGATGCTATAAAAAGTGACTACCAAAGAATATTATTAGCTTCCTCCGTGTGTCCACGGGTTTTCTAGACTATTTTAATTCAAAGAATTATTTCTGTCTGTAGAATGTCTGTAAGACCGCCCACGTGCAAAGTAGGTAAAAAGCAAAAGGTTGCATAATTACCATGGTAACGAGGGTTGTTAAACGCACGTGCCCGTGCAAAGATTTGCGAGCGACATTTTGATCGGTTTTGTGGTAATTACGTTGTGTTTAAAGTGTTTTACATTTAATTCGACTGTATGTTTTGAAATTGCTGCATCTGGAATTAATTTAAAACATATAATTGAAAATGTTCTTCAACTCTCCAAAACGTGCTCCAATACCTCCACCAGACTTTTTCTAACTAAACACCCTTACTTTCAGGAGTAAGTAACTAACGACTATTTAACTACTACTTACCAGTAGCCTTTACTAATAATATTGAGACTATTTTAGGAAACTGACATGTTTCCAAGAGGCGTCGGACACTTAAATTAACGGTAATTTAAGTTCTATTTTCACAACTGCAATTGAATACATTTATTAAGTAATATAATATAGCCGACCCACCGTTCTCGTCTAGACCTCACATGTGATCAACAGAGAGGACACAGTCCTCACATAAAGGTGTCTCAATACATCAACTTCTGCTCACATAAGGACTCGAATGAGGTGCTAATCAACGAAATCTATTTATTCAAGTTCGTTTAACTTTAATGATCACTTAAACGGTAAATCAATATCGACCCAGCGATAGATTAATTGTTTATTTGTTTAGTCTCGGTCGATATTTCAAACATCGCATCGATCAAAGATGAATCGAAAACGGAACAAATTCGTTTTATTCGATGTTGGTCTACATAAATCGACAGTTTTTGCTGAATTCGTATGAAAAAAAGCAAACACTGCTTGTATTAAATATCTCAAACCTCGCTAAGGGTTCGCACAAAGGGCTGGGTCTGGTGCACCAGGTTATTATAAACACCTAAACCAGGTTATAATTATGTGGAGGATTTCTGACAAAGAGCCAAGATTTTAAAAGGTTTTGGTCCTGTTAGCCATGTTTTTTAGCAGGGCGGTCTTAGAGAGGCTTGGGTTATTCAATACAATCATCAACACTGATCGTTTAGGTCTAGATCTTTTTCCGTTTTGTGGATTCAATATTGAAAATATTCGAACCATTACGACCCTCAGATATCATTATTGGAAAAATATTGACTAACATTCGCTTTTTTTAAATATAATATTTATGATCAAATTTGAATCGATTACGATCATGATCGATTTTTTCCAAACCGTTTATTGAATTTGTCCTTAAACGTTGTACTACTAGGATGAAAGTTTTCTTGGTTCTCCTGTTGATTCTGCCTGCTGTACTGGCTTCAACTACCCCCACTCCTGGAGCCGCCCCGAATTGTAAGCGGTACCACAAGCTTTTATTTAAGCCCGGCAAATGTTTCCAGGAGGGAAAATACCCAGATTTCCAACCATGTGAGCCAGGAAAGACGACGAAAGAAGCCTGGAAATCTAAATGCGGGAAGGCGTGGAGGAAATTACAGAAGTATTCTAGACGTTACTCGTCCTGTAATGACCCTCAGCAGATATGCAAGTGATCTGCTCTTTTAACTGAAGGACGTACAATTTTGCAGCTCTGGTTTTGAGATGGACGATAAGATACTCTTCAAAGTTTTCTTCATTTTAGTGGCTTGGTTCAACGAATGATTATTTGGCAATTAGTAGATGTATTTTAGCCCTCATTCTGTTATTCTATAGATACCTATTCAGTATTCACGCATTTAGAAACTAGTTTTAGTTTTTCTGGTACAAGATTGTCACAACTTAACTGTGCAACTTGATTAAGTTGATGTTCTATCTCTATCTCTGTTTAGTAAGGGGAGGTAAAGTTTCAGCCTGATTGTTTTATGTATTTTTATATAACAGCTGTATGATAAACCAAGGACCGTGGCCGAATATTTGACCATAATATTGGTAAAATTATGTAATTAGTAAAATAATAATGCTATCTCAAAGTCAAGTTCCACAAAAAATCAGTTTGAAAACAAAGATAGGGGTGATTTTCATACCTCATGAACATCACGAGACTTAGATTATGTGACAAACTGTGTCGGCACGTATTGATGAGTGACGCTCCTTCACTAATATAATCGTTAAACTTTACTCGGTTAAGAAAAATTGAAACATGTGCTCTAGAAAAGTTTACAAAAACGCTCTGGAGGGTATCTGGTGAACAGACGGTACCAAAATATCAGGGCGGTACCTTGAATACCGTTTAAAAACAAAGTACCTTGGCCTTGTACAAAGTGGACTACTTAACCATGCTTCTTTTAACTTGCGTCCTCGCACCAGACAGACGATTATGCATTTTACAGCTATATCCAGCTGTTCCAACTAAATTTTAAACCATTTAAGAAGTAAAGTTGGGACCGCTTTTTTAAGTGACAAGAAGACTGTGGAACGTAAAAGAAGAATAAAATATAACACGCTGTTAACAAATACAGTACTTACGAGCCAATGTCCCATTGATAGCATTCTTTATAGAAGTCATTGTAGGAGTCCTCAGCAGCACACTAGGAGTCCTCAGTATGGTGCTAGGAGACAATTCCACGTAGGGCAGTGTGTCGCTCTTTAACCCCACCAAGAAGAACTGTGCGTGCGCGGCGTGCTCGCGCACCACGTGGAACCAGTACTGTTGCACACTGTCGAATGTGCAAGGATCGTTCACGGCGAAGCATAGGAGAATTGCATCCAGCTGCGATTATACTGTGGTTAGTTATTTTGACATTTTCTTGACGTAATTACCGCACCTATATTTGGCTATACTAGTGTAATATATAACGGCTAGATAGTTTATTAGCTTAACACGTGACCAAACAAACTTAACTTGACTGCACAGAGCCGTACAAAAGTTCAATAAATGAGAGAAAGGTACCTCGCTGAAGTTCTGAGAGCACTGAGCAGCGTTGTTTGGGTTTATTCTACATGATACCTGTACCTCCACTATGACTCCGTCAAAACACTTAGTGTAACTGTGGGGATAGGGTATTGTTACAGAGACAGTTAAATAGTGGAATATGTTAACTAAGATTATAAATAGAACTAATGTCAGAGCTCAAATAACCTTGTCTAGTTTCCCCACTTGTTTCACTTAAAACTGAAAACGTAAAACTTTAACGGCTGCAGATTCTGAGATTGTGACCTGTTGAAGGAGTTGGAAGGTATTATATCAGGGCATCTTCCCAGCAGAAAAGTAAGAGCTAGACTGTTCTTCCCGCATCCCTTATCTCCAAGTAACAGACACTTCATATAGCGTCCTCTTATCTTATCTTGAGTTTATCGAAGTTTGGTTTAAGTTGGCGGGTAAGCTGGAATTATATCAGTTATAAAACTGGTCAACACACACACGAACAAAAGTAACAGTGAGATAAGACAGAGAGAAGTAAGATAACTACTAACAACACAGCTCTCTTCTTTCTGTGCTGCAACTATTTCTATACACTGTTTTTAACTGTGCATTGTGTGTCACGTGATGCACCGCCTATCAGATAATCCCGCAGTGACGTTATGTGGAGGTTATGCGGAGGATTATGCGTGATTTGTGTTGTGATTGTGACAAGATTGAGAATGTGGGCGTCCGGAGGGGAGGCTGAATTTACGTAATTTTGGCGAAAGCAATTCCAACTATGCAGGACTGAGCATCATGATCAGTGATCTGGTAAGAGATACTTTGACGCAAATACCAGTTAAAATTCCTCTGTAGCAAGGTGATAAGTAAAACAACGGTTTAAAAAAGTTATTAAATAAAATCTTCATGCACATCAAGCATCTTTTAACATTTATATCGCACGCTAACCTCAGAGCTCAATTCTAAAACTTGATTCTCAATGAATAACTGCAAGCTACTCGGTAGATTTGGGGAAAATATGCTATTATAACTGCGTGAATATTGAAAAGCACTCAGTGCGTTATTTTCCAGAAATAGAAAGCTGTGAAACGACTCTGTTTTAACGATTCAGTGGCTCTTGTAAGCTTTGTTTTGTATCGATTACGTTCTAAAAAACAAAAGGCAGTTTCTGTATTTGAACGAAAGTAATAACTGAACATGTTAGTTTTGTCAGGCCCGTCGCATTATATCATGCTAACTATAACATAATCTGAATAAAGAACAAAAACCAGTAAATAACAGGAAATTACATAATATCTTCAATTATCCACAAGTATTCCAGTACATCTCAAATCTCCAGTTATCACAAAAACCATCTCAGAGGAAGAAGAAGAAGACCCAGTTTCCAGACTGTTAGAACACTGGTACACATCACATGATCTTGTTACTAGGTGACGGTTACTATGCGACAGTTACTAGGTGATCTTATTATCATCCACGTGATCTTGTTATCACCCACGTGATCTTATTATCACTCTGTGAGGGAAGCTAGATAGCGTTTACTTTAGCAGCGTCCACTTTCTGTCGTACTCCGTCTACCTGCATTAACAGTTCCATGTGTTTTGTCTGCAGGTTTTCTATTGACGTGTTTAGACTCTCTGTGTCGTCCTTTCTCACCTGTAGTTTTTACATTGTAATGAAAAACAGGCTACTTTCTTATCATGGAATTGCTCAATTTAATGTTGAAAGGATGCATGGTTTTTTTCCATCTCGACGAGTTTCGTATTTTCAAATTTATATCACGACTAATAATGGTAATTTTTGTCTGGTAAAATAATTACCAGATAAAATAACATATACTAAAAAGTAGTGAGCCCACCTCTAGATCCCGTAACAGAGCTTCCTGTCCAATTAAACCGCACTTCTTTCTCAACTTCACGTTATCTATACGGAGTGAGTCACGTGCTTGTTTCGTCCGGGACAGGATATCTCTCTTTTTTGCCACCTGTGGTTACAGAAGTTGTTTTCAGTGGTTTGTACTTACTTTGTATTAACTAGGTTTTAGTGCTGATGCTGCATGAATCATGATATGCGATGGTTAAAACTAATGTGTAATTTCATATTATTCACCAAGTTAAACATGCAGGATTAGCAAGTTTGTTGTTGTTGTGTTTTATAATTGTTATCAAAATTACAATCTTACAATCTTACAATCTTACAATCTTACAATCTTACAATCTTACAAACTTACAATCTTACAATCTTACAATCTTACAATCTTACAATCTTACAATCTTACATCATACTCTACAAGTTTGAGGTTCTCTCTTTGGCCAGCGTTCTCGCCCTGTACAAACTGTAACTTTTCTTTAACGTGGGTCAACACCTGAATAAAACTGAGTCACTAAAACCTGGTGAGTTGTATACAGGCAGCTGAACTTCAATTCGACTCGAGTATATTGTCATAATCAGTTTTTCATAGTCAAGTAATTGATAAGTATCAGTTTGTAACTATCAAGTAACTGTCTAGTAACCAGTTTATAACAATCTAGTAGCCAGTAAGTAACCAGTAAGTAGCAAGTAAGTAACTAGTTGGCGATATAACCTGTACAGTCGTAGTGATCTTCTTTCTCAACTTGAGCAACTCCTCGTTTCGCTCCTCAATCTTCTCATTGTAAGTCTGGTTCTCTATCTTCAGCTGTTCAAAGTCTATCAGGTGGAGACCGTCTGCTAGCTCCTCTTTCTGCTTCAACTGTGTCTCCCTCTTCTTCAGCTGTGTGGTGAGGAGTTTTAGTAACCTTGTTGAGGAGTGTTAGTAACTTTGTTGAGGAGTGTTAGTAACCTTGCCTAGGAGTATTAGTAACCTTGGTGAGGAGTTTTAGTAATCTTGTTGAGGAGTGTTAGTAACCTTGTTGAGGAGTGTTAGTAACCTTGCCTAATGCTTATATTCAATGAATATTATTCATAATATGTGAACAAAGCATATATTATCGGGGAAGGTTGTAATATATGTGAGATGAGCACGGTTTAAGTTTTAACAGGTGAACATCACCCACTTTGGGTGACCACTGACCAACAACTTCACCCAATTTGACCTAGTTCCCACACAGTTAATAGGGCATCCCAAAACGACAACTTCGCCCAGCCCATATTATAACTGAATTATAACGACGATTGGGCGGAGTTGTTGTTTGGAAGTTAACTAGGTGGCTGATTGGGTTAATACTTATTTTCCCAAGCTAACCAGTCTATAAAAGTCCAAATTAGGTAAAGTTGCCCGGTAACTTTGTTCCCACTGAGTATCTTATCACACTCAATGAACATCATCCCAAACAACCGACCGTCTCACTTCCGGGTTTTACAGACTTCTCATATCATCAAAACGGGAATCAAGTCACAGCTCTTAAAAAGACAATTAGTGTTTTATCGGCGGTTTTCAGAGACCGCTTCACAGACTTGTACTCCTTATTGAAAATACCGGTAAAATGCGCGTTATTACATCAGATTTAACGAGCGCATTCAACCGATAGGAACTAAGGTGGAAAAGAAAACCCGGTAGAGTGTTCTCATCTAACCTCAATTATCTAATTATCTAACCCCAATTAGCGAGTCATCTAACTCAAATTAGAACAGTAAGTTTCCTAAGTCAGTTCAAGTAAAGGTAGAGGTAGTTTGTTTTTGTGAAGATTCTAGAGAATTTATATCGTGATGTGGAGAATAACATTGAGTGTTTTGTGTTTGGTTGTCTTTGTATCCAGTAGAAGGTAATAATCAGCTCCAATTAATTAATCAATATTAATAATTAATATTTTATTCTTTCGTCTGAAATATTGAGTAAATTCTGCTAGGTTTATCAATAATGTAATTTGACTATGATAATACGCAAAATTTCACAGCGTGAATAGTATCGGACACGGCTTTTCTCTGCTGACGGATAGTGAAGAAGAGTAAGTAATGTACCTTATAATGTACTTCATAATGTACTTCATAATGTACCTTATAATGTACTTCATAATGTACTTTATAATGTATTTCATAACATTACCTTGTAATGAACCTTATAGTGTATCTTATAGGATTATAAATAAATCAACGAGGTTACTTTTTTAAAGTTTAAAAAATAAAATATCATTTAAGCACCAAGTTTGAGGTATATAATATTTTCAGGAACATAGGTCATGGACTTGATCTTACCAACAAGGAAGAGTGAGCCGATTTTATACATTTAAAAAAGTTTCTTATCAGTAATCTAACTAATTTTTCTCTTAAAAAAGAGGTAATAACCTACTACAATAATTTATGAGTTATAATCATGTTGATTAATCAATTATAAATTATATAACTATATTTATTTATAAATTATTTATAAATTATAATTATGTTTAATTAATTTATTGTAGGGATATCACGAAGGGATTTCCTGCTCTAGATAATTCGGAGGGAGAGTAAGTAGTTTTCCTCTTTACACTTTATACTTTACAAGTACTGTAACCTTAATATTAAGAATAAGTGTACGAAATAAAACTCGTTTACATTTCAATCCACGCATCCAACTGTCCCCACGCGGAGGAAACATAAAAAAGGATTGAATTTTGTATCTTATAGCTTGCCTTAAATTTAAATTGTCAGCCGAAACGAACAAATTAAAAACATAAAATCTTAAATTTCAGTAAAATCGGACACGGCTTTAGTCTCCTCGAAGCAAAAGAGTAAGTTTTATTTTATGATGCAAAATTAAATAATCTTAAACATCTAATTGCTCAAGCCGTAATGAGAAAAAAACTTTCCATCCATTCTGAGCACCTTAAAATGACGTTTAGTTAATACAGTAACACCCCAATTTACTGTGAAGTTTGGGGAAAAGGAGAAGGCCACAGTAAATCAGGGCTGGCGGTAAATCGGGGTTTTGATTGTTCACATTTTTATGTTTAGTTCTTATTTGGGGGAAGAAAATTGTCACTGTGTATAACAGGGTCTGCACTTTGCATTAAATCAGGGCGCAGTTTATCAACGTGCGGTAAATCGGGGTTTACTGTATTTTGAAAATAAGAGGTCAGACACCATTGATGTAATACACATGATATAGTATTAACGACCTTTTCAACCCGACTTATTGAATCATTGATAGAATAAACTATTCTCCCTTTTAGAGCGGATTCTTTTGAGCACTAACTGACGTTAGCGAATGGTTAGAGAATGTCAGTATTAGTTGAAGGTGAGTTAAGGGGGCCGGGGGGGGGGGGGGGTCTTCATTAAGATTAGTTAGTCGATATAATTTATTTGATCTATTCCAAGTAATATTGAAGTTTGAACATATTAGATACATCATGTGGTAGAATAATAGGATAAAGTGTTATAAACCTGATTTATTTCAACTTCAAATAATCAAAGTCTTCTTCTGATACGCTTCTTAAAGATTCTTTTTCGGTTTATATGTAGATTTGTACCACTAACCACTTTGATATTATATTATGTACTAGAGAATGTTAACAGTGACATTTTCAGATGGTCCAGTTAAAGTGTCTGCAACAGATATAACCAGTCAACAACTGCAGATCTGTTAACCTCAACATATTATTACAGCTAGTTTTAATGTGCGTGTCTTGCCTATAACATTTCTATTCAATTATGTATTATACTTTTAGCTGGATTTTTGAATATTTTGACTTATGAGCCAGTTTAAAATGTAACCTTTTCATTTTCTGAGAGTTACTTCCATTGAAGTCTTTGCAATATTAAAACTGTACATGGATCTAGATTACAGTATGTTGATCGATTTCAAAATTAATGCAAGAATTTCAATTGTTGTTAGTATACTTCTGTTTTGGACCGTGACTGATCACCAAAAAAACTTCGTCAAAATAAAGCAAAATTTGGACAAAAAAAAGAATATTAAATATCTAATATAATCTAAAAAGGAATAACCACGAAAATGCCATGTAGATAGTATAAATACCTTGTTAATGAGCTTGATATTCTCCAATCTAACAGCTATCACCTCTTCCTCTTTCTTCTTCTCATTTGCAATGTACTGTTCTATGTCTTTCAGTGCAAGAGGTTTTCCTGACCTGTAACGAAAAACTTGATGAGCGGTTGGGGAGGCCAAGCCTATTTGACCAAAAGTTTAGGAATAAATGGGCAAAAGGGGCATCATTTTCATCAGTTTTCGTTAACAAATATTATATGAATGATACAAATAATTCGATTGATACATATACTTCGAATGATGCATATTATAATAATACAATATATAATACAATCTTGGTCGAATGTAGGCCAGGTCACAACTCATTAAAGAGTATTAACCCAAGCCTTAAGGATAAAACAAGCTATATTTCCTACCTGCTGTTAACAGCTTGTTTGGCGACTCCTTTCTTAAACTCGAAATACTGAGCAGTCATCTCGTCCACTAAATTCTTCTTCTCCTCCATTTTCTCCTTCTCTTCGTTACTTCTCGAGTCTGCTTCTTTCTGAGTTAACTCGTTCTCCAATTCTAGTTCGTCTAGAGCTTGTAGACACTTCATGTACCTGGCAGATACTTGGTTATCTTATGTTACATTCTGTTACATTTCATGACAGACGTTTTAGTCAGAGTTTATTTCCATTTAATCCAATTGCAATTGCGAAATCGCCAATATATAAATTTTGAAATAGAAATATGAATTTTTATCGTTCAAAGTAAAAATGGATGAGTACGAGTTTAAACTTCCAAAAAAATACCTCTGCTCTTGATCTGTTACACTTTTCTCCACCTCCTGTCTCTCATCTGCTCCCTTCTTCTTACGGAAATGTTCAGCGATTTTGTGCTGACACTGACTGTTTTGATTCAATATCTTGTCCCGCTCGTTCAGGGCAACCTGGTATTTCTCCAGTAACTGGGCCCTAGTGAGTTTTGGGTTTTATTTCAAATAAAGCTACATAAAAATACCATAAACAGCACAAAAAATTATTAGATGAGCTTTAATCAGTTGTTCAATTTTCAAGAGACCTAACCTATGTCCCATACCTGTCCAGGCCAGTTTGTGAGGCACTATCATCAGGGCCTAGGTGCTCTTCCAAATCCTCTGATGGTGTTCCCCTGTCAGGAGTTGATGGACGTATTGATGGGATTCTAGGGATTGCTTTGTCCGAAGGTTTAGGACCTAATGCTGAAGTTGTTTCTTCTTCATCTTCAACACCCCCTGTAATCATGATTTGTTGAAATAACACCGATCAGGGTCTGTGTGAGAAACCAATAATGAAGTGCCATTTGTCAGCCTGGCATAATAAATCAGGTATCATTCAATCAGCGAACATATTAATTATCATATTAACAAAGTTACCTGATCGGTCCAAGGGATCTATCTGGGGAGGACCATCTTTAACTGTGACATTTTCTTCTCCACTCATGCTACGTAAAGATCTAGTGTAAGATTTTGTATTTTCGATACATTTAACAATGATTGAATTGTCATGACATTACTTCTTTGACAATAGTTCGAATTATTAAATTGTAACAGGTATAACAAATAAAACTTAATCTGACTTCTTCTTAATCACAGTTTATTTATCTATTAAGTATTTTTAAATAGACGATATGTTTAGGCTTGAGGTGCATCCAGGATGCACAAACTCAGGAAGCGGGGCTTACTCTAGAGGGAAATTTATCCAAGCTTCCTGCCTTGCACTGTCTGATATACAGCAATCATAGAAGCTTGCAAACACCTCTCAACTTATACCAACATTCACATAATCATATGGACTTATAGCCTTTATGCACGCTCTCTCCTCTAAAGAAGTATGAGTAAAACGTTGATTTACTGTGCCCCGATTTACCACAAACCCTGATTCTCCCCCAAAGTCTGAGATAAATCAGTGTTATACTGTACAAGTTATTTCCTTGATGCTCTCAGAACCACAAATACTCTGGAGATCCGATGAAAAGCAGCAAAGACCGGATTGTAGGAAATGAGAAAGCAGGTGAACTGGCTAAGCTTGGCACAACCAGTGAATCCACAAAGAGGTGTTCCACACCACAATCTTTGTAGCGCGATGCGTTACTGTGCTGCGCCGCGCACTCAATAAGGCTTCTCACAGCCAGTGGCGTAACGTTGCCTGTTGGCGCCCCCCTGCCGAAAAGGCGCCCCCCCTGTTGGCGCCCCCTCCCCATTTGGTGTTCCTCCCTAAAATTGAACAAATTAGGTGATTTTAGAGGATACGCCGGTAAAATCTCTAAAAAAGTGTGTATCTAGAGCAAAACGTGCAGTTTTGCTAGTACTTTAGTTAAGTTTTCGAAATTGTCCCACATTCAAACGACGATTTGGCGCCCCCCTAAGACGGCGCCCCCCTGCACAGCGGGGTCAGCGGGGCCCTTCGTTACGCCACTGCTCACAGCAACAGATCTGCGAGATGCGCTACTGTGCCGCGCCAAGCTGAGATGAATTGACATCGTCAATTAACACAATCTTATATCAAGAAAACAACAAATTTTCAAGAAAACAACAAATTTTTATTTAAATCAATTATAGCAACAATTTGAAAAACTTTAAAGCTCTTCTATTACCATGGAATATACTACGGGTATGGTGACTTGGGCTATTGAGTTGTTAAGTAGATTAAGATTAGTAAACCTGCACTTGCATTGTATATTTTATAAAAACTAGAAATTAGGCTTCACGGTAAAATGGAGAAGCAGGCTGATCTTGGAGAGAGCAGACCGTAAAGTTTACGCACCCACAGGGCTACCTACCTACCCAGTTGTTCTTTTTGGTTTATCAGCTTGTATTGTTATATTTATGGACCCCAAGTCACCACACTAAGAAGGAGTATGTAAAAAATAATAAATAATAATAATAATAAATTAAGTTAATATCATCATATCTGTTTAAAACAGTAAAAGTCAAGTTGAGGATTGACTTTCCTAGTTAATTTAAAGGTTCAAACGTTTGGGAATATAATAATGTTGGTATTTGTATCTGCTGCAGCAATAATATTGAAATATCATTTGTCTAGAAAATTTTCGCCACTTCAATAGATATTGGGTCGGCAATTTGGTGAGTGAGTGATGAAATGGTTTGGTCTGTGATTGAGTGAGGGGCGATGTGAAAGTTGTGGTAAGTCCAGGTGTTATTATTGTTGATGGATTGAGATCCCAGGATGATACTTTTACAGCGTAATTTAACCAAAGCTACAGAAGTAGTGAGGATTTCCCCATTCTCATTTAGAATCCGTTTATGTATGCTATTCCACAATTTGGAGGCTATATAAAGAAAAGTGTTGGTTTTTCTTGGGAGGATTATGACATTGCTTGTATCACGTTTTGATGAGTCTATAGTACAATACAACGAGTATGGAGTGCGAAATTTCATAATTCGAAATATCTCAGATATACAGTGGTATTTGTACAAGTTTTGAACAGTAAGCAATTTTAGTCGATTAAAAATGGGCTTGGTGTGCTCTTTTTCGAAAAAAGCAGCTCCTAACCTCTGTTTTGTATAAGGTCTGGCTCGTGCACAAGTGGCATGTTTGTCGAGGTATGCATTTAGGTCTCCAAAAAGGATTCTTATACAACGTTTCTGAGTTATGAACAGCTTATCGTTTGGTTGGTCTTTGAGAGCTGAGCCCCAAACACTTATTCCGTAAGCAAGATGTGATTCCATAATGCAGAGTATATTTTTTGGTAGTGTTCCCCTGGACTGAATGTTTAATCCTGTTAAGTGCTCCTGTAGTGGATCTAATTTTTTTTCTTAGATATTCTATATGTGGGCCCCAGCTAAGTTTTTCATCAATTACTACACCAAGAAATTTGGTGTTGCTAACCTTGACAATTTTGTGTCCATTTATAAATATTCCTTGTGATTTGTCATGTTCATTGGCATACGGCCTAACCCTGGCGCAGGTTTCATCAGATTCGTATGCAGGTAGAAAATGTATGTAGCAGCATTTAGACATATTTATATGTAAGAGATTTACTCTCATGAATTTGCATACGAAATCAAGAACTTTATTGGCCTTCAAGTATGTTGCTTCTTTGGACGGTCCAGTGATAAATATATTTGTGTCATCAGCATAGAGCACAAATTTGCATTCATCGCCTTTGTAACAGTTTATTATGTCGTTCAATATAATAAGAAAAGTAGAGGGCCTAGTATGGAACCTTGGGGAACTCCATATTTTACATTCATAGTCTCTGATGTAGTGTTGAGAAATGAAACATACTGTGATCTATCGGATAAATAGCTTTTTAGAAGTCCTAGAGCTAGACCTCTAACCCCATAATTTTCCAGTTTCCTCAGGAGAATGCCATGGTCAAGAGTATCAAAAGCTTTGCTTAGGTCAATAAAGATTCCTAGAACATGATTACCACTGGATGTTGATGTTGTGATTGAATGAACTGATTTGTGGAGTGCATGTGAGGTTGAGTGGCCTTTTCGAAAACCAAATTGTTCATTACTGAGAATGTCATTAGCAGTGAAAAAGGTATAAAGCCGTTTGTATATTATTTTTTCAAATATTTTACCAAAGATTGGCAATATTGACACAGGTCTATAATTTTCAATATTTTCTTTATTATCTTTTTTATGGATAGGAGTTACTTTGCCTATTTTGAATATGGATGGGAACGTGCCTTTTTGAATACATGTATTATACAAATTTGCTAATATGTTGGATAAGAGATGAGCCGGTTTCTTGATAACTGCTATTGGTATATCACTGGCTTTTCCGTTAACGAATTCTTGAATTATTTCAAGAATCTCCTCAGGATGAGTTTCTTCTAGATGTATTGAACTGTTGACTGATTTCGACATAAACTCAACAAATGATTGCATTGGTTGGATAGACAGTTGGTTCTCGGACAAAACCTTCTCATTTAAATTACTAGCTAAAGATGTAAAGTAACTATTGAATTTGTTTGCAATTGTCCGCCTACAAATTACTCTAGTTCCATCTATATCAAACACCTGATTGATGACAAAGTTACCAGACTGAATCAGGAAGACTGGTCGAAAAATGTTCTCAGACACACCAAGATGACACTGCACTAGGTATCAAACATGGTGGGCGGTGACCCATCATCAAAAAACCGTTTTTTGCCCAAGGAACTGAACCAAACCAGAGTGACCTAGTGCCTATCCTAAATCCTTGTGTTGTTTAAGCTCAATATTTCTGGTTGCCATCCTCTCGGCAATTCCTCCTCATTCCACCTGTTGATCAACTTCCCCGGCATCCTCTTCCTGGAAGGGTGCCACACCAAAAATTGCAAAAAAATCAATTTGGTACCACCTTCAGCTTCCTGAGGAATGTTAACTTCAAAATGATATTCTGCACCTGTGCAAGAAATTTAGAGTTGTATCATCCATCGATGCATTGCCCATCTCCAGAAAGTTGACAACTTGCTAGGAAGCTACAATATTTAACCTAGTTCTGCTGAAACCGAAGTTACACATTATAACTACTAACTAGTGCCATAATTTGGTATCAAATATTCTTAAAAACTTGTTCAACTTTTTATGACTTTGCAATTTGCATGCATCCCCTACACCGGCCCAGCTACATCAATGAGATGATGGGCCGAACAGCGTTTCAAAAGTACAATTGAAAACATAACCATGCATGTAGTACTCATACAATAACTATTTTTTAAACACTTTTTACCTAACGTGTTACTTAGAACTTTGTGGTGTTATTTCTTTGAATAAAATGATTGCAGTGTTGTACATATTATCTATGAAAGTTTCAAACCAATTCCAAAATAATTTGAATCAGCTTGGATCTAATATGAGAATTTACAAAAATTAAAAGCAAGTGATAACACAAACGGCTGTCTATGTAGCGCTCGATTTTGATAGTACGGTAAAGGTTGGTTAAAATACAAAATATGCGCGGCGGACCACGGAAACTAGGCGCGGCACGCATCAATTTTAGCTCAATTTCAATATTTAAGGCGAATTTCATTCTATTAAATATCAAAAATACAATTTTTTTTGCTCTTTTAAGTGGGTCAGTTATCAATCATATAATTTGATAGCTGGAAACGTCGGAAACAAAGTGGAACATTGACCATTGTTAATGGTCTGGCCCGGCGCACTTGCCATCGGGCCTTTACTTAATATAACGGGTGATACTCGTAAAACGGGTGATACTCGTAAAATATCTGTTCCATATATCGACGAGTCCAACTCGGCGCGCGTCCTGGTTTGACGGATGTTACTCGTCTAAATTTCTTCGAAGTAGCGCGCGCCGCTTTCTTCTCGAAATGCCCGATGGCAAGTGCTACGAAGTAGCGTGCGCCGGGCCAGATCATTAACAATGGTCAAATCCTGGTAGGTTATAAACCTACAACATCGGGTTATAACATTTTGAGAAGAAAGCGGCGCGCGCTACTTCGAAGAAATTTACACGAGTAACATCCG